TTATATTTTAAATATACATAAGTAATTTTCTACGAGGAAGTTTATATTTAAAAACATTTTATTTATATAAATTATATAAATATTTATATTATATATTTTATGATGTTATACATTGTTTCTATTTTAAATTTTATTGAGAATACGTTGCTTTTATTTTAAATTTTATTGAGAATATATTAAGATATTGTATAAGATCAATACTGAAATATTAAATACGAAAGTTATATTAACTGAAACTGAAAAAATAATTAAAATAATTTATGTGCACGTAAAAAAATACGAAACTTAAAAAGAACACTAAATTCCAGATATCTTAAAATACATTTTATTAAATAAAACTAAATTTGATTTGATACGAAAATACCATTTCAATAAATATACTTATGTCATTTTATACATATTACCTACATCATTAGATAATTTCATAAAATACATGCAATAAATTTGTATACTTAATATACTTTTATTTAGTAAAGAAGATTTGTAGAAACTTGTGGTAGATGACCCACGAAAAATGAAAAATATTATCTAAGGAAGTTGATTGTCCTTTTTTTCTGAAAAGTAAAAAATCAAGTTGAGAATATTTAAGAAGTATCGAATGTAGCACCCACATGCATTGGTTTGGTGGTTACTCTAAAATATAACCTATTGCCGTTAAATTAATTATAACATGTGAAATTATTTTGGAATAACCCACCTCAATGTATACAACCCAGTCTCACTTTAATTTATATTTTCATTATTTTATTTAATAAAATTTTATATTAAATTGAGTTATATTTTTTTATTTAATACAAAATGGCAATGAAAATAATGAATTATATTTTTATAAAACTAGATTTTACGGAATTAATTGTAATTGAAAACTTGAGATTAATCCATTGGAAGAAAGATTGAAGATTATATTTTGGATTATCTTAACCCGATCTAACGTTATGATTTAAGAAAGAGAGAAACGCACATGAATTGGTTCCACGGTGGTATGAACTACTGCCCTAGTTGGGATTGAAGTTGACTCTATGATGTGTTAAGTCGACCAAAGGGACAAAATTCGTGGGGCACAACAATTAAATAACTGAATTTTATGTTTCCAATTGTTATAATTTTTATCTATTGTGGGGGCACAACAATTACATTTCACATATTTGTACCCTTTTTTTTAAACATATTTGTAGAGTTTCGAGTTATGAATACGAATAATTAACGAGCCTTTTTTTTTCCTATTAAAGCTACAATATTCTATTATAAATAAGATACATTTTTTACATTTTGTCTAATTCAAGAAATTTATGATTTTTCTAGCTATAATCGTTAGGTACATTGGAAAATGTTATTAAGACTCTGTTAGGTAATAAGAAAATAATATATTAAAAAAAATAGCGTAAAAAGTATATATATTTATTTAAGGAAAAAATTGAGATGAAAATAAATAAATATCGTTATTTAATTATACTAAATATTTATAATTATACTTTTGTATAGGTTATTAAAATATTTATTAATAAAAAAATAATTTATAAAATAACGTTTTTTATTTCACTTTTGACTCTTTTTTTCTCTCATATATAAGATCTAATTCAGATTAAGATAACTATATTTTATAAACATACAGCTTAATGTAATATTTTTATTATTTTATATAATAAAGTAATTCTATATTTATATTATTTTAAATTTTTCATTCAATAAGCTACTGCTTTCCAAAAAATATATTTTACTTGAAACTTATAAATTGGTTTTTATATATTAATTTTGATATATATATATATATATATATATATATATATATATATATATATATATTACTGAATCATTGTAAAATAGCTATTTTCATATATCATAAACAAAAAAATTTATATAATAAAATTATGTATGATAATATATAATAAAATTATATATAATATACAAAAATAATGACTACCCTTTTATATTTTTCGATCATTACATAATTTTAAACTAACATATAGTAGTTTTTATTTTACTTTTATAACTTTAATTTTTTTTAATTAGTATTATTTAGTCTTTATTATTAAATGTAATTAATTAAGTACAAGAAATTAAATATTATAATTTTAGTTCAATCAATCAATATATTTAATATTTTTTAAAATAAGATAATCATATATATATATATATATATATAATCATATATTTATATATTATGTTATGAACTATATATTTTATTTTAAATATTTTTTTTACTGTAAAATATTATTCAGATAAATTTAGTATATACAATTTTATTTTATAATTACATATTAATAATTATATACGCAAAGAATCATCAGTCAAATAATGAAAATGAATTAAAATATTCATTATTATAGGTATTATAATTATTAGGATAGCATTTAGGTTTAAAATTAAACTAAAAATATATTATACTAATATATATATATATATATATATATATATATATATATACTGACAAGTTATTATTTTTACTTTCTTATTATTTCGTAATATATGGATTAATGTTTAGTATTAAAATTAAAAGAATGATATATCAAATAGTATTGATGTCGGGAGTTAGTTTTTTATTAAATACAATTACATAGAGTTTGTGAAGATGGATTATGTAGTTTAGTTTGATTCGTCATTATCCATCGATTAAAAATTAAAATAAAATTGATAAATTTATGATCCCATCTTATCTATGTTTTTAAACAGGTTGTAATTTTTTATGTAGACTGGTTTTATGTGTCAATTTTGATTTAATTTTAAAAAAACGTTTAAATAAAAATAATTAATTAAAAATATATATTTAAATAAAAACTAAAAATATATTTTATATTAACAATTTATTTTTATTTAAAATATAATAATTTAATATAAAAATTATGAGAGAATATATTTATTTATTTTTAGAATAAAAGTTAAAAAATACTCTTGATTATTATTATTATTTAATTTTTCTTTATGATTTATTAATCTAAACTAATAATTTATCTTAAAGATAGAGACTTTTTATTATATTTACTCTTAAAATTAGTGATTTTATTATCAAATTAATTTATAATATATATATATATATATATTAATAAAATAATCTTATATTTATTTTATTTATAAATTATTATTATTTTATAAAAAAGAGAAAATCATAAATCAATGAGTTAATCTGGTTTAATCTCATTTAAACTCTATAGGTCATGATGTAATTCGATCATACTTAAATAAGTATGATTCAATTAAAATCATAATTTTTTTTAGTTTAACATCATCTATTTATTAAATCTTTTAGATCAGTTATCGAATTAAACCTATTTTAATATTTAAAAAATTATATTATAGTATAAAAATATAACTTAAACTTTCAAAATAACATCAATAACATTTTTTTTAACCATTATTTAGTCTTTAGTGTATATATTGAATGTAAATGATTAATGCATTTTACTTAAATTAAATATATTACTGTTTTTTTATACAATAAAAGTAACAACATTATTAGTATAATTTAAGAATTTATTTCTTACTCTAATAAATTAAAAAAATCCATACAATTAATACTTTTGACCCAAATTAATTTACTATATATAATTTTATAATTAATGTTTTTTATTAAAATAAATTTTGTATTCAATTGTTATTTGAATAAGCTAATAACAAATCCAAACAATTAATGTAATTTACTCAAAATCAATTCAGTATAATTTCAAAAATTAATTTCTTACTTTAAAATTAATAACAAATTCAAACAATTAATTCATTTTACAAAAAAATAAAAAACTTATTCTTTTACCTAGAAATAGAGAATATAAAATGATTAGTATAAAAATAACTTAGAAACAAAAATTTAATAATAAAGAAAGTGGCTAATAAATATATTTTTCATAAGGTATATGTTATATTTTTAAAAAATATATAACTAAAATGGTAGTTTATAAAATTATTATTATTTAAATAAATAATTATTATGTTTGTGATTATAATATATATATATATATATATATATATATATATAATTTTTTTATACAATGTCATCAAAATCATTATATATATATATATTAATGTCATATTATTTTTGAATTTAAACTTTAATATTTTTAGAAAAATAACAATTTTATAAGAAAAACATTTCATAATTATATATGAAAAATTATATTATTAAAAAATAAATATTATTTTAAATGTGTTAATTTTAAAAGTTATTTTATTAAAAAAATAATTAATACTTATATAGATAATTTATAATTAAGTAAATATTTATTTTGTATTTATTTATTATTTTTCTTTTCAAATTAATAAGTATATTTTTTACTTTATATTTATATATCTTTTTCCTCTTTTTATTTCTTCCTACATTTATTTCTTATTACCAATCAGCTTCAGCTGTTTATCTTTGAGTATTGATGTATATGCTTGCTCCAGACATGAATAATAAATTAGACTTAAATTCATTTTTATTCTTTGTATTTCCTTAAATATGTAGTTTGAGCTTTTATATAAAAAATTGATCCACCAGTTAGTATATAATTTAATTATTAAAAATATTAATACATTTATCGTGATGTTATTAAATATTTTTGTTAATATCTTATAAGTAAATTATATGACATATATTTAATTGTTTAATTTTTTAAAATTTTAAAACTGAACGTAGAATATAAAGATTAAAGTTATACTTTCGTAAAAGCTGAAGAACCAAAGTTAAATATTCTACAAGTTAATCTTATTAAATACCAATATATCAGATATTATCAACTATATATCTCAAATATTAAATCGAATCAAAATAAGGATTAAAAAATGTAGTTACGCCAACTCATTGGTGAAGTCAACCTCTACATTTAGTGCGTAGAGGGTATTATAGAATAAAATGATTTTGGTGTCATCAACAAGATTTGCTAAAATAACCTTAAAATCCGCGTTTTTTAAATGTCTTTCTTCCGTTTATCCGATTATGCACGCTGACGTCAAATATGAATAAACACCGCTAATTGAACCAGGCACATGTTGCTTGTAACGGCTTGCTTTACTTCACACCTCCCTATAAAATGACACCGACAATGACAGACTTCTCGTGCTTGAACCAGGAAACAAGTGAAGGGAGAGAAAGAGAAAGAGAGGAGGAACTCCTTACCCTATCCTCTGCAATGGCTGAGGTTGTCGACAATCTACACCACTCCAAACTTTCCATGCCTGGTAGCGTTCCGACACCTAACCAAACCATACATCATTTTTCCTATACGTTATTTATTAATATTCATATGTTATCGATGTTTAATTTAATCTCCTTGACATAACATAACGCACATGCTGTTACCAGCAATTAACTGCTACGGTGTTCTTGAATTATGGGTATGAAGTTGCATCACACAAGCAGAAAAACAACTGTTCCTATTCAAATGTTCAGAAAAAAAAAACTGCATGGTTTTCAACAATTTTATCTGTTTTGCGCAAAAATTTTTAATAGCATAATTGGTGTTCTGTGTTGCGCATTGCATTGTGTTTGGGGTTTTTTAGGTGAAGAGTTCAAAAGGGTTTTCAAGTTTGTTCAAAATATTTTTAAAGTTATATGAGACAGTAATTATTCAGCCAAACATTCTCGTGAGTGTAACCAAAAGTGGAGAAGCATATTAAAATTCTTATCTGTTCTGCTCTATTTTGTGTCTAGGTTTGTATGTATTGTTTGTGTTTTTTTCAACACATTGGTATATTGTTGGTGAATGTTGTTGTATGTGGTGTTGCAGAAGAAAGCGAAGAGGTGGATGACTCTCCGATTGAGCAGGTGAGGTTGACGGTTCCAATAACCGACGACCCTACGCAGCCAGTGCTGACATTCAGGACATGGACTCTGGGGCTGGCGTCATGCATTATCCTTGCATTCATCAACCAATTTTTCGGCTACAGAACCACCCCACTCTCTGTTTCTTCTGTGTCAGCACAGATCATCTCTCTTCCACTTGGCAAACTCATGGCCGCAACACTTCCAACCAAAGCATATCTTTTCCCCTTCACCAAGTGGTCTTTCTCCTTGAACCCTGGCCCATTCAATATGAAGGAGCATGCACTCATCACCATCTTTGCAAGTGCTGGATCTAGTGGTGTCTATGCCATCAACATTATCACTATTGTTAAGGCTTTCTACCACAGGAGCATCCACCCAATGGCTGCTTTTCTGCTAGCCCTATCCACCCAGGTGAGCATTAATTATTAATTGATTCAGTTGTTGAAAGTATACACTTTTTGCTGGAAAAAGTTAATGGTGCGTGTAGTACACTCCAATTCATGGGTGAATAGAGAGCGAAATTAAAAGGAGAGAAAATTTTCAATTTAGTAAATGATGTGAGTGAGAGGACATGAGGGGAAAAATAGAGACAAAATGGGGTGAAAACGAAATAAAGGAATCTGAATTTATTTATTTATTTTGCTCATTTAAGACGATTAACCAAAAGGACAAGCATTCTCAAATATGGTTAGCTATTAAACCGTGACCTTGAATTTTTAGATGCTTGGTTATGGATGGGCTGGGATTTTCAGAAAATTCCTTGTGGATTCCCCGTACATGTGGTGGCCTTCAAACCTTGTTCAGGTGTCTCTATTCAGGTATTTTGTTATTTTACATTTTTGTCTTTAAATTGATATATGAATGAAGGAGATTATTATCATATTTAAGTTAGTATTAATTATTAACACATTTAGTGAGAAATTATTTTGTTTATAATATTTTTTGTTAGACTATTGAGAAAAGAACCTTCAAAGGAGGAGTAATTGAATGTATTATGGTGGTCATGCTGTCAATTTGTTGAATGGCAGGGCATTCCATGAAAAGGAGAAAAGGCCTAAAGGAGGAAACACAAGGCTGCAATTCTTTTTCCTGGTCTTTGTATCAAGCTTTGCTTATTACATTATTCCAGGCTACTTGTTCCAAGGATTAGCAACAATCTCCTTTGTATGCTTAGTTTGGAAAAACTCCATCATTGCTCAACAAATTGGTTCGGGCATTTCTGGCCTTGGCATTGGTTCATTTGGCCTTGACTGGAACACAGTGGCTGGCTTCTTGGGGAGTCCTTTGGCTGTACCTGGCTTTGCCATCATCAACGTTCTGGTTGGATTTGTGCTCTTTATGTATGTTCTGATTCCCATTTCATATTGGAACAACGTATATGATGCCAAGAAGTTCCCCATCATCAGTTCTAAAACGTTTGATTCTACTGGAGCTAAATATAATGTCTCTCGGATTCTGAATGCTGCATACTTTGACATTGATATGGATAATTATAACAATTACAGCAAGCTCTATCTTAGTGTCACGTTTGCATTCGTATATGGATTGAGCTTTGCAACTCTCACGGCCACTATTTCGCATGTTGTCCTCTTCCATGGAAAGTAAGTTTTGTATAGTTTGATAAAAGGCTTAAATATTTAATATAGTACTACAAAACATAGATGCAATTCTATAGATGTTTTATGCAATTCTATAGAGTTTTACCTGGATAAACTGTTCAATGAAGGATTCCATTATGAATTATTAAAATGAATAGTACCAAAAACACATAAATTTGTATCTAAGTTTTATCTTAATATCATGTGCTCGGATGATGCCTTCTCCTATCGAAGGTTGGCAGTGATTCTTAAGATAAAATATCCCAAGTGTATCTATAGAATTAATGAATTTATCTTATTAATGTAATTTAGATATATTTATGTGAATATATCATTTTGTATAATAAACCATCTAATTTTTGTGGTGGCTATCTGTTTGGAAGAATGATTGTTCGAATGTGGAAGAAGACAACATCTGCACTGAAAGAGAAAGAACTTGGAGATGTGCACACAAGAATTATGAAGAAAAACTATGAAGAAGTACCTGAGTGGTGGTTTGTGAGCATTTTACTTTTGATGATAGTTGTGGCCCTGATAACTTGTGAAGGCTTCGGCAAGCAACTTCAGTTGCCATGGTGGGGAGTCCTAATGTCTCTTGCTATTGCGTTAGTTTTCACTTTGCCAATTGGGGTTATCCAAGCAACAACAAACATGGTAACGTCCATTGTCCTAGCAGAATAACATTTTTACAGTTTGCCATTGTTTCATAGTGTTGTCTTTCTTACCAGAGTGTAACTTGTTTTGCAGCAAGCCGGACTCAACGTGATTACAGAGTTGATAATTGGGTACCTTTACCCCGGAAAGCCACTTGCTAATGTAGCCTTCAAGACTTACGGCTACATCAGCATGTCACAGGCACTCGCCTTCCTTGGTGACTTCAAACTAGGCCACTATATGAAAATTCCTCCAAAATCTATGTTCATCGTGCAGGTAGGAGAGGGATACATGGCCCATGGTTTTTAAAAAACACATAAAATATAATGAAATGTATCTGACTTGAGCTCTTTTTTTGTTTTGTCTTCAGTTGGTAGGTACCGTAGTTGCTTCAGGTGTGTACTTTGGCACAGCATGGTGGCTTCTCACGACTGTTCCAAACATCTGTGATCAAGCAAAATTGCCAGCTAGTAGTCCATGGCAATGCCCTGGTGACGATGTGTTTTACAATGCTTCAATCATATGGGGAGTGGTGGGTCCACAGAGAATGTTTACCAAGGATGGCATTTACCCTGGGCTGAATTGGTTTTTCCTCATTGGTGCACTTCTTCCTGTTCCAGTGTGGATATTGGCTCGCAAATACCCCAACCTCAAGTGGATTAAACTCATCAACATGCCCATCATCATTGCTGGTGCTGGGGGTATTCCTCCAGCCAGAACAGTGAACTACATAACCTGGGGAATTGTTGGAGTCTTCTTCAATTTCTACGTTTACAATAAGTTCAAGGCATGGTGGGCTCGCCACACCTACATTCTCTCAGCTGCATTAGATGCTGGACTTGCTTTCATGGGTGTTGTTCTCTACTTCGCCCTCCAAAGTTATGATATTTTAGGGCCAACCTGGTGGGGTGGCGAAGCTGACCACTGCCCTTTGGCCAAATGCCCCACAGCTCCAGGCGTAATCGCTGCTGGATGCCCTACTCTCTGACACCCATCATCCGTAGTTTCTTCATCATCATCAAAAGTTTATAGAATGTGTCTTTTATTACTTTACTTGCATATTCTCTATCACCTTCCATTGTAGAAACCCAATCCAATAGCAAGTTGAACAAGCTGTACAGATTGTTATGTTAGCTGCGCAACAAAAGGTTGTATTCATAATCTACTCTGTTTGAATTCGATCCTTGTATCTATGCAATCAAACTTGTTCGAACATATACAAACTCATGGTGGCTACGTGCATCACACACTCGTATACTAAGTTTTCGTGTCCTCCACTCCCTTTCACTGTCATGTATAGTCGAATTTTATGCTAGTGGAACAAATATACATTACTAACATAAACCTGAAAATTATATTTGATATAGTTTAAATATATGTTAAGATTATTTTATATATTATCAATTAATTTCATATTGAAATATTAGAGCATCTAAAAATATAATATCTCAATAAAAATAAAAAAAATATTATTTTTTAAAATTAACAATTAAATTTACAAATTATTTCTTTTAAATAATTGTAAAAGCATTTTTAATTAAGGGAAAATCTCCATTTATTTTTATTTTATTATGATTATTATTTTAAGAGTAAATAATATATTTTCAGTTCTTAATATTTGACGAATTAATCCTATAAATAATATATTTAAAAAAAATATTTAATTAGAATTTGGATTTATTTATTTATTTTGATTATTTTTCCTATGTAGTTTATTTTCTCTCTTTTTAAGTTTTTATTTTCTCTTTTCTGGTTTCTGTCTTTTATGTACCGCGTCTTTTTTTTTTTTTTCTTTTTTCTCTTTTGAATTAAATTATAATATTAAAATTTAATAAAATTGTGTTAATATAAATTTTAAAAATCAATATTGTAATTAAAAAGATATAAACTGATTGTTTAAAATTATGATAACAGTGAATAATTTCATTTATTATGATAATAAATAATTTTATTTACAATGACATAAATAATTAATTTAAATTATTTTATCATAATAAATTAATTATTCATCTAATTAAAAATATTGAATATTTATGAGTTAAATGTATTTTTTATTTAATAATTTAACTTAATTATAATTAGGTTGGGTTATGAAAAAAATATTTATTACAAATTTACTTTAAAATAAATATTTAACTTTTTCTTAATAATTATAATATTATAATGTGTAATCTCTTAAATTTATAATATAATTAAATATATATATATATATATATATAATGTTAAATTATATTATTTGTAGATAATTTAAATATTTTTATTTTTTAAAAATAATAAAGGTTTATTTTATCAAATTTTAATTTAGTATTTTTAATTAAAGGAATAAGATGAGTGATAGAAAAAAAAGGAAGAGAAGAAGGAAAACAAGGGGAGAAAAAGGAAAGAAAATCGAAAAAAAAAAGAGAGAGAAAAAGAAAAGAATAATAAACAAATGAAAACAAAATAAAAAATTAAATGAAAAAGAAAATTTGATGATCAACAATAAGTGGAGTTAGATAAATAATCTACTCATATTTTACTTAAATAGTTTTTTATATCCTTGATACGCAATTCGCAAAACAAAAAACAAATATTGTTCAGTTAGGGTATGCGAAAAAGAAGTGTTACATTGATGAGGCTTCGTTGAAGTGGGCGAGTGTGGAGAGAAGTATTTTGGTTGTGCCTCTTGTTGAAAGAGGAGAATTGAAACGAGAGAAGAGAAATGTTTGCGTGTTTCCACAAAAATCTTTGTTTGAAGATTGGAAGCATAGAGATTTTTTCAGTGTTGGTGTGTGGAAAATCTCTATTTGTGGTTTCGGTGCAAGTAGGCAATTCGGGAACAATTTTACAACATGAGTTTTTCATTTAGTAGAAGTCCAACAATTAATGAAATTTCTATAGGACTAAAGAACGGAGGAGTATCAAACGTTAATCAGAGTAAATTGTAAAGAAAAAACTGAAAACACACATCCACCCTGAACATGGCCTGAGATAATGGATGTGATGGATTTTTAGTTTCTATCAAGTAAAACAGATCGTCACAACTCGCAAGCAAGCCAAACAAAAAAAAAACTCCACTTTAGCATACCCACATCCAAGAAAGAAAAAATTGGCCCTGCAACCAAAATACTTTACGAACGGGTGATAAATATCCTGCTTATACAACTGAGAAAAACTTGACGAAGCAACTTCCCTAAGGTCAAAATATAGTTCCTAATTGTTCATCGTTGAGAATCCAGCATTTGCACCATAATGAGTCCGAACATCCTCCACTTGCAAAGTAAATAAGGCAAAAACGGAGACAAGGGCTGGGATCAGTTGAAGAGACCTGGGTTTAGCCAATCCCTGTAAACAGCAGAATATGTATGGTGTAAAGTCAGTTGTTGCTGCACAGATAAATAAAATGCCAGGGAAAGAACCAAATGCTGCAAGGCAAAAGCGCTCACTTGCTAATGTCATCCAGATGATCATCAAAGTCTACAATTCCATTCCACTTCTCAGATGCAATATAGTCCAATAAGACTACATTTGCTGATGGCTCTTTGAGAGAGAATCGGTTGTTCGCATCTGACGGAACCAACTTCCAGTTCTTAGATGTATCCCTAACATAAAGCTAAATCATAAGGAAAAGGTAATCTAGGTTAATGTAACCAACAAAAAGGTGCCTCTTTATATGGAGGGAGCCATATGCATAAACTCTTGCAACCATAATCATGCATCATGAAGATAATAGTTTTCTTTTATAACAGAAAACGGTGCTTTCTACATGAACCATTAATTTTGTAACTATAGGAAACATATAGCAAGAATAGTTTGTAATTAGTGCAAATGTTGGATGAAGCTTTATAGCTATGAGGTTGTAGCCTGTATAATCATGAAAAGTGTGCACATTACACAACATGATTATTTCATTCCTCCAGTTTTTAAATTGGATAAATCCTTAGTACATGTTTGGTTTACTTAGCTTAGAGATATATGCTGCAGTATGTAGCAAATAAAAAATAAATATTCCTCTTTTTTGACTTATGACAAAACAAGAGAAAATGGAGCACAACATTAATCATTCTTGCATCCAATCTGAGCTCCACAATGTTACACCATACAACCAATGAAACCCCACACATCAAGATACAGTCCCAAATCTCCGTTAAGCTTTTAGATACAGTAGTTTTGTCAAAATTTAGAGACTGATGCACCAAAATACCCCCAAAAAAGACAGGGAGAGCAACCAACATAAGCAAACAGCTAATTGTGCAATGCTAAAGTGAACATATACTTAGGTTTTGTTTGGATAAAGCTATTTATAAACAATTATAAGAAAATAAGAAACTAAAGTCAATTGATCTTCTCTCATTAGTTAAAATCAACTTCTAACCTTAGCTTCTGGAGAAGTTCCATAGGATAACTTCTATAAAAGTTAAAATGCATAAGCCAATTTTAACTTAGTAGAGAAGCTTAATTCGTTTTAACTTCTTATTTTCTTCTACAATAATTAATTATAAGTTTATCCAGAAGGGTTATATCCTAACAAGTTCAAAGGTTTTTCGTGATTCAATTAGAAAGAAAGAGTGCTATAGTTCATTCACAAATATGCTTCGGCATGTATATTGCTATGTTTAGATAGACCATAAGGGTTTCAATACGTATTATCTAAAGAAGCCCAAATACAATTCATAGAGTGGATAAACATAACGATCGTATAACAAATAGTAGTTGTTATCGGTCTTGATAAATGCGGTTTCCAACACCAAAATTGCTAACCTGCATTATGGCACTACGTTCCTTGCTCTTTTTCAAAGCATCAAGCTTCTTATTATCTAACTGCAAATAATTGAAGAGGAACAGAAGGGTGATAAACAAAAGGAGATAACTAAAACCAAAATTAGCAAAAAATAAAATAAAAAATGCAACAACAAACCAATAGAACGCCTGCTTGGGGAAAGTAGCGGCATATGTGGTCACCAATATTCTTCGCCACACCACCAAGCTCACTGTCATCAGATCTCTCATTCGCGTGAAAATAGCCCACTATGTTCAACCCTTTCGCAGAAAAATATTCCTCTATCTATCTCGCAAAAAAAGTAGTGATTGCAAAAAAGAAAAATCAGAAAATTACACAATTAAAGAAAAAAACAATAGACCCCCACAAGAAAAAAAAAAAAAAAACCCAGTTGATTAGGTTACATGTTGATTAAGAAAACATACATCTTTAAGCGTAATTTCATAAATAACCATATGGGGTCAAAACTGAATGAACAAATAAAATCAATGCAAAAAGCCCTAGCGAGAGAACCAGAATGAGAGATATCTCCAATTGGGGAAGAAGAGGGATGTGAGAGTGGAAGAGAGGGACGGAATCCGCGATCTCGACGACGTCGTTGGAAGGGGAGATGCGACCGATCAAGATGCCGTTGACGGCGGAGGTTGGGTGTTTGAGGGAGTGAAGCACGAGTTTGATGTAAGCGTTTTGTGCGATCTCGTACCTCAATCCGTTGCTCCCCATGGCTAAGATTCTCGACACTAAGGTTTGAGGTTCCGGTTCTGTTCTGTGTTGCTCTGTTTTGATGTCAAACACACACAGCCGATGCAGATGCAATCATCTATCAACGGTTGTGGACTTCGCACTTCGCCACAGCTTCTAACGACGTCGTTTGCCACAGTCCTATGCAACGCTTCAATGGCAATCGTTCATCGGGGCCTATGGTTTGTCAGGCCTGGGTCACTATTTATTGGGCTTGGGCCCAATTGCTATTACAATTATCACAATCCTACATTCTTTATGCATGATGAGATCAACGATAAAAATAGTTTTATTGTTAATTAGTGTATTTCTTTTATGAAAAGTTGAGTCAATAAAAAAAATATTTATTTATTTTTTTTACTGTCACTACAATATAATTATTTGCTCTTTTATCACCGTTATTACTATTTATTATTAAAAAAATAGTGCTTTATAATACACCACTTTGACTTCACTTGGAATGAATATATTGTCAACAAAATTTATTAATTTGGTAAAATTTTTAAGATAATAATTGAAAAAAAAACAGAGTTACTATTATTTCATTAACATGTTAAATTAAAAGTTTATTCGGCTAATATTAATCTTTAAAGCGTTATATCTAATTTTAGTCATTAAATTTTTCTTTTATGTGAGCGATTGATTGGAGCTTAAGAAAACTTGACTGAAGTCTGAATATAAAATCTTCCTATCCTCTTTTTTTTTTTCTTTGTTTTCAAAACCTTTCCAAACTCAAATTCTTTAGACAATAATCTAACTTATGAAAACAATTAAATCATAATTAAATATCTTTCTTATAATATTTTGTTCCAACACATTCTTTAAACCTCTTTCTGTCTTGAATAGAAAGCTTCGTGTTTTGATTTTTATTTTTTTTCCTTCGAGGAATTAACCTTAAATTGAGTTTGAAATAGGATAAAGAAACTCATTAGTACTAGTGGGTGATCATTGATGGTTACTAGAGGTATATGCGAATCTATTAACTTGTTTTGTAGATTTTCAAAGTCTATATAATTCATTCTCCTCACTTAAAAAATAAAAATAATATTAATAATAGACAACTCAATGAATAAAATTATACTTTCAAAACCAAGTAAGGTTAAGTTAAAGTACTAACCCAAAAGACTAAAGATGTAGACAAGAAAATAATTCTTAATATATTTAATATATAATCATAACATTCATAATTTTAAAAAAATATCATATACAAATAAATTGACACCATCTTTATATATATATATATATATATATATATATATATATATATATATATTAATTTTTGTATTTAATTATACTATCAATACATTTTTTTTATCGTCAACTCATTAATATCTACTTTAAATATGCATTTAGATATTAAAAGACTTTAGACTTTATTTATTACAAGTATATATATATATATATTTTTATCAATTACATAATTGAAATTAATGATTGATTTTTTGAATTATTATTATTATTATTATTATTATTATTTATTCTATACTTTTCTTTATTATGTTTTTTTAAGTAAATATATAATTAACTTGATTAGGAAAAATTAACCTAAACAAAATTGTTTTATCAATTTCTATTGATTTTATTGTTAAATAAAATTCTTAATGCTTACATTTCCGTTATTATCCTTCTCTTTAAGTACTCACATGATTGTGAGTAAAAAATTTAGTAAAAAAAATACTAGAATTAGTAAATTAAAATAGAGGTAAAAATGATTAAGTAAAAATGACCAAATTTCGTTTAAAATCCAAAAGTGATAAATCATTTAGTTTTATATTTAAATAAAATTAGATGTAAAATTTATATATATACTTAGTTGATTAGGATGATGTTTTAATAATAATAAAACAAACAAACTGTTCCAAAAAGAAAACCCTAGATTATTATTTAAAATTGAAAATTGGAAAAACATAGGCATAGGCACAGTAAAGGAATTGGCGTATATTAATGATTCAAAGTAAAATTTGTGTAAGTGTGTGTGTGTCTGCGTTGTAATAATAAGTCTGAGGAACAGAGAGAGTGTCCCTCCTTCCTTCGTTGCTGTGTTACAGACAGAAAGATGAGCGGCGGTGGTGGGTCTTCCACTTTTAGGGTTCCGATCCCAAACAATGTACGCAAAATCATACAAGACATCCGCGAGATCACCGGCAAGCAGCACACCGACGACGAAATCTACGCCGTCCTCCGCGAATGCTCCATGGATCCCAACGAAACCGCTCAGAAGCTTCTCTATTTAGGTCCCTTTCACTTTTCCCCCTTTTATTCTCTTCTCGATCCACTCTCTCTCTTTCCCCTTTCTCTCTCTATCTTTCGATTCCTACTCTTTTTGTTTATTCACGAATGAAGATGCTAGTTCCCAGTTTTCCAAGCTTCACTTTGAGTTACCGGTGCTTTCCGAAGTTCAGTTCCAGTTTTCTCAATTTATTTTAATTCAACTTATTTTATTTTGCTGTTTAGCTTTTTTGATTTATTAGGAGCTGAGGAGAGTTGTGTGTGCCTCTTTGGACATTAAAAGTTTGATTTTTAACTGTTCAATCTTTGTGAACAAGGAGTTTTTTGTGTACAAGTGCTTCAGTGGGATAAAAGTTTTCTTTGTAGGGTTTTGTTTATATGTTTAATGGTATCTCTCATGTTCTCGTTCACACGTGTTGCTTAATTAATGTCTTAAACACTCTATCTACACTTCCTAATCGTCTGGGATTTCTTGAAAAGCAATGTTCTTTAGCATCTTTGAGATTCTCTTCTTTTTTTGATGTTGGGATTTTATTTATTTATTATTCACAGATACCTTTCATGAGGTGCGAAGGAGACGTGACCGAAAGAAGGAGGTAAGATTCCCCCCTCCCTCCCTCTTTACTTGCACCGCGTTTGCATTTTAAGTTGGTTTATAACTGCTCTTGAAAGTTAAGTTGCTCAAACAGATTGTTTTTTAACCTTAACCTGTAAGGCGCAGCAGACATTCACTTCTTCTGCCATTGAGTGGATCAGTTAACGTGGATGAATCTTTTTATATGTTTATCCTGTAAATTAAAGCATATTCATTATTTTGATGTTTGTGAACTGCTAGGCAGAAGTTCTCATTGTGTCCTGAGTTGCTCTTCTGTATCTTATGAGCACTGTGATTGGCAGACTCAATGTTGAGATTCTTATAGGATGGTTGCTATGGGTTTGAATGTTTGAATAGTTCTTGTTACTATAGGTTTGTGATTCCTGCTTGTTATAATGTGTGGGATCATGCAATAATATTATTTTCTGAGTAAAAACTTGGTTCTTGTTTTGTAATTGCTTGTGCGCGCGCCTCTGTGTGTGTGTATGTGTGTGTGTGTATATTATCTGTATGTTGTGTAATTGTATATGTCCTGTTATAAGTAAATTTGCTTGTATGCCTCATGTTTCTTTATTAATTTTTATTAGCCTGAGTGAATTGAGTTAAGTTTATTGTTACAGGGATTGGGCAGCAGGGCTACTGATGAGCCTAGGATAAAGCAAGGTGGCCAAGGGAGGGGGGGAAGGGGTACTTCTGGAGGATATTCCTCTAACTTTCCTGGTACAATTTCCCCACCTTTTAGAGGCTTGACTTTGGTGCTTTGTCATTAGTTTTGTCTCTTCAATTTATGGATATTCATTTGTACATATGGTCACCCAGAAGCCATCTATCTCTAAAAGAAAATACTTCTGGAAGGCAATCATTTTAATGTGAATTTTTTTAAGATAGTAGCACTATGTGATTCTTCACTCCCAAAATAACTTGTTACCCAGATCTTTTTTCAGAATATTAAGAATTATGCTCTTATTTTGCTGCTTAATGAGCTCTATCACACCCCTTTTGAATCCAGCCTGGCAAGATAAAGGACCTTTCAAATTGCTATCATTTTCAGTTTCCTTTTCTATGGACTTTTATTATTTTTTAGAACATGATCCCACTTTAGTGTATAGACCTATCCTATGACTCTGCAAATTTCTTGCTAGTTTGTTAGCTTATTAGTTACACCGTCTTGCAAATGTATGTTGTTAGATGGTGGTGGTGGGAGGAACACAGCTAATCGGAGGGAAAATGGGGTCAATCACATTGCAGAGAGAAGTCATGCTCCCTCTACTCAGCCGGTGTTGCAGAAAACTAAGACTAATACAACATCTCAAGTTACAAGGTAGCAATTTTTGATTATATGTATTTTAATTTTTTTGTCTTGCCAGATTTTTTCTGATTATGAGAAAATGTATTGGGGAAAGAAATGACTTATTTATTTGATAAAAAACAAGGCAAGACTCAAGACATTTGAAAATAAGAAAGAAAATGGCTTCACTCTTATTTTCCTTTTTTTAGCTAAAATTCTGACCAAATCTCACACTGAAGTCATGCTTAAAATTCTATGTTAATTAAACATGAATTTGTACTCCATTGTTTCTTAACTTCAATCTATAGTAATAACTGCAATGACTAGGAGAAGTAAGTGCGTTTCGAATTTTTGGTTTATTGATAATTAACTTGCTGAGATCAATTGATAATATCTTATGATTCCACACGTGATTGCTAAAATACAATTTATACGAAGTTGTTTGTTGGTGTGATGAGAAATACACCATTGTTAATATTGACATGATTTGTCTATTCCTTTTTATTATTAGATGCATCCTCTTTTAAATAATTTTCTTCAACTGCAGAGTTTCAGCTGTTACACCCCATGGTGCTGCAAATCAATCCAATGGGAAGTCAGTTCATGGTTCTGTTGGCCAATCTCCCATAGTTGGTGTACCTAAAAGTAGTTCGGCTTCTAATGACACTGGCTATGAAGAACCACAAGCTGCTGCTGTTGCTACACCCTCTTCCCCCACTCAAACTTTTGGTGGCTTAGTTACTAGTAATGACCAAGGAAAGCCTTTGTCAAGTTCTGATTTACTTCAAACTTCTGTCTCGGGTGTCCATTCCTCTTTGGATCCTGTAGTAGCATCATCTGTCTCCCGGAATCCTGGTGTCAGTGGTGCAATCAGTAGGGAAGTTGGAAGCAACCGGATATCTGCTGGACCAAATCATGTTAAAGGAAATCAAGTTGTTGTTCAAGAAGTTAATGATTTAATAGCATCCAAGAATGATAAATCTGAGTCCCTGAATTCAATAAGCAAAACAAATGCCCCACAAAAGTCAAATGAAGTTGAACATAATCGGTTATCTGAGCCATCACAACTTTCCTGTCCATCCGCAAATGATTCATTGAGGCCATCTTCTAGTTCTGGCAGCCAGCCACCTCTAGGTAAAGTTCTCCTTTTTTACCTGTTTAATCTTATGAGTGACAGGGTTGCTGCTTCATGTCATATTTCCCTCATTTTTCTTAGTTGAACTATTCCATGATTTTTTGAACAAACAATCCTACCATTTGGATACTATCATTGCTCTCCTAGTATAGAAAGGGGAATGTAAATTTTCAGAAGAAAAATTGTAGTAAAACTACAGAGATAGGAGGGCATAGGTCAGGAGAAGAACCTTTGAAACTATTCCTGAAGGCATTTTACTTGAGATGCAGGATGATTAAGCCTATAATTCAAATAAGCATGTCATTTGTGTGGGTCCCCAAATTTTACTTGCTTAGATACTTTTCCATGTTGGAAGGATTCATCCTAACAAAATCAAGAATTGTGTCTGTGCGTTTTTTTAATACAATTTTTTCTCAGTACTTTTCAATATACCTCTATTATATTACTTATAGTGTCTTTTTGTGAGCTCACATGTTTCTGAAACGGCTAATATCACAGAGGTTTCACCTTCACAACCTTGTGTGCAATCCTCGACAGAGTTGAGGCAACATGTTACTTTTCCAAACCATTTTCAAGTACCCAAGGCTTTAAAAAGTGGTCTGACATTTGGAAGCTTTGATACTTGTGGCCCAAGTGAAAAATCTAACAGTGGAACTGATGGGGACAATAATGTTACATGTGCTCTTGAACCTTTGCCAGTGAGCGATGAAGCAGCAACTTCAAGGTTTGTAATTCATATGCTTTGTATGTGCTTTTTCTTTGCATATAAATTAAAGATCTATCCCTCCATCCCTCCTCTGTGTGCACACACATGCTTGTGTTTCCTCTTATGCCCTTCTAAATAAATTTATATGGTTGGATTATCTTAGCTTTGTGCTCTAAACTTCTTCACCAACAAAATGACTATAACCTGTCTGAATGTTGGTGCTAGGAAGTTGTATCTGGAGATAATATTATACCTGTTCAATGCCCTTTGGTAATCATAAGGCTGGGTTCTGATTTCTTTATTGAATTGTTCTGGTTGATTTAACTGATTATTGTTCCTGTTACCAAAGTTATTACTTGTGTACTCATGTAATTTTTCTTGCCTGGATGTAGCAACCAAAAGACATCATTAACTTCACAAGGGGATCATCTTGATTATCCACATTCTTCATCTTACGTGATTGAAAAGACACCAGCTACAGAAGGCAATCCTATAACTGGTACCGACACAAAGGTTGATCAGCCAAAGAAGGAGGTTTTGTTGGCTCCTGAGGGTCATCAACTTCCAACTGTTCAAACTGCTCAAAACTATGGTTTGAATTTCATGTCCACCATGTTAGGAACTCAGCAAATTCAATTTGAGGGAACAGAGCCTCAGGCACAAGATACATCTCGTTTTCCTAACTTTGTTGTAAGTTTCTTAATATCTTCCTCTGCTTAGTATTTATTAAAACTGTATCTCCCTATGCTTGAATACTCTCTTTCCTGGCTTGGTGTTTTGATAGACTTTTTTATTATTAAATTTCTTCATATTCATGAGCTTGTAAAGGTTCAACTGCTTTCTGAGATTAGTTTTCTCATTCAAGGGAATATCCAACTCTTTTGTTTGCCTTGTTTTAAGGTTTTATTTTTTTCAGTAAAAACATTTGCTCTGTGTTGATGTACCTGGATTGTATGATTAGGTAGCCGTAGAATCAAGTTTTCTTGTAATGAGGCGGTGTTATTCTAGTCAATCTCATGCCTAATATTGAACCTAAAGTACATCCAATGCCCCTAAGATCATTTGCAGTTTCTATTGTAATTTCTTGTTGACAAATAAGGAATGTGTTGTGTCTAGACTCCACCTATCCAGGACCATTCCCAGCAACCTTTATGGTTTCCTTGATAAATGGTAAATGTCAACCTTGCTTGGATTTCATGGTGATCATTGATGTTTCTCTTATGTTTACATTTCAATGTGCCTAGATTTGTATCCATGTACTGAAATGATGCCTAACTATCTTTATAGTAATAATTTGCAGTTTCTATTGTTCAGTTGTTTCTTGTCTAGAATCTACCTATCTATCTAAATTGTTCCCTTTGGAAAACCATGGAAATCATCCTTTCTTGGATGCTGTATTTCTTGTATAGCACTATGATCCTCGATGTTTCTTTTACTGAATTTTTCGTATCTACCAAATATTGACAATTGTAAAACATGAATTTCAACTTTTGACCCATAGTTTCAGTTAGACATGAATTAGAAGCAGTGTTAGAATGACCCAGTATTCCTCTGTCAATTATACATATGCACTTTTGTCAGCCATCAGGACATAACTTGCTCAAGAAATTTGAAGTGAAATTATGAGATTACACATTATAGATGTTCCAAGATAGATCAAGAGCTTGTTTGGATGAACTTTTTCATCTAGGAGAATAATATAAAAAGGAAAATGAATTGGACTTCTCTATTAGCTAAAATTAACTTCTTTACAAGTTAATTTGTAGAAGTTCTCTCATATCAACCTGTTTGATATAAGATTTGTAGCTTATGCATAAGATAAATTTACATTATGGAGAGGCGTATTTGACTTTTTTCTTATTTTTCTTTTATTAAAAGTGTTTGTGAAGTAATTTACCGAAACAGACAAGCAGTTTTGAGGACAGTACTTTGTTGAAATTGAAGAATTAATGAAAGTAAAGTTTTCTTAGGTTGGTTTATGAAGCTTGTACAGTTTGGACATGGCTAGCTGATATTGATTATAGAAGAATGTTTTACTGCTTATGTTGAATTTGATAAACTACAGCATGGTTTTTATTATCCCAATAAAAATTAGCATATTTTGATTGAGTTATGGAATCAGAATCTACTTCTGCTATATTTTTATCCCCCTTTGAATATATACCCCTTGCAAGGAAGGTATAGTGCATTCTATTCTGGAATTTGTTGTTTACTATGTTTTTATCATTAGGAACATATATGCCTTTTTGAAACCATAGAAATTAAGTGCACCTTGACTTTTTTTTTTTTTTTTTTTTTCATTTTTTAAAATAGTTTTGCTGTATTTTTAGTTGAAGTGTAATGGTTTTTACACTGTCAACCTATTATAAATTGTCCTTGGTATTGCTTGTAAAAAAAGTTTAACATACATAACAAGTTGTAATTGAACGTCAGGTAAAATAAACTTTACAATCTGTATTATTTATTCTTTTAATTATGGCTAACTTTTAATTATGTAAAAAAAACTATTCATATTGCAGAATGCAAGTTCTCAAGCTGTGTCCCCTAGCCCAACTCCACCCCTACAGAGCTCTATACCTGTGTCTCCACAGTCAGTTTCTATTTTCAGGCCACCCTACCCTACTAACTTCTTCCCTTATGGCCACTATTACCCTCCAATTTATGTGTCTCCCATACACCAATTTTTAAGCCACAACGGTTTCCCTCAACAGCCATCGGCTGGTAACATGTATCTACCAGCAGCTGCTGGCATCAAATTCCCCCTCCCTCAGTTCAAGGCAGGAGCAAACACAGGAAATGCAGCTCATATTGGAATTCCTTCTGGATCATTTATCACTCCACCTGTAGGTTATGCGCCAGGTCAAACAGTTAATACTGGAAGCTCCGCTGGAAATGAAGATCTTGCAGTGTCGCAGTTAAAAGAAAACCAGATCTATACAACGGGGCAGTTGGTTGGTTTATTTCCTTATTAATGGCCTTTTATTTCACCCATGCATATTTCTTGATAAGTTAGAAAATTTTGTTTCATTTTGATTCCTGGCTCTACAGTATCAATCTTAGTTCATGGTTTAGTTTTGTTTGTTTCATCCATGCATGTCCCTTTATTGTGGTCCCATGAAACAAAATTATTTGATTTTCCATAGTTACTGAACATATGAACATATATGGTTTTATATCTTTTGCTGCAGAGTGAAGGATCTGCAGTGTGGATACCTGCTCCAGGCCAAGACATATCCAGTTTGCAAGTTAATTCTCTGTATAACCTTACTGCTCAGGGACAACATCTCACCTTCCCCCCAACACAGGCTGCTCATGGAGCATTTGCTGGTATCTATCAAGCAGGGCAGACAGTAGCTTCACCTTCAACCCTTTTGCAACAGTCTCAAGCTGTGGCTGGGCCTGTTGAAACCGTAGGGCCCCCTTCAGGATCTTATCAACAACCTCAGCCTGCGCAGATCAATTGGAACTCTAATTTTTAGGCTGGAAAACATTTTCTTGGTGCGATAATGTTCATATGCACACATTATGTGCTCAGATCCAGGGAAGTATGAATGAGCACTGGCCTGATCTGAAGTGTAAATAAAAATGCGGCCAAAGAATGAGAAAGGAAAATTAGTAACTGTTTTTGGTGGAGATTTGGTGCTAACGATTTTGAAGGGTGCTAGTCGCAGGTTTTCATTTTCTCTATTTTTTTCTTTTAAATTTTTGAGCCTTAAGTCTATTTATCCCCGACCTCATCTTTTACCCGAGAGAACATTTAGTTGTTGCTATAAGAAACTTGGTAATTCCTAGTGATAATATACTAAGCCAAGAATTGGTAGGTGAGATTTACCAATTTTTCCGTTCTAAATTCTCACCTGTATATTACATTTTGATATCAGAGGACATTGAATTATACAGTTTTATTTGGAGCATGAGAATTGTGGTATCTATTATTCTTCAGTAGCTAATTTTCAAATCTTTCACAGCCTTAACCTGATTTTGCATGACGATAAGTGCAATTTATGGGTTTTTTGTCTTCTCTTTGATTTGAAATTTTTTAATGCCATTTTCTAACCAGCATGATTATAATTTTTCATTCAACACCAATTATAGGAAAGTTACTGATTACTACATGTCTCGTGGAAAGCTATCTTTAAACCTTAATATTTCACATGTATTTCTTATTTGAGGAATATGAATGACACAACTTTTAATAACTTTTAATATTCATTAAAATTTATTCTTTATTAAATTTTAGCAGAAATCACAGAATTATATGGCTTCATTCTCTTTTAATGTGATCCATTTATGATTTTGTGATTCTTAATATTTTAGGTTTAGTAAAATTTTTGGTTTTCGAAGTTTAGTTTATAGGTGATTTGGGTTTCGGATATTTAGTTTGTATATTTTTGTTCATCTTGATTGTAGAATGTTGACATAGATATGTCATTATCGAGTTGGAATGTTGATAGAAGATGTCGATCTAAGTCTCAATTTCAGCTACCCAGTTTTAGACTATCTATTGAATTGTGTGATTTTGCATTTGTATTAACTTCATATCCTACACTTATGGTATGTGCGTTTTTGAAAGAAAATCAAAAGAAAAAAAGTAAAAAGAAAGAGAAGATGTAAAACTTGAGATAATATTTAGATTGTTTGATAAAAAACAAAGTGAAAAAAAAAGTAAATTAATGTGTATATAAAATGAATTAAAACATTTATAAGAAAAGAAATATACAAGAAAAAAAGATGCAATTTTGTCATTTAACCTGCCAAACTTCCTATTCTTCTTATTTATGTTATTACTAAATTGAGAAAAGAAAACACTCGATGAATTCATATATCTCAATCCTCATGTTCGAAGAAATGTAATAAAATAAAATAAAATGCTAATTTTATAATATAACGATAATTTTAATATTGATAATCGTAACACTCATAAATATTAATTAGATTGAATTATGATAATAATCCTAACACTCTTATTTTATTTTTATTGCAAAATTACCCAATACTTTTCCATTTGATATATTTATGCCATTATTAAATACAAAATATTAATAAATTAATATTAATAAAGAAAAAATAAAATAATATTAATATCAAATAAACATTAGGTTCCATGTTTGTAGAGATTTTTAGAATGTTATTTGAAAGCCAAAAAAATTAATTATGGTATAGTAAACAAAATTTCCTCCATTTCATTTTATGTCGTTTAAGTTTTATTTTTTTATAATATTTTAAAGGAGTTATTATTTACTTATTTCAATGTAATAATTACAATTTTATTTCAATATTATCCTAAATAAATAATCTGTTCATTACAAGTTACAAAATAATTAGATAAGATGTAATAATTGTTTAGTGCAATGATTTAAGAGCTTGTTTATTTTGTGGAGACGAGTTCAAACCCTTGAATGTGATGTTCTACCTTCTGTCATCGAGTATTTCTCATATTTGTTGATTTCTTATGACTGTCCGAGGATTGACTGATAATCCTTAATACTATGTCCCTTTCAATTTTTTTTTTTTCATGAAATCTTATTTAAAAATTTTGTGGACTAGGAGAAACAGTGGCAGGACAAAAAAGTTAGAATTTTTTCCTTAGAATATAATTGAGACTGATGGAAGTTTGTGAAAAGCTACCCTTACAATATCTCAACAAATTTCCAGTAATTGAATTACTTTGACTGATCTGTCTATACAAGAAGTGTGGCTGCACAATTAAAATTGCTAAAAGCGAAGGGGACATGAAATGAGTCTGTCTGATGTGTTTGTTTTATCTTGTATTATATGGCTTACACAATGGTGGTAGTGTTAGTATTTACATTCAAATCTGTGCTGTCTTCACCTGTTGATTTCGGCTTCGGTGAAGGCAAGATTTGCTTCGTATTTTCCTGAGACCCCTGCAAATTCAATGATGTGTAGATTGACATCCCAGCGAGAGCAACAACAGCACCACCAATGCTCATAACCCCAGGATCTGACTTGAATAATATATACCCTCCCAACAGAATCACACAGGTCTTGAACTGTCCTAAAACAACATGGGTTGTAGCAGAAGTGGCCCTGCAATGATTCATTCATAATGTGATTTCAGCTAACTAGTCTTAACCTTCCTCCACCAAGGAGCAACAATACCAAAAGGAATAACATTATGTTTGCGTCAAAAAATGGTTTTGGAAGGGATATGCAGTCTCACCCCAGTGCCAAGGCCCCTGACCATTGCAAGAGAAAACCAAGGAGAGCAGATACCAAAACAGCTGTCGAGTTGTTCACATCCCACTTGAAAGATAGGACTCCTGGTGGATCTATCCAGGGCATCAATGCCCCAAGGAAGAAAACTGTGATGGGGGTTGTCTTCCACATCAACCTACAATGACAAAAGTTTCAAGTTTGGGTATTGACATACTTTTGCTTAGGAGAAATTCGGTAGTAAGGGCTTATAAAGTAAATACTTAAATTAAGCATTTATCTTTATCTGTAAGTTGTTATATAATTGAAGAAAAAATAGGATCAAGTTGTTAGCTGATTTTACAATCATGATCTTATCATAAGTTTTTCGGACACTTGAACAGATGTTTGTCATAAGGTATTTTCATAAACTCTCTCAATCACTTGTACAAATACTTGTGTAATAAGTCTAAATAAGTTGTGAATAAACTCTTCCAAATGCACCCTAACTACCACTACTTACGCCAGAGCTGTCCAGTTGCTTTGCTGTTGTAAAGTAGACCATAAAATTTTGTTTATCGCACTTGGGATTATCCATGCAATTGCAATTAGAGCACCAAATAAATTGAACTCTAAATCTGTTACAGTTGCAACTGCTACACCTGCTGACACGACAGCCAAAGCCAAAACCTGCATCATTGCATAAAAAACAAGGAAGGGGGTGGAATAGTCCCTAAGATATGTGAAATGCTTTACAAAAGAAGAAAAGAAAAAAGAAGAAGGAAAGGGCAGTGTGTGTAATTCTTCACCTTTGTAAAAGAAATGGTTTTTTTAAAAAGAATGAACTCCGCAAGAACAATTGTAGGGGTGACAGCAATCTTAGCCATTTGATAGAAACCAATACTGCAAAAGCTGGATTGTCAGAAAACAGTAAAGTTCTAAATATTGTATTATGAAGATGCTAAGCAAGAGCGAGAACCTGTTATGCTGGAGGCTAGTGTTTGCGAGGCCAGAGGCAAAGGCCATAACAGCACCAAGTGCAAATAAAGAAGAGAATGGAGTTGTTTTAGATGGAGGAGACACAGGAAGCACTGAGAGTGTCTTGAAAATGGCAAGTAGAAGCCATGCTGTAATGTAGTGTACAAATGTAAGGAAAATTGGGAAGTTGAAGCCAACTTTACCCATCACCTGTTAACATAGTTACATATAATACAATTGTAAGGGTGCTCTATCAATAAGCTGAACTTCTAGAGAGGTAAAATACAAGCAAAAAAAGATGCAGATTGTGCTCACCAATTTGTTTGCCATGATAATCCCAACAGCAACCAAAAAGTTGAAAGACAGAGCCGCCACTGGTCCACAATATCTTTGCTGTTGTCGCTTGGCTCCTTCTGAGGTTCGGATCTCATTATAGAGTGAAGCTCTGAGTTCTTCCAGTGCTCTACCTGATACTTGATTCATTAGAACTCGCATTCGCCGGGATTAAGTACACCAAGGCTAGTTTATATTGATTGCTATTGGTAACTGCTATTAATGCTAATGATCACGTAATATTGAACGAGTAATACATTGCAAAATGGAAACTTGAAAACATTGAATGAGTCCCTGTTATTACTCCAAATAGGGCTCAAAGTTAGCTTAAATCATCATGGTTCAACAGAGAAAGGAGAATGGAGCTCAGAAAGGACAGACGATGCTAAAGAAGAAGGAAGGAAAACAAGATGAATGTCAGAGACAAATCATATATCTTTATTTCAAAGTTCATTTCATGTCCTCATTCCATGTTTGCCAAACACAGGTCCAAATAATTTCCGAAGTGGTTGTAAAGGACGATCAGGGTGGTCTAAATTTTTGAATTGGCGAGTGAGAACATGAACCAAAGTTGCAGAAAAATAAACATAGCAGTATCAGTTGAATTCAAAATGCGCATTGGTGTGAGAAAGTTTCCATGATCAGAAAGACCTTGTGATGAAGTCATGATAGAGCATAACATAAACTACATAAAAAAGAAAAGAAAAGAAAAGTAACAAACTTATAATTTACGACCGCCAAAACCGGAGTATCCAATGCTTTCTAAGCCATAAAATATTATTTCACACAGAAAGGGCAGAGGAAAATAATATTAATTTAAGAACGAAGTTCAAAAAACCAACCCAGAAAAAAACAATACATGAACATAGGTGACAACGAAAGTTTGATATTCATTTTCAAATTAGGTACAAAACCAGTCTGTTGCATGCAATAGAACTAAGATGCAATGAAATCAGCTAAGAAATTCAGGAAAGACCTGCATCACCAGCATCACTGTCTTTCCTTTTCATTAACCTTCGTCCTCCTCTCCAGAGTGAACCCAAAAACTCCATTCCTATGTGGCCTATTCATGGACTTGGATCACATATTCAATCAAAATGCATGGCACTCTTCGTAAAAAACATACATTTCTATTGTTATCTATACCAATTAGATGTAGAAGCCAAAACAGAAAGGCAGAGAGAAAAGGGTGATGATATAAATACGAATTAATAGGCCATGTTTGCTTAAAATACAATCAACGTATGAGGGTGGCGAAACAGATGATTGACATTATTGAAGGAGGAGTTTTGAAATGCATGAAGGAAAAAGAAAAAGACAAAAGAGAAAAGTGAAGGGAATTTACTTTCTGTTGCAAGGGAATATTGCATTTGATGAGGGTGCCAACAAAATGGCAACACGTGTTTCTCAAATGAACCTAGTAAAAGTGTAGGTGAGGGTAGTAGCAACACCTGTCTACCTCGTATACTTGGAATTTCTGTAACTGTTGATTTACGGGGAAGTTAATGTGGCATCATGAAATGAAATGATGTTATATATATCATTACCAAATTATCAATACACTTGTAGCAACCACCGCCATGCACTCTTTTTTTAGTTTTAGGTAACATTGGCTAATCTCATGGCTCCAACAACAGCACAACTTCTTCTTTTCTGATAGGATAAATAATAAATATACATAAATATCAATGTCATCAACTATAATTGATGCAGAAGTTTCATCTTAATCTAACAGAAATCCACATTTTGCTTTCCAGATATATCCCACCAACTGGTTGGTACCATTAACTGTTGAAGTCATGCAATCTTTCTTTTCTTCTTTCTGTCAATAACTACTGGTATTTTACCTTGTACATTCTGCAAGGCAAATTCTTATGTTTTATGCAATTATATAAATATATACATTATGAGATATTTTAAGTATATAAATTATATTTTATATTTATTTATACAATATACAAAGAGGGTAGTATTTCTGATAACTATTTTTCAAATTCATGTATATATTTTGTTGTGTAAAATGATGATTTTTGTTTATTTTACAAAAATACTTCGTGTTTGTGTTTTCACTGGTGTTAAATAATTCATTGCTATATATAATATTTATTGCTATATAAGATAATTTTAGTTATTTATATATAATTTATATTTTTTTATCAAATGGATAATTTATATGTTTTAAAATATTAATATATGACGATTTTAATTATAATATTCTATTGTGTCAAATTGAGTCAACATAGCTTAATATGATTGAATCATCATCGGTTGAGCTAAAAATAGGCGAGTTCAACCCGTTTCAACTTATTATAAAATGATAGGTTAGATGGGTTGACTTATTAATTTATTTTTATTTTTTTTTCTTCAATTTTTTTTAATAAACATGACTTAACTATGGGACCGAAACGCAGTGACACGAATGAAATATAATAAAAATGTGGCGTGATTGAAACACATAGAAAATGGTGACATAATGGTGCGGCAAAGCAGACGACAATCAACTCAGGTGTAGTAGCGGAGAGATGATGACAAATTTGAATGAGGTTTTGACTTATAATCATAACTTGGAGTAAATGTGGAAAGACAATATAATATCAATTAAGGTTAATAAATTATTATAATATTTTTAAAATTTAAAATGAATGATGGGTAATGGGTCAATTCACCATAACCCGGTTCGAACCCGTTTAATTCAATGATTAAGTGAACTGAGTTTATTTTTAACCCATTATTGATAGAAATGAAAAAAATCAAATTCAATTCGACTGAACCTGTGTTGAGCTAGATTGACTCACGAGTTATAACCAAATTGACAGTCCTGTTTTCTTTACATTTAAAGTTAAAAAATAGTATGCTCGTACCTAAACAAATTTGATTGTTTTATGATAAAACGAGTTAGACCCAGTGGGTAAGTCCGCTATAATATAGCAGGACGAGTTGGTATTTTTAGCTCGATCTAGCCTGCCTAATTAATAAAATATTTTTTAATTATAATACCGTTAAACATAAAATAATATATAAAGTTAAAAATTGTAAAAAAGAGAATTAAAAAAATCTCACTCTCACTCATTATACGAAACATTCTTCTTACTCAAACATAAGCTTCACTTTCCTTGTTCCTCATCTCTTCCTTGTTTATCCTTAGTACTTGATTATTCTTATTCTTATGATTTAAATTAAAGGTGTAAGAATTACTAAATGAGAAAACAATGTGAAGTTTTATCAAATAAAAAAGATATAGATATTTGAATATTTCAATATAAATTTTATAAGTTTTGACATTATTTATATATTTGTTATTATTTATTATTATTATTTTAAATTATAATTTCTTAAAATAATGTGTTTATTTATATTATTAACTTGAAATATATACGTTGAATAATTTATAAACAAATGATAATTTTATTATTAAATTTATTAAAAAATTTAATTTTAAAAAAATAAATTATTATTTTTTAAAATTATGACAGAGTTAACCTACCCACCCATCCTTTGACACGACAAACCAAAATCTTTAATCCTTCGTGACTATACTCGAGTTAGTCCGTCCTGTCCCGTTTTTTAACAAACTAAAGACGGGACGGAGTAACCCATTTTGCATCCTAATTGTTTTGACTTGAATTATCTTATTAGTTTTTAGTTAATATAATCCAATAATTAACACCTCTCTTAACCATAGTTAAGAAACCTAGATATGCAGCTATTCCAATTTCCAAGAAATGAAATTTGTTTGGGAGTTTTAACAAGTTGTACTTTTTTACACTTAATTAACTTTGCCCTGTGACCAACGAGTAAGGCGAAAAGAGCAAAGCAAAATAACTAAAAAAATGAATGGTTATAATTTTTTTATCTAAGAAAAAATTAAAAAATAATACTTTTTATTTTATACCTTTTTATTAGTGTGAGATGGACATAAATACTCTATCTAAACTCAAACGTAAACAAAAACATATTTTTGCACCAGTTAAAAATGTCACAGTAGTTAAATTTATTTAACTTTCTTGATTTCATAAAAAAACAATAAATTCGGTTAATAAATATTATATTTAATTGCAATTTTGATTGATATCATGATTGTTTCGTTTTAATCCATTAATTAGATTCTAATTACACTAATTCGGTTTCTTAAATATTGTAATGGTCCGATTTGATTCTCCAACTATATCATACATAAATGTCATTGCAACATATTGAAAATAACAAAGGAGTTAAAATTGAAGAAAAGTCCCACTATTATATATGAAGGATTCAATTGATGCTGTTATTTAGAGACTAAAATCACTCAATTATATCCATTTAACACTTTATGAATCCAATTTCTACTTTCAATGTATAAATAAGTCCATGGATTCGTGATGCGTGTGATAGGTAGTTTTGATTCCATTAATTGTTCATACGAAAACTTCTTCCAGTCCAGTCAATGATTTGCCATGCATATAGAAAATTCTAACCAGGATGAGCAGTGCTGGTATTGACTTGTGAGTAAAAGGAATGATACACGAGTTTTGTGAGTAAAAAGTATGAAGGAGGAAAAAAGTTAGATGATCTTCTAAGCTCCAAATGCTTGAAAAAGAAAAGTGAATCTGGAAAATGGAATTGCCATTATGGATATGTCTGTTTTCTAATTTCACCAAATTTTCATTGTTAAAGAACTTTTTTATTTTTGGATGAGTCGAGTCACATCAATCTAATAAACATGAGATGGAAGACATGCAGAAGGGTATTTCATAAACGTTCAGTCACTTACCAAGCCAATTTATTCATGTTCTTGACATGTTCTTAGGACAAATCATTATGGTTGAATTCAAAGGATATGGGAGAACAGCATTCATACCTTTCATGGACCAAGAAATTGCCATGAAAAGTATGTGGCCCACCAACCTAAGTTCTGCCTCCATATATGATATACAGGCAAGCTCTTTGTCTGATGCAGTTGACTCACGGTATCTACACTATATTATTAGAATACTTGACTTCAACAAGTTCGCATTAGCTTCCAAGATCATGGAGAATGAAAGAGAAGATGAGATTGAGAACATGTCAATGTCACCCCCATCTCTGGGCTCCATCCAAATTGCAGGGAGCAATGGCTTTGGTCACAGCATGGAGTTCATGTCTCAGGCATACCTTCCGAATATGTACACAGAGATTGACATAAAAGTTGAGGATTCCAATTTCAACCAAGATCCCCCCCTCCCCATTTATCTCAAGGTATAGAAAAAATGGTTAAATTCTACAATTTCATCAGGATTTTCTTTCCCCCTACATCACCAGAAATTATTATATGTTCCAAACTATGTATACATAATTTTGGTTAGTTTCCATGTGACATGAAAAGGAGTTAATATAACTCAGCTAGACAGCTGCATGTGTCATGTGAAAATTGGCTGGAACTGCGATCATATGATAATTTATTCTATTGCATTAGAACAAAGTTTTTCTCTTAATCAGAATCATAGTTCTTCATGCAATGCACTTCGAGGGTCTTGATGATTTTCCACTTGTATTGAAAACTGATTTCAATCTGTCAGAATAGTATCATCAGCAGTTTTTTGTTCCTAATTCTGTAGTTGTGATTGTTGTCATTTTCCCTAAAGATTCTCAGTAATGTGCAGTTTGAAGATGTAGAGTATAAGGTGAGAGATAGCCAAGCGGCTTCCATTAATCCTGTTAAGTCGGTGATGTCAAAAGTAGCCACACAACACAGCGTGGAAGAAGATAGATACAAGAAAATTTTGAAGGGTATGACGGGAAGCATTGGCCCTGGTGAAATTCTTGCTTTGATGGGTCCTTCTGGTAGTGGGAAGACAACCTTGTTGAGAGTTATAGGGGGAAGATTAGTTGACAATGTAAAGGGAAAGATAACTTACAATGACGTTCGATTTAATCCAGCTGTCAAGAGGAGGTTAGAAAACTTCATAGACATCAGCATCCATGTCATGACAAGTGCTTTGATATTCTAACAGAACATGACTATATGCTAATGTTGTACTCTTCTGTTTGTTTTATTTTCTGCCTTATAGGATTGGATTTGTTACACAAGAAGATGTGCTTTTCCCACAACTTACAGTAGAGGAAACATTAATTTTCTCTGCATTCTTGAGGTTGCCAGGCAATTTGAGCAAGCAACAAAAGTATGCAAAAGTGGAGACCACTGTCAAGGAGCTAGGCCTTGAAAGGTGTGTCTAGAATAGGTCTACATGTGATTATTGAATGCTCAAATTAGCTACAAGTTCCTCCAAAATAAAATATATGTATATACATATATATAAAACTGTTTCCTAAATAATCTCTTGTATAACCATAGATGTCGCCACACAAAAATAGGTGGAGGATATCTCAAAAGCATCTCTGGAGGAGAAAGGAAGCGAACCAGCATAGGCTATGAAATCCTTGTTGATCCTTCACTGCTTCTACTTGATGAACCAACTTCTGGCCTTGATTCCACCTCAGCAAACAGACTCCTTCTCACTCTTCAGGGACTTGCCAAGGTATCAGTAACTATATTTAACTAGCATTTTGATAACATGTTTCAAGTTTAGACCCCCAAAATTTGGAATATGCTGAAAATACTTTTGATATGCCTAAAGGGAGGAAGGACCATAATCACAACAATTCACCAGCCCTCCAGCAGAATTTTTCACATGTTTGACAAACTTCTTGTTATATCAGAAGGCTATCCCGTTTACTATGGGAAGGCCAGGGACTCAATGCAGTACTTTTCATCGTTGAGGTTCACAACGGAAATACCAATGAATCCTGCAGAATTCTTGCTTGACTTGGCAACTGGACAAGTAAATAATATAAGTTTTCCACAAGAAATTTTCATAGATCAAGAAGCTGCTGACTGTTCAAAATCTGTTATTCAAGTAAGATTATGCATTATATATCTTTTATTTTATGCATGTTCTATCTCATTATACCACTTAATAACTGTTCCTTTACTCTGTTAGTATCTACAACTCAAGTACAAAGAAACACTGGAACCAAAAGAAAAAGAAGAGAATCATGGAGCAGCAAACACACCAGAACATCTTCAGCTAGCTATTCAGGTTAAAAAGGACTGGACAGTGAGTTGGTTGGACCAATTCGTTATTCTTTACAAGAGGACATTCAGAGCAAGATGCAAGGACTATTTTGATAAATTAAGGTTAGTTCAAGCACTTGGCATTGCTCTTTTGTTGGGGCTACTTTGGTGGAAATCATCAACCAATACAGAGGCTGAAGTTAGGGATCAGGTAGATTCTGTGATTTCGTTTTCACATTTTACAAGGCCGAGCTTCGACATTAACATTAGAATGAAGCACTATCTTTACTGCAGGTTGGTTTAATGTTCTACATCTGTATATTCTGGACATCTTCATGTATTTTTGGAGCGGTCTATGTCTTTCCATTTGAAAAGGTCTACTTGGTGAAAGAAAGGAAAGCAGAAATGTATAGACTGAGTGTTTACTACGTGAGCAGCACTCTCTGTGATATGGTGGCGCATGTTTTTTACCCTACTTTTTTCATGCTTATCTTGTACTTCATGGCTGGATTTAAGAGCACTGTTGCTTGCTTCTTCCTGACTTTGTTGGCGGTGTTGTTAATAGCTATAACAAGTCAAGTAAGCCATGTTGAGACATTATAAGTAAATGGATCATCATTTGTTTGAAGCTTTAATGAATGCAATGTTGTTAATAGGGAGCAGGAGAACTATTTGGAGCTGCAGTTATGAGCATTCAAAGAGCAGGGATGGTTGCTTCTTTGATACTAATGTTGTTCCTTCTCACTGGTGGCTATTATGTCCAGGTATATGTATGCTATGCAAAATTATAGTACCACAAACAACATTAATTTCTAGTCTTATGAACCAAAAGACAACTATGAGGAAAAAAAATGTTGATGTGACATTCTAAATAACTTGTCATATGATAAACCGTTGACTAGTTTGTTTAGAAGGTGCATATTCGTGATGATTTGTTAAGAATTTTGGTAACTTTTTTTATTTAAATACCTTCTAATAGAGGATGGTTGATGTTGTTGCATGCAGCACGTACCGAAGGCGATGCAGTGGTTGAAGTATTTGTCGTTCGTGTACTACGGATTCAGACTTCTTCTAAAAGTGCAGTATTCAGGAGCGCAACTATACGAGTGTGAAAGCGAAAAAGGGTGCAGGACACTGCAGAGTTCACCATCATTTGACACAGTAAACTTGAAAGGAGGCTTAACTGAAGCATGGATTCTGGTAGCCATGGCTCTTTGCTTCCGTATCTTTGCATACTTCTGTCTCCGCAGACGAATTGACGCCTATTAGTCTCTCATCAATTCAACATCTCTTCTCACTTCTTCATAACAAAACAGCAACATTTGAGAAAACAGTCCAAGAAAAAATAAATACTGTATTCAACCCCTACCAAATTACCAACCATTTTCATAACTGAGTTATGTATTTCACAGCTTCATATGCTTCAATCTTCAACTGATATTATTGTTGTTGGTTCTTTTCTCATTAAATATTATGCTTTATTACTTCTTCTGTAACAGCTTGGTTGGTCTCTACTTTAACAACCTCTTATTAGTTAACAATGAAATAGATCTTAAACTACTTAGTAAGTACTTGATTTTTTTTTTATAATTATTTACTTAGATCTTCAAACTAAAAAAAAAAAATTAAGAAATAAGTTATACATTAAAAGTATAAAACAATGTTTTACATATCTTAAAGGTCGCATCACAATTATTTCTCACATATTTATAGTGTAAAACATTGTGTGTATGATCATTAAACTTAATTTAAAATTGAGTCTTTGATCTTATAAAGCTTTTACAATGGAATTCTAAGTTTTTAAAATAATATCAAGTTGTTATTTTCACGGAGTTCCAAACTGAACTAATTCTAGGAACTGTATTATAAAAAATTTCTGAGATTAAACACTTAATTATTTTTTAGCTTAAAATTTAATTAAAAAAATAACGATTTTTTAATAACCATATTGGTTTATACTTTACTTAAAAGTACTGAGTTGAATGACCAATCACTTGCTGATTAATTTAATGTACAATAAAAGTTAAAGGTCATAATTGAGGTATGATGAAAGGATAAAGATTGGGATGACTTATGAAAAGGGGGAAGAATGCAATGGAACACAACACAACACAACACAGACTTACATGAAGCCAAGTACCAATTCTCTTTTCCCAACTTTCCACTTCACTCTGCTTCTGTCAGTTTAAAAAACTGCATTTTCTTCTTTCACAACAAAACAAACCTTGGGAAATCAAACCATATCTCTCTTTCTATTGTTAGCCATTCGATTCATTAACATTGTCGAATTATACTTATTCATTCATTTTCACTGGTGTTTCTGTTCTGTCCCACTCTGATGGACCTTGTCCCTTATTCTGATCCTAACTCTACCACCGCCACCCCGCCGTGGTATGACATGTTCCGATCCGCCTCCCTCCGAAAGCCCTCCCAAGATCCTGCGCCGCCGCCGCCGAATGTTGAACAAAAAGTCAACCCCTCCGGCGACTCTCAGGCGCGCCTCGCCCTCTACATAGCCATGGCCCACGCCGGGCTCGCCTTCGCCATCCTCATCCTCTTCTCTCTCTACAAACTCCTCCAACAGTACCTCAAACCCCTCCAATGGGCCATCCTATGCTCCATCCCTCTCAGACTCATTCACCAAACCATCGTTTCCTTTTGGTCTCACCCTCTCAAACTAGGCCTCCTCCACACCATCCTCGCCCTTCCTCTCACCGTTTTCTCGCTCTTTGTTACCACCCTCGCAGAAATTCGCCAAGCTTCTCTCGCAATCATCCTCCGGAAACCAAAACCCCAGAATGAGGACTCAAATAAGCTTAGTGGGTTTTCCACTTTGCTTCGTTTGCTTTTGTCTTTTGGAATCTTTGTTGTTGCTTATGAGAGGCTCGGTGCTGTTGGGTCCTTGTCACTTCTCGGATTAGGATTCGTTTTCAGTTCCAAGAATGTGGCTTTCAGTTTCTATCCCTTTGGTGCGTCTTTCACCAGAGGGATATTCAGGAGGTTGAAAACTATCGTTGCTGTTGGGTTGATTGTTGGCATGATTGTTGGGTTCTTGAGTGGGGTGATTTTCTTCTCTTATAAGATTGGTGGCGAAGGGAAGGAGGCAGTGATTTCGCTGAAATTGCGACTGGAAGAGAACAATTATGCTGAGAGAATCGGTGTGAAGAAGTGGATGGAGGAGAATGATATTGCTGGAACGGTGGATAAGTACACTAGTCAGTTTTATGAGACGGTTTCTGATCAGATTGATGGGTTGGCAATGCAGTACAATATGACTGAATTTGTGACGGTTGTTAAGCAGTTTGTGATAACTGTTCCTGCTAGTGTTAACACTTCCAAGCCTTCAATGGTTTCATTATCGGAGACTTCACCACTCGTGGAAAGGGTCTTGAGTTTGAAGAGTAGGGTTAAGAATAGGGAGTGGGGAGAGATTTATGCAGAACTTGATACCCTTTTGCGAGAACTTATAATCACTAGAGAGGATTTGGTTGAGAGGGCAAAAGGGTATGCAGTTAAAGGAATGGATGTTGGTCAACGCGTTTTGGCTGGTGGTACAAGTGTGCTTGGAAGTGGTGCAAAGTTTGTGTTTTCCATTTTGAATTCCATAGTCTCTGGTGCTGCGGAGGTTTTCAATTTTGTGTCTCAGACAATGGTGTTTTTCTGGGTTTTGTATTACCTCATAACATCTGAGTCGGGTGGAGTAACAAAACAAGTGATGCACATGGTTCCAATTTCCAACTCAGCTAAGGTTAGATGCGTTGAAGTGTTGGATAAGGCAATTTCAGGAGTCCTTTTGGCCACTGCTGAGATTTCATTCTTCCAAGGATGCCTGACTTGGCTTTTGTTTAGGTTATACAGAATACATTTCTTGTATGTGTCAACAATCCTTGCCTTCATTAGCCCTTTGCTTCCAATATTTCCGTCTTGGCTTGCAACAATTCCGGCAGCACTACAGCTAGTTCTAGAAGGCAGATACATTGTGGCCATTTTCTTGTCTGTCACTCACCTTTTCCTCATGGACTATGGGACAACTGAAATTCTGGAAGATGTGCCTGGACACAGTGCATATCTTACTGGAATGAGCATCATGGGGGGAATGGCTTTGTTTCCATCAGCAGTAGAGGTAAATTGTTACCCTCCATCTAGTTTCTACGCATTGTTGGTGTAAGAAAATTTATAAGCCAGTCAATCACAAACCATAATAAATACGTTTTTCAAGATAGTGATGGTAAATGTGGATAAATTAATAATGATACATGGCAATGACAATTATGGTATAATGACAGTATACAAACACTTTACACTATCGTACATAGACTATTTACACTTTATATATATATAATTTGAACGAATAGTCTCACATTGTCATTTTTTAGATTAAGTGATTAGATGAAAGTTCCAAGCAATGTTTGTTCTAAAATTTAGACGAGGTTGCCTGCATACCTTGATTTAATATATTGTAGTCTTCTTTTGTAAATTCTGTGTGTGAAAATGTGGGATCCAATGAATGGTGTAGTATCTGAGGTGTGATTCAGCTTATAAGCGAGCTTGTATAGGTGTATTTCTCTTGCATTCGATAACATTGCTGAAGAAATTTGTTGGTCTGCAGGGGGCTATTATGGGGCCATTAATAACTACAGTCATGATTGCTCTGAAGGATTTATATGCCGAATTTGTTTTGGGGGAGCGTGATGATAAGGTAAAGCAGAAGGCAAATTAGGCCTCTATCTGTGTCTAAGACTATATATGTGCAGTTGAAGGTGCTGCTAGTACATTGTTTGTTGTTCTATGCCATTCAATCAGTGGAGCCTGTGTCTAGGTTCATCATTTGTAATTATTTTTTATCTATATCATTTCATTATTGTGACTGACCAGATAGGACTCTTTTTCCCCTCTATTTTATAGGGGTCATAAAGATTTTCACTTGGTGACTGTGTTCGATTGTTGTAATAGTCCGGTACATTTAGTCCTGTGTAGTATCTCTGAGAATTTTTCAGATTCTTTGTACCAGAGGCGAAACATGAATGAAGAAGAAAAAAAACCACGTTAGTTACAACCTCGTTTTAGTCGTAAAGATTGTTGGATATACTAAAAATTAAATGCTACTATCACTATCAGGCACAAGGGTCATACTTTCTTCAATGGGCTGAGAAAATATGTGCACAGCAAGTTCACAATTATTTCTAAGTTTCTTTTTATAAAAAGAGATTTAATTTTGGTACATTTTAGTCAAAAGACTTTTTACTAATTCAAATGATTAGTTTTGTTGTAACTAAACATTATAACTATGTTTGACTTTGTTATAACTCTCATCACTGAATGAGATGATGTTAAACAATACTCATATTTTTTATAAGTTTAATATATATATATATATATATATATATATATATATTTTTTTTTATCTTCTTTATATTTTTAATAAAATAATATTCGTATTCTTCTTAAATTTTAAATAAAAGTCCATCTTTCTTATATTTCTAATAAGTAATATTCACTTTTTTTTTAAATATCATATTCTAAAACATAAATAGATAAAATTATAGAAATTAAAACTTTAAACAAAGTAAGGGACATGTTAACAAAATATAAAGGTAAGTAATATTTATAAAAGTGACATAATTCCAAATAATTATACAAAAGATTAAATTTTGTATAATTCCCAAACATGGTATACGAAAAGATCATTGTTTTGTAATAAGATGTATAATTTGTTTGAGTAGTTTACAATTTACTACATAACAGGTTGAATACCATTGAACCCTTTTTATCTTTTGCATACATAAATATTGTGATAGCGGAACATTGTAGCAATTGACTTTGACACACAGAAAAAAGTATTGATAATGTAAGTGTCACATAAGGTGTAAATAAATAATTGAGCATTATGCGCAAAATCTTCAAATTGAATTTTTAATCACCCACTAAGTTACTTTCAGAACAAAACTCTAAACTCCTTTTTCGCCTATTATTTTATGTATTACACAAAAATGAGATTTAAATTTAAACTTAAAATTACGTACAATTTTATAGAAGAAAAGAAGCATATATACTCAGCAAAAGTAAAAATTCAATATGATTTTAGTCTTTTAAAAAGCTAAAAGTACAAATACAAAAGATTGGATAATAATTTACTCTATATATTTCCATCAAATGGGAATAGAAAAAAAAAACATTTTAATTATTGTAGTCAATTTTGTAGCAGAGAAGTTGTTGTAAATGATTTATTATTGCCGTTAATGAATGCGAGTTTGAAAAAGATGTTGAATTATAATAAATTAAACACAACATTATTAACATCGCAAGGTACCGACAAATAATTCATATTTTATTTTATTTATTTGTTGATGACGATACACTTGGCAATCAATGAAGAGAAAATAAGTTATTTTGACTCAATTAATGTTCGACTTAACGAATAAGTGACTTTTGCAGACTTTTCTGATTAACGTAATCAACTTTTTTGCTTCAGCTTTGAAGTTTTTACATGTTGTCCGTATACACAGAAGAAGAAGAAGGAGAAGATGAATCGTTGCGAATTCTCATCCATTTTGAGAAAGTGATTGTGAAGGCTTTTCCTTCGCGAGATACGTCAATATTAACACGTTTCATTTCTCACCGCCCAATTCGGCTCAAATTTTATTCTCATACGTCAAAACCACCTTAACCGACGTCGTCTTTTACTCTTTAATTAATTATATATTTTCTTTCCAATATGCCACTTCATCACCACGTGGCCACTCATAAGGGTTACCACGTGGCATGCTGATTAAACATGTCTTCACCATTTCTTAATATAAGTTATGCGGATTTTAAAGTTTATGTATGTAACCTATTTTTTTGTTTTTATAAATAGAAATTAATATTTAAATTAGAACCCATTTTAAATTTCTAGACTTTATTCCGTTCCATTCGTCAATTAAGAAGGTATGAATTTGACCTTTAGCCATCAATTTTTTTGGCCTCTAATTTAGGCTTTCCCACGTTTGATTTCGATTTATTGTGGGCCAAATTGAAAATTAGGGTTGATTAAAAAGTTCGTCTCGAAAATTCTACGTTTTCTTTTCCTCTTAATTTTGCCACCTTTATTAATTATCTTTCAAGACAAAGTTGTGCTTACAACGTTGCCAACATAGGCTCGATTTCGAAGTTTATTGTGAATTGTAAATTTTAAAAATTTGAAAGATAAACCTAGTTTTTAGTTTTTAACCGTTAAACTCTAATATTAAATTTAAATTAATTCTTTTTAATTTAAGCTATGAGCTAAATAAAATAATTTTAACGCTAAGTGCTAATAAAATAGTGATGAATATGACAATCATAAATAATAGTGATTGTACGAGGTTGTATTGATAACAAAAATTTATCATCATAATAATAATAATAGTATTAATATTGAACGATAATAAATATAAATAAATATATTGAAAGTTTTGAAATAAACTAATTTTAATTTGATTTGACCTAAGAGGCAAAAAAAAGTCAATTTTTTTTAAATTATAAATTTTGAAAAATAAATACTAATAATAATATTGAACAAAATAATATCACTTTTCATATTAACATTTTTAAGATTTAGTTGGCTAGTAAAATAAAGTCATAAAATGCATGTATGCACCACATAGGAAGAAATACACAACACAAAATTTTCAAGAAGTTGAATGCATTTATCAGTATCTAGTTTCTAATAATTGCTTAACAATATCTTCAAAATTTGTTTATGTTTCTCCTACATTAATTACGACACAACTAATCTCACAAGTTAATAATGCCACTAGAACATCATCATCCTTAGAATTTACGAGTCAAACTTATGACCAAACAAATAATGTAAAGTGATGAACGATGTTCTATTTGCCACACATATGTTGAATCATCTGTAGAAAACAACTGCTACTTTCATCTTATTATCTTCTGAAAAAGTTATAAACTTGGATGCAACGATCTGAATTAACAGAAGTAGAAGATTTTTGGTGAATGAGAAGAAATTAGAAAGCAATTATTCCTGGACATGAGGAGGGCCACACTACTCCAATGTGACAGAAACTGTTGGTGGGATTAGGTGGCCAACCGTTTACCACAGAATCCCAAAATATCAACTGTACCCGCCACAATTCAAATCACTTTTATTGCTGATTTATCACACACTCATTGCAATTTTGTTGGCATAATATAAACAAATGCCACCACTCACCATACCTATGTTATGTTAAGTCTTATCCACTTGAATTCAAATACAGATAGACTTCACTTTCTTTTCACTCCCAAAATAGAAAAATCTTTGCGTTTGTGCTAGTTTTTTCATGTTCAGAGAATCTGTAAATATATTTATGCATCAGTTTCTAAAAATATTTATGCCAACTCCAGTTAGTTGTTTTATGGTTGAAGTTCATCGCATTGATTTTATCAACTTGTAACTATAAACAAAATGTCATGTTTAATGAATGTTTGTCAGGCTTATTAATTTAATAATACAAAACTAAAGAAAAAGTAAAGTTTGATCTTCTCAAGGAACTAAAATATATCTTTTTCAACTTCTGCCATCAAAACTAAAACAAAAAATAAGATTAGGGATGGAAATATTTTAGCCAAGAAAGAGAGAAGAAAGAGGGGAAATTGGAGTGCAATTGCTTTGTGAGCTTTGGCTTCATATAAAATAAAGCCTAGAGGAAGTTGGCCAACGGTTAACTTCCCTCCAAACCTTGTGATTCCCTTCGAATCAAAGCAAAGCTCAGCAGTTTGATTCTTGGTCACCCTCTGAAACACAACCTCACCTTCCTGACATATCCTTCACACCAATCTTCCATTCCCCCTCTTCTATATACACTTCATCAGCTCCATCTCCTCTTCATATTCTTATCTTTTCTTATCACCCTTCTGCATACAGTATGTGGTAACTGAAAGGACCATGCAATTAAAGTTTCTTGTGGTATTAGTCTGGTTGCTGGGAGTTTAAGGTGGTGCAGACCCAGAAAAGATCTTCCAATAATCAAGGTACCAGTTCTATCCATCAAACTTGTCAATTGGGATACTTCAATTTCAAGTCTTTTTATGCAAAGCTGTGCTTTTAAGAAATACTGCTGCCGGATTCAATTATTTGATCTCTGGTACACGTCTTGGACAAATTCTCAACACAAAGGAGGTAAAAGAGAACATCTTCAATGAATTCTAGGTGCTTCCTTCATCCACAACAAGACTTCAACATGGTTCCCTTTTCTTCAAATTCTGCCACAGAAGATAGAGCGGCTAGTGCTCGAAACAGGCCTCCACGTGTCACCCCTCCCTCCTTTCTGGTTCGGGTAGCCATGAGAATATCCAGAGCAAGATGGTTTACCTTTTTGAGAAGAGTTTTTCATTACCAAAATGGATCAAGGTCCAATCTTGGTTCCAACCCTTTCAATTCTAGCACTTGGATGATGCTGGAGTTTATTGCCTTGATTGTCCAAATAACCATTACAACATTCACCTTGGCTATTGCCAAGAGGGAGAGACCTATTTGGCCTATGAGGATATGGATTTCTGGTTATGATATTGGTGTTGTTCTTAATCTGCTGCTACTTTATGGGCGCTACCGTCAAATTTATCTCACACGAGGAGATGCTCTCGACCTTTCTGATATAGAACAGCAGACCAACCATGAAGAAACCAGGTACCCTATGCACTTCAAACTTCTTCAACTTTTTTCAGCTAACTTTAATTGTACTTATTAACTATATTATAGCGAATTAATGCCATGAGTATGCTTTAAAATTCGCTAGAAAAGTTTGATACCATCGTTTGATTGTTAGAATATAACTGTTAGATAAAAAGAAAAATCGTTCCCCTTGAGTTGGTTATGAACTTATGATATTTTGACAAAACGTATTGGATTGTTGAAGATAGGAAATACCAAGTGTCAATTAATCAATACAGTTATAGTAATTTTAATTATCCCTTAAAACGAGCTTGGAAGAACCAAATACCCCCACATACCTTTCTCACTGCGATCAGTTCGTGGCATTTCCTTTTGAAAGAGTAGAATCTTTTGTTTATTGCATTCTTTTCTATCTGATTAAGGATATAATTCATGTGAAAAATGAAAAAAGAAAAAACTAATATAAATTCTTATTGACGAAAAAACGTATCTAATGATTAACAGTACCAAATAGGAACCAAAAAATTTGTAAAACCTGTTTTGTATTTTACTGTCTGGAAATAACTTGCATAGTCTTTTATTCATGTTTAATCAGACAAAAAGTTCTTGTTACTTTGTTGGAGCCATGCAACTTTTTTGTGGGTGAAATTTGAAACTGTAATTTTAATTTGCACTGTATTGCTCAGTGAGTACAGGATGTCACACTTGATGAATAAATGCCGGACTTCGCTTGAACTTTTCTTCGCCATATGGTTTGTGATGGGAAATGTTTGGGTTTTTGACTCACGTTTTGGATCTTTTCATCAAGCTCCAAAACTCCATGTGCTCTGCATCACTCTTCTTGCTTGGAATGCAATGTGCTACTCCTTCCCTTTTCTACTGTTTGTGTTGCTATGCTGCTGTGTGCCACTGATTAGCACCCTCCTTGGCTACAACATGAACATAGCCTCTTTTGATAAAGGTGCTTCTGATGATCAAATTTCGCAACTTCCAAGTTGGAGACATAAACAAGACCGTGCCAAGTTAGAGATTGGAAATGACTCTGAAGGGAGTGAAAAACTGATCGATGAAGACCAAGTAAGTGGTACCACTAGAACATATAGACTACTGAGCTTTATTTGATTTTTTTTTTTTCTTAGAAACAATCTTAGGAAAGAAAATAAAAGTAAAATTGATTTAACTTTCTCATAAATTAAAATCAAGTTATGCACTTCAATTTTTAGCAACTTCTCTTATTTAACTTTATATACAACTAGAGCTAGCCACTTAACAGCTAGCATTGTAGCTGGATTTTTTTATGTCAATTGATTTTGTGAGTACCAGATAATTTTTACCCTCAGATTGAATATATGCTTTTAAGTTCCATTTATTTTAAGATTTATCATATTTCCATTTCTATTGAATTGATGGATTTGTTTATGTTCTGATGTGCTCACAGGAATGCTGTATCTGCTTAGCCAAGTACAAAGACAAAGAAGAAGTTAGACAATTGCCCTGTTCCCATATGTTCCATCTGAAATGTGTGGATCAATGGCTAAAAATTACATCCTGTTGTCCTCTTTGCAAACAAGGATTAGAGAGGTAGAAATGGCTGAAACAACAGTCACAACACAAGGGTTAATCTTATGTGGTCTCATGTATACTCTTTTTGATCTAGTATACTACTTTACATTGGTTACTTGAGTGAGTTTTTATTTGTACAGAATAGCTCACCAGTGGCCAAAACTATACTATATACATATACTTGGTTGTAAGGAATGAATCCCATAGTCTTTCAAATTAATGGATTCCCTACATGCATGATTTTTCTTTTATTGTCGTCTGAAAATATTGTGAGACAAGAATCCCTGTAGGGGAAAAATTAAAGCAAAAATTGTATATTCCTTCCTTAATTCTTAAACAATAAAATGTCTATACTCTTCAGGTTTCCCCTCTCATACTTACCTTCAAAACTCCACAATCCACATTTTGTCATGATGTACACTATTACATTTTCTTACATTCTATCCTAAATTTTCCATGAGTATTTTTTACTGTCTTCACATTTTTCCTGTTTGATTGTATCACTTTTCTTATTTATACTACGCATTAAATAGTTATATATATATATATATATATATATATATATATATATATTATTGTAACTGAAAAAAAAAACTATTATTATCATTATATGCTAACATGTTGTAAAGGTCGCTTTGCAAAAATAAAATCAACAACTAAATAAATTTATCCATATAGTGTTATTCTTGTTTCTTAGGGTAAACTTACCTAAAATAGCCTAAAAATTGTCAAACCGATATAATAAAAGGCAAAATAATATGACGGAAATTTAAGTTTGTCTATGTGGCACAATACAGAACCAAAATGGTGGAAAATAAAGAATGTTGGAAAAAGGTACAACCTCAAAAGCTGTGAAGTTAATAGAAATTTGTTAACATGACATGAAAGTAGGCAATTTGTTGAAATTAGCAATGATTGAATCATATGAATGAAAAGACATGTATCTCTATCTCATGTCGAACTAAGTTGAGAAGGAAAATGTCAGCAGAGCATTTTGAGAACTTGTGGCCATGAATTGTTGAGAAAGTAAATACCACATATTTGAAACAACAAACCTTAGTTGGTTAACGCCCTATCTAAGCATTGAGTTTGTCTGAATCTTCATTTGGGGCCATTCCTCTCTACATTGTTGCAGACAATTAATCCAAAGCCTTCTGTGAATCAAGCAATTCATCTGTGCGGAAGACATCATATTTTGTACCATTCTTCTGAATTATCTAGGTAAACCAATCCTTCACACATGGCTTCAACCTTCGATCAACATTTACAAAATGCACATACATGTTTCCTAGAGGGAAACCAGTCAAATATATTGTCAGAAACATACTTAGATGTTAAATCATTAATAGATCATTTTTATATATCACAGATCCAAAGAATATCATACGAAACAAGGAAATTAAGATACACATCACAGCATGAAGTAATTAATTCTGTTCTTTGATCTGCTCCATGCATGTCCTTACACACAAGGCATAAAAATCATTAGCATCTAGCACATTTAACAATTATCTAACACATTATTGTGCAAAGTCCAACCATGGAAAGTATATTTTTAAAATGTTTAGTTGTTGATTTGGTCTAATGTTAGTGTATTTTGTTGGTAAATTATTAATTGAATGAGGGTGGATAGGGAAGAGATGGAGGGAAATATGGAGAAAAAGGGCAGTTTCATCAAAGTAATGCAGTTGGATGGTACACAAATAGAAATCCCAGCTTTGAATATGGATGTTATAAAGAACCAGTCAAATAAGGTTGCGTCAGAACCAGTAACAAGTGAAGCTATGTTGAAGAAATCTTCTAGTGAGAGGAAGAATTGCCTGTGCTCACCCACCACGCATGTTGGATCCTTCAGGTGTCGCCACCATCGTTCTGGAATGGGCCGTCCAAGCTCTATTGGCTCCAATCTCGCTGCATTGGACTCTAAATCCTCACCCTAACCACAATAAACTTGTCTGACTTCCTTTAATGTTGTTGCAAGTGTTTGGTTGTGTTGTTTTTTGCAATGTTGTAATGGAAAGAACTTAGACTACATACGTACTTTTTTTTTACTCCATTTATCTCTTTTACTTGCCAAACTTTATAGTAAACTACTACAATTTCTTTTATTGTACCAAAGAACAAGCATGTTTGTTCTTTTCTATTCGCCTCCTTTGGCTTTCTTTTTCTGAGTAGGCTAACAAAACATTTTCTCCTGCGTTGTAACTTGAATTCATATTAAAATAACTTATTCTGCCTCCAGTTATCTATTTTCTTATAATTTGTAGAGATCATGTAGATCAAAGTAATTTTCTCAAATCCTTTTTCACTTTTCAAAGATTTGAAGATTTTCTTTCTAATGAAAACATTAATTCATGAAAACAAGGATAACATATCTGAAAGATGATTTAATAAAGAATGTTCACTCTATCAACTATATTGTTCCTTGACTACAAGGATTACTATGTTTATAAAATCAGTTAAAAAATATAAATGGTACGCTTAAAATATTATCCCTTATTTCATTCAAAGGTATACTAAAAAAACAAGAAAAAAAGCAAAAAATTGATTAATATCCTTACGTCGTTCTCACTTAAACCAGAAAGAATGCAGACATATCACTAGCCAAAAAGTAGACAATAAATTTGGAACATAAAGAAACTAAAAACAGTAATCCAGAAAATTGGCAACTAACTTGCCAAAGTTGCAAAAATTCCAAATTTGACAAACATAAAAATAAAAAGCTGTTCTGCAATTTCTGATTCTAAAAGAAAGTTAGATTTAGTCAACTTCTTCCATCTTGCTGCCCTCAGCATCAGCATCAGCATCCTCCAGGGGTGGCATGTCAGCATCTGCATCACCAGCATCCTCGTCAATACTCAGTCCAAGCTTCAGCATCCTGTGAATTCTGTTACCAAAAGTGTTGGGATCATCAAGGCTGAACCCAGAAGTTAGGAGAGCAGTCTCAAACAGCAAGAGTACGAGATCCTTCACAGATTTATCATTCTTGTCAGCATCTGCTCGCTTCCTCAGCTCATCCATGATGGGATTCTCCGGGTTAATCTCCATTGTCTTCTTGCTAGACATGTATCCAGCCATGCTGCTGTCCCTCAATGCCTGTGCCTTCATGATTCTTTCCATGTTGGCTGTCCATCCATATTCACCAGTCACAAGACAGCAAGGAGAATCAACAACACGATCAGACACCACAACCTTCTCCACCTTGTCACCCAACACATCCTTTATCACCTTGCAAAGACCGTCAAATTTCTCCTTCAACTCTTCCTTCCTTTTTTTCTCATCTTCACTCTCATCAAGTTTCAGGCCTTCTTTAGTAGCAGAGACCAACTTCTTTCCCTCAAATTCCTTAAGCTGGCCAACAGCATATTCATCAATAGCATCAACCATGAAAAGCACCTCATATCCCTTCTTCTTAAGCCTCTCCAAGAAGGGGGAATTCTCAACAGCTTTCCTGCTTTCACCAGTAATGTAGTAGATGTCACTCTGTCCTTCCTTCATCCTGGTAACATAATCCTTGAGGCTAGTCATCTCATCACCACTCTTTGAGGAGTGATACCTCAGCAATTCAGCTAGCTTTGTCTTATTCTGGGAATCCTCATGAATGCCCAATTTCAAGTTCTTAGAGAAGGCTTCGTAGAACTTGTTATAATCCTCCTTGTTCTCGGCAATTTCAAAGAAAAGCTCAATGCACTTCTTGACCAAGTTCTTCCGGATGACTTTAAGGATCTTGTTTTGCTGCAACATTTCCCTAGAAATGTTGAGAGGAAGGTCCTCAGAATCCACGATACCTTTAACAAAGCTAAGATATTCTGGAATCAACTCCTCACAGTTGTCCATGATGAAGACTCTGCGGACATACAGTTTAATATTGTTTGGCTTCTTCCTTGTGTCAAAGATATCAAAAGGTGCCCTCTTGGGGATAAAGAGGATAGCCTTAAACTCCAACTGACCCTCAACAGAAAAGTGCTTAACAGCCAAATGTTCTTCCCAATCATTGGTAAGACTCTTATAGAAAGCAGCATATTCTTCTTTTGTAATCTCCTCAGGTTTCCTCATCCAGATAGGCTTCTGTTTGTTCACCAGAGACCACTCATGAGACACCTCCTTAATTTTCTTCTTTTTCTTCTCCTCCTTATCTTCATCGAGCTCTTCAACTTTACCCTCCTCTTCTTTTTTCTCTTCCTCATCCTCATCATCAGAAATCTCCTTCTCAACAGTCTTCTCGATCCAAAGAGAAATTGGATAACTGATGAATTCCGAATGCTTCTTTATCAAGTCCTTCAATCGGCGTTCCTCAAGATACTCAAGCTGATCTTCCTTGAGATACAAAGTAATCTTTGTTCCCCTGCCAAGATTCTCACCATCTGTATCCCTAGTCACAGTGAATGACCCACCAGCTTGGGACTCCCATACATACTGCTCATCATCATTGTGCTTTGAGGTAACAATAACCTTCTCGGCTACAAGATAAGCAGAGTAGAAACCAACACCAAACTGTCCTATCATGCTCACATCAGCACCTGCAGCCAGCGCTTCCATGAACTCCTTGGTCCCAGACCTTGCAATTGTACCCAAGTTGTTCACCAAATCTGGAAAAATGTAACACAGAAGCATTAAAACATAAAACATTGTCATACACAACATCCTCACCAAGACTGCCAGACCATATTAACTTACCAGCCTTAGTCATGCCAATTCCACTGTCAATGATAGTCAATGTGTTACTGGTCTTGTCAGGAATAATGTGGATGAACAATTCTGGCTGAGCATCAAGCTTGCTCTTGTCTGTCAAACTCTCAAATCGAATCTTGTCCAAAGCCTACAGTGTAAAGGCAAACATAGAATAAATCAGATATACGCCCAAATAGAACGATAAACATTAATACATAGAATATCATAAAGGGTAATAACTCACACGACCAATACAAACCAAACACTCTCTTACTATATATATATCAAACCTACTTTTATCTCAAAAAAACGTCAATGACTAAAATACAAATACGATTCATGGTACACTACTACTCCATTGAAGCCACAACATATCACTAACTACTCGCAAAACAGGTACAGGAAGTTCGGAAATAAATACAACACGTGTCTGAATATTATTAATATTCACATTTTAAAAAGAGAATCATCATCGTTTTAGCATGAAGCAAACACTATCTCGATATTAACTCTACCAAATTAAGATCGCATCAAATCAATTGTATTCTACAGGTAACAGAGTTTTTCCCAGGTAAACGCACCCAAGCCAGAGCAATCACAATAAAATAACCAATTAACAGCACGCGAGCCATAGAAATCACAATAAAACAACTTAAATAATGGAAATAAAACACACCGAACAAATTCTCGCCGCGTTTAAGTATTAAACATACAGAATTTCAAATGATAATACAGATCGATCACAGTAAAGGACAAAAATACATAATAAAACAACGGACAAAAAGAAAGAAAGAAAACCTAAGAAGGAGCGTGAAAACCAACAAAACATTATGAAGCAACAACATGACTAAACATCATAAACTGCACAAAATGAGAAGAAGGAAGAAAAATCTCACATCAGATGCATTGCTAATGAGTTCACGAAGGAAAATCTCCTTGTTGCTGTAGAAGGTGTTGATTATAAGACTGAGAAGCTGGTTGATCTCGGCCTGGAAAGCGAACGTCTCAGTTTCCGACATCTCGGATCTGGCTTCTACAGGGAATGAGTCGCAGAGAAGATTGGAAGAAGGAAATGGAATACTGAGATGTTAAGAGTGTGAAGTTAAATAGAAATGCTTGGCTAGGGTTTTTGGTCTTCTAGATCCTTCTATGGTCTAACTACCAATGTTAAGGATCGCATTCCACGGACCCCACTTCTATATTTGGGTCCATTTTATTTTAAAATCGCAAATTTTACTTTATAAACTAAAATGATTTTGTTCATTACAAAATTCCAAATTAGATTGCATTTTTATTATCTTGTATAATATGATTAATAATTTTATTGCAACTATATATTTTACCAAGTTAAATAATTAAACTTTTAAATTAGTTTAGAAAAATATTTTAAATTTAAATAAATTAAGAATTAGTCCGTTGACTAAAAAAAGTGGGACTATGGATTAGTTTATAAATATTTAATTTAAATACAAAAATTATTGTTAATATAATTGTTTACATTGTATGTTTAAATATAATTAATTAAAGTGAATGAATTGCATAAGTAGTGTTACATTAATTAAGTATTTTATTAGTATTAGATTACCACCAGAGTGAGTTTTCGAGCTGTTGAAGCCCAAATAAGTGCGTTTACCCTTTCTCACTTTGATCTGGGCGGAAAACATGTAAGCCCAAGTCTCTCATCAGTCCAAATGAGCTTCTTATATGCCTCCCCATAATTTCTCCCTGCAACCCTATAATTAAATTAAACTCATTTTACTCTTACACTTATCTTCATCTTTCGAATAAATTTTAGATTTTGCCTTTCCCGAACCACATTCCGGAACACAAAAGTCAATCCGAAAATATATTTTAAATTGGATGTTCCAGAATGTATTTTTGGAAAGACTAATCCAAAAATACATTATGGATTGACTTTTTGAATATGTAATTTAGAATGTATTTTCGGATTAACTTTTCCGGAATGCATTTCGAGAAAAGTCAATTCGAAAATACATTATAGATTGGGTGTTATAGAGTTCAACCTCATTTTTCTGATACTATTTCAGATTGAATCATTTTGATTTGTTTGTATAATTTAAGCTCAGGAACATGTAATTCATATATAATATTAATGATTATTTACCTTTAAGGGGTGTATACAAATAGAAAAAGAAGAAATTAAGTAAAAAAATAAAATTATGAAAAGAATATTTTAAGTATTTAACTTGGGATATTGAAATACAGGAATAAAATTTACGGGGTGCAGGAAGCAAGAGCATTTTTATATACTCTCCTTTTCAGCCCATATTATGTTTTAAGACTCAACTACTATTATCATTCTTACATTCTTATATTAATAAAATGTTTTCCTTATTCTATTCAAATAAAATATGGAAACTTATTTTCAAAGCTATTGTACCATTGGATAATGAAGAACTTCTGGGTCAATTTTAATTTAAAATAAGATTGTGCAACAATGCAAAACACATTGTATCTTTAACACTGAAAATGGTAGTAGTTTATATTTCTAAATAAAATATATTTCATCTTAAGTCAAATAAATAAACAAATTGTTACCAAAAATATTAATAGTATTTATGAAAATGAAAACTATCCTTAAAATATATCAACCATGAACTATGACTAAGTGATTATTCACAATAACTTAATGCTATTATAATAAAAAATTATTTAAAATATGGTCAAGTTGTATTTACAAAATTATTGTTTTGCAATTAGTGTATGACTGATAATAATAATATTTATTTTCAACTTTACCTTTGCCAACACAGAAACATTAAATTATGAAGTTTGATTTTTTACATCTAAATATTTATATTATTATTATTTTCTAATTGTACTAACATTTGAATCAAATTGTTAGAAAGAAAATGTATATTAGTAAGAGAATTTTTACTATGATGATATTGCATAATCTAATTTCATATATTAATTTGTTAGTATCATGTAAAACATAAGTCATAACTATTACTTTCAAAATCCTCTCTTTAATTATGTAACACAATACGTAGGTAGACATATGTTAAACTCCACATTGAATACATATTATAATTATTCTCTTGTAATAATATCGTTAGGTTATAACGACATTGAATACTTTGTTCCTGGAACAGTAATAATTTGTTCTTTATTTAAAAAAAAAATCAAACAAAGTGAAAAAATGAGTGTTATCGTGCTTGTACTAATCTCGTGAGGTTGAGCTGCGGTAAGGGTTGCTTTATTTTTTATTTTATTTTAATAATTATATTAAATTAATAAAAAATACTATTTATCAAAACAAATTAATTCAAACACGGACTATTGTTATTTTTTGGATAATATTTTTTTTTTCTATATAAATAGAGGGCAAGAAAAAAAAAATGGCACTAACCTCCAGAGACCCAAAATGAGTGGTGGAATTGATTGGACGTGTTGAATTCAAAGTAATGTGGTTGATGTAAAAGGATTGTAATAAATTATTATGATATAACTTTCCACACATTGCATCTAATAATTTATAGCATTTGGAAAGTGATCTTGGAACAGAAACCAGAACTTACGGATATACTTACTTAGACAGCTATATATGTATGATGATGATGATGGTAGGATGACACTATCATTTGATTTAATGTGATTTTGTCAGGACCACTATCTTTTTCTTTATCAAAGACCAAGTTTTTGAACCTAGCAACATGATAATGAATATGTTGTCGAAGACCATGTTTTTTTCTCTTAAATGTGAAATGATTTTTAGTAAGAATTCGATCTATATACACACATGGTTTTGCAGAAAGACTATAAAGGATGAAACCCAGATGAAAGATTTGGAAAAGGGTAGTGAATGAGGAGGAGGAGGAGGAGGAGAGCATTAATGGTCTCTAAACCCCCTTCACATTGAATCTGGTAATGTGATAGGGGTAGGTGATAAATCTCAATAATGGAGAAATTGCTTAGGATGTCGACCTACATGGTCTTATCTCTATGATTTTAGGAAGCAATCACAAGTTGGAAGAATGGGGCAAATAATTGGAAAGAAACAAAGGTTTGAATTGTTTGTAATATAGGGAAGGATTGGTGATATTGATGAGGATGGAGCATCCCAAACGTGTGAATTCGGGAAGTGAAACTTGGCAGTTCTTCTTACATGATTTTGGATGCCATGCATGGACCCTAGCTATGGCTTATTAATTAATTACCAATATTAAAGTGTTGATGAGATTTCATTATTATAATTAATTATTAACGTCATGATGTCAATAACAAATCATGGTTGGTTCCATCAATCCGTGTCATTATTATTGGGGATTCAAAAGTCCACTTGATGTGCATCGAATTCACCACTTGCTGACTCTATTGCACGTGTGCCATGCATTAAGGACAAAAGTTCCTATGATCCTACACTACTACTAGACCTCTCAAAAGGCTCCACCTCGATGCAAATCATCTAATCTCTCCTAATCTTTCTCTCTCCATTCCTCTCATTTTTCCAGAATTTGGGGCACGAGGGAGCCATCTGTTTTTATTGTAAATGGTTGTTACACTTGCTTCTATGATTGCATGCTAAAGGGCTAGCTACTCTTGACTCCAAAGCCAAACCAAATCAAAGGAGGCATTGAATTCTCACACTTAACATTATTGTTCATAATAATCTTATTCAAACCAAGCTTTATGGAAGAATATTGATAACTTGATACCCACTCACAAACCAAATAGAGGGTACAAGCTACTCCAACCCTTCTTCTGTATACATACAAGACATGTTTAATGCTTGTATTCTCACCAACAAAATTTGCCAAGCATCATATCTTGCTGCTACCTACAACTCATAATTAATACTCTCTACTCCTACTTACAACTCATGGAATGAAAAGGAAGTTCCTTACCCTACAAGACAACTAACTCAAATACACATTCAATGTTCGGATTCTCATTTGTTCGAAACAATATTGTTTTCAGTTTTATTTTAATTATGTGAGTGGAATGACCCTGCTCTAATGACCAACTTATTGCACACACAGACACGGACACATAAACTGGACCGTTACTAGTAGTGATAAAATGGCTACCGACAGTAGGAACATGCATGTAATGAAACGGAGTGGTGATGATCATGTGTGTTCACTGGTAATATTAAAAGCCTTGCTCTATTAATGCTTAGTCATTCCTACTAAATCATAATCTGTAACCACTCTATTATTAGTCAAATTTGAATTTTCCACTGATATTGTTCAAATAGATTACAGATATTCTACTCTCGTGATGAGCATGAGCTGCTACCTAGCTAATTAACAACCTATCACTAAGGGAATCTAAAGAAAAGCTACCTATACATCTTACAATTACAACTCTCATTTCCTTATATGTATATGCAATTAATTTGTTTTTCCAAAAGTAAAAAAGCTGAGGTCTGACACTCACTTTTAATAACAAACATATATAGGAGAATCAGGGAGGTTTATTATAATCTTAAAGGAAATGAATACCATAAGTTGTTGATAAACAATTGTTGCTTCAATCCAAACATAAGGTGCACCATTATGACAGCCTCAGCAGCATGTAGGCGTTGTTTTTATATTATTGCCATAGCAAATCCAGCAATTACTTTTGATTCATCTCATGTGCAAGGCTATTTTCTTTGTTAGAAATTAGCTTATTCATGTGTTGGTGCATTCATGTGGAATCCAACACAGGAATGAGTTATTTATGTTAATTCATAAAGAAAGGAATCAATAGTTACAGAACTAGTGTAAATGGGAGTGCTAGAAATGTTGATTAGTTACGCACTTTTGGAGATGAGCTAATGGGTTGTTTATGATTTTTGGTCAGAGAAGAAGAAACTATAGTGGAAGGGAATCATCACCACATTTTGCTTTTTCTTTTTCTTCCTTTTTCATTTACTGAATTCTTCTTGACTAGGATTATACCAAATGATCCAAAAGGGCCTTCTTGTTTTTCATATATTGCTAGCTACTGTGTGAAAAATGACATCATGACTGACGTGTGCTACAAACTCGATTGTTCATAGCATGTCTCCATGGAAAGCCTATGAGACTTGCACTTTTTTTTTGTGTGCTTTGACACCTTTACGATTTGCTTTTTACAAAGAAAACCCGACAATAAAATGGTGGGGTTTGAGGATGGATTGTTCATATAATGCAAGGAATTTCCATCCTTGAATACCTGCTTCCTTTTGTCTCTTCTTTTGAATGTCGTTGGGGTCCCTTCATTCACTGTCTTTTGGCTCATTGATCTTCCCTTTTACCGTGAAAGATTGCTATAAATCCTCTGTCATCATTCTTCATAACATCCTTACTTTGAGTATTTACAAGCACAATCATGCAGCTGTTTGGTAATGTGATTAGTGTGAAATTCATGGACTATATGGTAAAATAGCATGCAGCTATTTGGTTGTGAAGTGTTAAATTAAAGGTAATATATGCAGTCACGTTCATTGAATTGAACGAATGAAAAGCTGTCAATTACACATTACACGAATGCATCATAAATAAAACTTGTCCTAAGTCTACAGTTTTGATTTGATGATTCAAGATGTACTAGTGGGTGGCTGAAACTTAGCCATCTATCAGCAAAATGAAACAGATGGTAGATGGGACAATAGGCGAAGATTAATTTTGATTGATAATGCACAGAACACAGTCACAAAAGTTCAAATTAGATAAGGCAAAAGGATCTTCAATCCAATGGGGTGTAATAATCTTCAAGATTCATTTATATGATAGGTGGAGAAAGTGGTACCATAAAGTTGTGTGTGTCTGGAAAAGGTTGATATGGCTGTAAATGTGTCTTGAGACTAGAAACACCCTATCAATATATTCAGTGTCTATTTAATCATTATGAATAAACTGTTTCACTGTGCTTAAGCCATTCAAAATTTCAGATGCAGTAAAATTTTTATTTTGTATCTAAAGAATATATATATATTTTTTAAATATCTTTAAATTGATAGTGAATAATATTAAATGACAATCTAAGACATTTTTATAGAGTTAAAATATTTTAATTAATCTAAGAATATAAACCAATCAGAATCGGTTAATGTTTTATAAGAAAGTTGATTGTCTTCACTTCAATTTTGTTGGCTTTGTGACACAATTATTTATAACTGGAATAAATAGCTTTTGAGTTATTTGAGAATTATTTATTTATTTTTTAATTATAATTAGATCTTTGATTGTTTTTGTTTTTCCTTTGTCGCATCAGGGACTGCAAGCCTTAATTACTCTCTTTTCTATACGCTAATCACATTCCTGTTTATTTTCTATGTCCCATCAATCTAATCCACCTCTATAATTAAACTTACAATTTAACTAACTATTTCATATATATTTGATTTGATGATTTAAGGCTTGAATTTAAGTTTAGATGTGAAAATAAAAATTAAACAAGTTTTCTATATATACTAAAAAAATCCTACAGATTTGTTAGTAGTTATCCACACATGCACATGCTTCACCCCCAAAAGCATGAAATGATTTCCACATCCTTCCAATTGGTGGCTTCTCAGTCATCAAATAAAACCCCAAGAACAATTTTTTATTTATTTTAATATCAGTATTTTTTAGTTTTAAACCGTGACTCGTGATGATCACTTTGTGCAAATTAAGAAGGTGAATTATATAATTAAACTGGGTTTTTCTTTTTGTTTTACTAGTTATCTCTTCTTGATTTGTGGATAATTCCAATTCAATATATGAAAAATACTGCAATTTTGTCCCTATATTCATGACCATGTCTGCACATATTATAATATCGTTCTTAATCGCTTCCATGTGCACTTTCACTCCTCCATCAGATTCCTCATGCTCTCCATTTATATATAAACAAACGGAAATGGGTCTTACTATTATTTTTGAACTAAATTTTGTCCCTTTTGCTTATATAGAATTGATCACTGCGAATATATCAGTAATTTGAGTGAATTTGACACCAGTTATGGATACCCAGTTTGGATTTTGAGAATGGAAACAAACCTTTCCTTGCATTCTTGATAATCTGATCCAGATGTGCAAGTTAGTTGCTTAAGAAATTCTAAGGGTGGCATGTAGCAACCACCACATCAATGGCTCATCAGAAACTGCAGCCACACAAAAGCGATGGACCACAAAATGGGCCTAGCTAATTAAAGGAAAAATTATCTTCTTGATTAACTGTATACAGAGCTATTACATTCAACCATCAAAATGTCTATTCTATTTGATTAATCAACCATCACTATCTATAAGGCAAGATAATTATCTTAATAGCCAATTTCAATAAAGTGCTCAAGTCATTTTACTAGTCCTAGTGCTTACTTGGCCATGCCTTGTTTGGGCTAATCTTTGCAGCGATACATGAAGATGAAAAGGAATTACTGTAACCAGATAAAAGCAGGAAACAAGATAATATATGTGTCCACTTGGGGAACAAAAATGCAAAAATCTTCTTTACATGATTTTCACCTTCCACCAGTTTCATGTCTCAGAGTTCACTACTAGTTAAACGCCATCTAACAGAAACTAACAAATTGGATTACATTCCCTAAAGTTCAACTTACTGGCTTGACAGGTTAATCAAGATGAACCATTATAAAAGGAACAGTAATGTGACATGATTGACTAATTATACATCTCTTAAGTATATAAAAATTTGATATCCAAATCCATATGTATAGAAAAACAATAGTTGAAAAAAGTCAGATCACTCTATGAATTTCATTATTTTAATATATTATTAGTCTTTAATTCTGTTCATGAATAACACTGAGTTATTCCAAAAATAAATGAATAAAAAGAGAAGTTTGGCTGAATAAAAACCAACAACCATCATCATGGGTATGTACACGTCCTTGTCATTGAACAGGAACCTAGTGCAGCAATAAAAGAATGAGGAAGCTGGCTCTTGTGTTCAGAGCTTCTTCTCTTGCTCTATAAACAATTCATAGGGTTTCCCCCCTCTACAATCCCAAAACAGATCATCACTTCTCTTCTCTTAGCAATGTCTGTAAGCTTAATGAATCACTCACTTCCTACCAAAATCTTTTCCCTCGCCTTGCTTCTTTTAATAAACTCTCTTTTGTTTCCTTGTTGTTACTCCCAGCTGAATGAGCAAGGGCAAGCTCTTTTAGCATGGAAGAACAGTTTAAACAGTACTGGAAATGCATTAGCATCTTGGAATCCTTCCAACCCAAGCCCATGCAATTGGTTTGGGGTGCGCTGCAACTTTCAAGGAGAGGTGGTTGAGATAAACCTGAAGTCAGTGAACTTGCAAGGCTCATTACCTTCAAATTTGCAACCTCTTAGGTCTTTGAAGATTCTTGCCCTCTCAACAGCCAACATCACGGGCAGGATTCCAAAGGAGATTGGAGACTGTAAAGAGCTCATTGTCATTGATCTCAGTGGCAATTCTCTCTTTGGTGAAATCCCAGAAGAAATTTGCAGGCTGAGCAAACTGCAGACTTTAGCTTTGCATGCCAATTTTCTTGAAGGCAAAATTCCATCCAGCATAGGAAATTTATCAAGTCTTGTGAACTTGACACTCTATGACAACAAACTGAGTGGCGAAATTCCAAATAGTATTGGCTCATTAACTGAGCTCCAAGTTTTGAGAGTAGGAGGAAACACAGACCTTAAGGGTGAGGTGCCGTGGGAAATTGGAAACTGCACCAACTTGGTGGTGTTAGGCCTTGCAGAAACCAGCATTTCTGGGAGCCTTCCTTCTTCAATAGGGCTGCTGAAAAGAATTCAGACCATAGCCATTTACACAACTCTGCTGTCAGGCTCTATACCAGAAGAGATAGGGAAGTGCAGAGAGTTGCAGAACCTGTACTTGTATCAGAACTCAATCACTGGTTCAATCCCAAGTCAAATTGGAGACCTCAGCAAGCTTCAGAATCTTCTCTTATGGCAAAACAATATAGTAGGTACAATCCCAGAAGAGCTTGGAAGCTGCAGTCAACTGGAAGTCATAGACATGTCAGAAAATCTTCTCACAGGTAGCATACCAACCAGTTTTGGTAAGCTAACAAATCTGCAAGGGCTTCAACTGAGTGTCAATAAGCTTTCAGGCATTATACCTCCTGAAATCACAAATTGCACTTCCCTGACTCAGCTGGAAGTTGACAATAATGCTATTTCTGGAGAGATTCCTCGTCCTATTGGCAACTTGAGAGGCTTGACTCTCTTCTTTGCATGGAAGAACAAGCTCACAGGAAAAATCCCAGATAGTCTTTCACAGTGCCAAGATCTTCAGGCACTTGATCTCTCTTACAACAATTTAACTGGTCCAATACCCAAACAACTTTTTGGGCTGAAGAACCTCACTAAACTGTTGCTTCTTTCCAATGATTTGTCAGGCTTTATACCACCTGAGATAGGTAACTCCACAAGTCTCTACAGGTTGAGGTTAAATCACAATAGACTGTCAGGTAGCGTTCCATCTGAGATTGCCAACTTGAAGAATTTGAACTTTTTGGACGTAAGCAGCAATCATCTTGTAGGGGAGATTCCTCCTACACTATCCAGATGCCAAAATCTTGAGTTTCTGGACCTCCACTCAAATAGTCTCATTGGCACAGTTCCAGACAATCTGCCCAAAAACCTGCAGTTAATCGACCTCTCAGACAACAGGCTCACAGGTGAACTGAGCCATTCCATTGGATCATTAACTGAATTAGCAAAACTCAACTTGGGAAAGAATCAACTCAGCGGAATCATCCCTGCTGAGATCCTATCTTGCTCCAAGTTACAACTTTTGGACTTGGGAAGCAATAGTTTCTCTGGAGAAATTCCCAAGGAAGTTGCTCAAATTCCTTCACTAGAAATCTTGGTCAATCTTAGTTGTAACCAGTTTTCTGGTGAAATCCCACCTCAGTTCTCCGGTCTTAGAAAACTCGGAGTGCTTGACCTCTCCCACAACAACCTCTCAGGAAATTTGGATGCTCTTTCTGACCTTCAAAACCTCGTTTCGTTAAATGTTTCCTTCAATGGCTTCACTGGAGAATTGCCTAACACACCATTCTTCAGGAAACTCCCTCTCAGTGATCTCACAGGAAATGATGGCCTCTACATTGTCGGAGGTGTTGTAACTGCAGCTGATAGAAAGGAAGCCAAGGGTCATGCCAAGTTGGCTATGAAGATTATACTGTCCATTCTCTTAAGCACTAGCGCAGTACTTGCACTGCTCACAATCCATGTCTTAATGCGTGCTCATGTTTCTAACAAAGCACTCATGGGAAACAACAATTGGGTGATAACTTTGTATCAAAAGTTTGAATTCTCTATAGATGATATTGTCCAGAATTTGACATCATCCAATGTGATTGGCACTGGAAGCTCTGGAGTTGTGTACAAGGTTACAGTTCCAAATGGTCAAACACTGGCAGTTAAAAAGATGTGGTCATCCGCAGAGTCAGAAGCATTTACTTCTGAAATTCAAACTCTAGGTTCAATTAGACAAAAGAACATCATGAAGCTTCTAGGTTGGGGGTCCAGCAAGAACATGAAGCTGCTGTTTTATGAGTACCTCCCTAATGGAAGCTTGAGTTCATTACTTCATGGTTCAGGAAAGGGCAAAGCAGAATGGGAGACCCGATTTGATGTAATGTTAGGAGTGGCTCATGCACTTGCATATTTGCACCATGACTGTGAGCCTTCGATATTGCATGGAGATGTCAAAGCCATGAACGTGTTGTTAGGTCCTGGTTATCAGCCTTACCTTGCTGATTTTGGCCTAGCTAGAATTGCAATGGAAAAGGGTGATTATACTAATTCCAAGCCAGTTCAAAGACCCTACCTTGCTGGCTCCTATGGTTACATGGCTCCAGGTACTTTTTTCATTCCAAGTTTGAATTAGTTAGTTATTTTTCAGTACTTGAATAAATAACCCATTGAAACCGAACAAACTTTTGTTGTTTTGGTATGTGTACAGAACATGCATCTATGCAGCAGATCACTGAGAAGAGTGATGTGTACAGTTTTGGTGTGGTCCTACTTGAGGTCCTGACAGGAAGGCACCCCCTAGACCCAACACTTCCGGAGGGTGGTGCACACTTGGTTCAGTGGGTTAGGAATCACTTAGCAAGCAAAGGAGACCCATCTGACATTCTTGACCCAAAGCTGAGAGGGAAAAATAATTCCACTGTGCATGAAATGCTACAAACTCTAGCCTTGTCATTACTATGTGTTAGCACACGAGCTGAGGACCGTCCAACAATGAAGGACACTGTTGCAATGCTCAAGGAAATTCGACTTGTTGAGGCCCCAAGCACAGGTACTGCCTGATGCATTGAAGGGAGGTTCACCAGTGCATGTTTCTCCATCACCCCTTAAAAATATAGTTTCAGATGGACCTTCTAAATGTTCAATTAATTTTCTCTGAGGACTCAATCTGTTGAGTGAGCAAGCATGCTACTCATGGAGAGCGTATAAACATGATTCATATCATTTGTGCATAGTCAAGTGGAATGTCAGTTAGAGCTGGCCAGAATTACTAGAGATGCTCAAATGTAATCCAAGATATGTAATGCTTATTTCAAGAATCCAAGTATTGGATGAAAATAAAAAGCATTCTAGAACATAGAGCCTTCCACCCAACAAATTAAGTTTCAGGCTAGTTGGTTCCTCTTTACTATATAAGAGGTCACCTTTAGGCCTTACTGATATCTTTTTGCGACCTTAAATTTATGTTTTTACCAGAATTCAACTTTTGATGTTCTTACTTTAGTCTATATCTTGATGAACTAATTAACATGGAAACAAATTGATAACATTTTCCTTGGATACAAGTGCTGAAACTTCTCATATATTACTCTCATGAAGAAAATTTCATGGTTTGGAATCATATTGTCTCAAATAATCTTCATATGACGCATAAGAATTGGTGAAATCCATGCCAAATAGATACATGTGTTGGGTTCTATGTGATAATTTCTTGCCAATTGGAGATATGTGATATTAATCAGAATGATTACAATTTATTTATTTTTATATTACACAGAAAATAAGATTCCTAGGCTGCGTCTCTCTTTCCCTCTCATGTTCACGCGCACGCACGCATACTCAAGTCAGGCTTTCCATTCAAAGAGTGACCGACCACATGGTCCCACGTTCAAAACCTCACATGTCCCATGTGCTGTCTGAAAGAGACTTCGCATCAATTGAAAACTCATTCGGAAGCACATATATGAAGTTGGGAATGAAAGTCTGTGTATCTTAATCACACGCACATGTAACTGTATCTGTATCTGCAGGACCATTACATTACTCTTCTGAAAAAGTGAAAGATAACATGTATAACAGATAGAGCAGTAGTCCTGCAGCATATGCAGAGTGCAAATACGAACAAGGAAATTATTTATCATTTGCAAGGTTCACGAAATTCTCTGAACTCATCAAAAAGCTTATTAAGTTATATATTTTATAAGATTTTTTCGTGAACGACTTTTTGGCATTTCTAGGAAGAGCACCGAAAATAATTGAGGAGAAAGAGTTTGTTGCATTGTGAAAATAAAATAAACACAAGAAATACGTGGAAAGAATGAATGAGTACGAGAATAGCGTTCAAAGTACATTAAAATGAAGTTGCAAGAATGTTTACAATTATTTTATAATAAATGTCTTCGACGATACAATGGATTGATTTGTCATAAAATAACATGTATTCCCTGCTTTTCCCTTCTTTAGTTAGGTATTCTCATCAATCTTTAATACTCTCACAAATACAATCAAATGGGTTTTACTCATGATTAATAAAACTTACATAACATTTAACCTAATAATAAGTCATTAACTGTAAAAGATAAATATTTTTTAAGGATAAATAAATGTTTCTTACTTTATTAAAATTTGCTAAAAAAGTAAATGTTTCAAAATATTCGGTATTCAGAAAAGCTTCCCCCAATTTTTTTCCGCAAGTTTTCTGATTTAGTTCTTGGTTTTATGCTCTTGATTTCTTTTATCTATAAAAATTGAACTCTAATACACGAAGATTTACAACAACTTACACATTACAACCAAATGAACTATTAAATTAATTCACTCTAGATAATATTATTTTATTTACTTCCATTTATAAGGTGTACTACAGTTTCTTTTCTTCATGGTTCGTGTGGATGGTCAAGATTATTTTGATTAACAAAAAAAGTTGAATGAGAACTATAGCAACAAGTTGAAGGCACATATTTGCAACTAAATCATACTTTGGTACATAGAAATTAATAATTCAGTTCGGCATAACTTGAAGTTGATGAGGTTCTATTCAATTCTTCATAATTATGTTCCAGACTTTCGAAAAAAATAATGGCAATAATTAGGGATAATCTTGTGCATATTTGAGAGACCTAACTTGAGAAGGAACAATTGCTTTTTTCATTAACTTTGTCATGATATGTCAAAAATAAGAGATTATTATTTTAAATAAGTTAATCCAAATACAATCATATGTGTAAATAAAATTAGTTTCATTGCTGCTAATGAAGAGTTCTGGAACAGCACGTCTGCATCCAACTAGCCCTTTAAGTCTCCACTCTCCATCGCTTTATGAGATAATTCAACAAATGCCATTATATAATTAATGCTCTAGATAATACATAATGCTAGTTGATGGATGAGTGTTATTGGATAGACATGTTGATAATCTTTCAAGCGTATGCACACATTAAAAGAAGCACGCATCATCAAGTTTTTTCTGGATCATATCAAATCAGCACCATATTGAATTGACACAGTGGACTCACAAGCAGTGCTTACTTCTTTATCTCAGCCTCAACATGAAAAAAAGTAGTTTCAATGTACCCAGACAAGCGTGGCCTTGTGCTCAGATGCCACACACATGCCTTGAGCAAATTGAAGCAATGAACTACAAGTTTTTTTGCCACAGCATTAAGTGCCGAAGGAGGCTTCAACCCTACCACCAAATTACACAGTATACACTTCAAGAAACATGTATGGAGCCCACCAATGAATTTCCAGATTGCTATGAATGTTGGATGTCCCAATTGTGCACTATGGAGAATTTTGGTCCTGCCTGTCCAATTTCTTTAGTATGAAGTTAATGACATTCCAGTCAAAACCACGGTACTGAAGCCACCGAACAATTCTTGATTTCCTTGTCTCCTTGGGTACATTCTGACCTCTGAACCACTGCTTTGAGGCTTGAGTATAAAGATGATCCATGGAATGTTTTGATAAGGCAATAACTGACTTGTGATCTTCGGCACAATCATTGTCCTTAAAGACCAATTCGACTGCCTTCTCAGCATCAGCTTGACTAACTCCCTTCTTGAACAGTGCCTGCCACAACAATTGCAGTCCATCACACAAAAGCATTTCCTTGGATGATAATAGCAGGTGGTAGTGAGTAGTGAAGGCTTGCATGCGGAAAGGTTTTTGCGCTTTGGCCTTGCCTTGGCCCACAAGTGAAGAACCTTTAAGCAAGCACTGCTTTCGCACATCCCAAGTGTGTTTGGGGCACGGGCACTTCGGGGAAATTATGAGAAGAGAAGATTGAAGCCTTCAACCAACTTTTTTAACCGTTTTGGAGGAGGGGAAGGGATTAGGGTCAATTCAATCAAGGCAATTTTTGCATATAAGGAAAGAGAAACGATCAGATGGTTTTAAATTATATAAATTGAGCCCTCAAAAAGTAGCTAAGTAATTGAAGAGATTATTCTATCAGACAAATTACAAGAGAAAAGAATTGGGTCACGCATTTTTTAAACAATTCGTTATGAAAAAACTGACACAAGTAAAGCAGGCTAAAGACATAATTAAACTTCAAAAACTTTTAGTTGTAGGGAAAAATCAAAATACATATTACATACACAAGCTAAATTTTCAGATACAGATAATTACATATATTAGAAAATGATATAATTCTTTTTATTTTAACTTGTTCCTTGTATACAAGTATATATTTTCACATTTGAATTCTCAAAGTAATTTTGGATTCATAGTAATTTTGGAAAGAAAAGTACAAGTAAATGCACAAAGCTCTCCTGAATTAGCAAGATACTGTGCTGTCACGATGCGCTACATCGTTTCGTCCTAATTCTATATTGTAGAGCTAAAATGATGATAAATTTTAGGGAGCAGAGTGTTAGCATAATACTTACACACTTATTTCCTCTTCTGCACTGAAACAGAATTAATAACAAAACATGGGGAAATATTGATCTAGAAGAGAAAAAAGCATAACCAAACAGGCCATGTAAGAAATCAAGTAACAGGACAAACAAAAACGAAAAATAAATTAATTTACTTGTTTGATCCGCCTTGGTCCCCAGCTCGATGAAGACCATCTTGATTGAGAAAATGTCTCAGCATACAACCTATCATTAATCAACCCTCTGATACGAAAAAGGTTAATTGAACCAATCATCCTAAATAAACAGAAGTAAAAAAATGTCTGCAAAATTCAGTTTATAAATGACTTTTTGAAAATTACAGCACAATATTGTATTGATATGCCAAAAATGGACGTATACAAACTTTTGAAAAAATTGAGATACATTAACCACACAGGTTATTCTGAACAGAACAAAATTACTTTATCTGCATATCTAAACTAATAATATAAACTCATAAAAATCAGAGTCTGTATCCTTCCACGAGCTAGAAAAATTAAATGACAAAAAAAAAAAAAAACTTGGTAACTTCATATAAAAATTGTGGATCTGTTATTCATCAGCCATTTTCAAATGCATCTTTATTTGAAGCTTTACACGCTAACAACTACATCCTAAAATGCAGAAAAGAAAAATGAATTTTCGATTTCCCAAACAATCTCCAGGATTTGTGTTAATAAAAACCCTCACTACAAATCACATCTAGAAGGTCATCTTCACTCTTTATCGTGAAGTAATCACCCTTCACCACAAGTGACCAGGTAAAATTATAATGTCCAGTAAAAGCTTAGATAGTTTTCCTTTTCATTCTATAATATCAGTAAACTTAGATCATTCCCTTTTGATTATAAGTTGTTTTGAATACAAAATAAGTTAGTAGAATTGGAGGGATAAATAATTTCCCTTATCTTTTTCAAGAAAGATTTTTCAGTAACCCAAAAGAAAAAGATTATTTTTTATTTCTAAATAACAAGCCATACCAAAAAAATGTCTTGATTCCTTTTTCCCTGTGTTCTGTAATCTAAACATGTTACATCTATTTGCTGTTTAATGAACAAAGGTGGAAAAATAGTTCACCAGTTTCAGAGACACAAAATAAATTAAAATGAAAAAAGAAGTGTCACTAAGTGCAGTGTTTAAATGTCAACAACTCTTGTGTATAAACTACTTCGACATAAATTGGCAAATGACCATGTTTCCAATTATATAAGATGGGACCCTCAAATTCTCAAAACACATTCATACTCAACATTCAGTTATCTAACCATTTCAATCATTGAGACCTCATGACTGAATTAATAGTTCGCTACAACCGCATTCAAACTCAGCTTTGCAATAGCAATAAGATCCTCATTGCATACATCTAATTTTTAGAACAGAAATCACATAAAATATATTAATCTCTTTGTTTTAATTGGATAAAAACTTAATGGAAACCAAATTTAGAAAGTAGTTGTCTGAAAGCAAGTAAATATTCAAGTAAGAAGTGTTTAAAATTGGCTAAGAAACAGCTCCACAATTTTTATGTAGTAAATTACGAACCTTCTCTGGAACTTGTTTATCACTGCATCCACTGCATCAGGAGAGAATCTCTTTCCAAGCAACTTCTTTCTCAATTCAAGTGCTGTGAGTGCCCTATGGAACAGATACAACAAGTATGCTTAAAAGAAAATACTGTGTTTTAAATTAAAACATGCATGCCCCTCTTTCCTAAAGAGAAAATATATTAATAGACTAATTATTACAATCTTTCTTCTCTTTGTTTACAACTTGCAGGCAAATGCAACTCCAGGAAATTCATTATTGATGACAATTTGCTAAAATTTTCCAAAAGTTATGCCAAATAAGCTAACACTTAGTTCTGATTAATCTCATTCTTAAATATAATGACATACAAACAACTTCAATCAAGATAAAATTTCCGAAAATATATTGGATATTTAAGTAGACTGCCACTACATTGCCAAATAAGACATCCTATGTTTTAGCTTTCATGCTGAGCCTTGGCACAATAGTAAGGTTTTTGCCATGTGACTTAGAGGTCACAATTTCAAATCCTGGAAACAGTCTCTCACTGCTGGATATAAGGCTGCATACATGTACCCTACCCATACTCCTCTGAGATGATAATACTCGACATTTTGTTCAATTTCTTAATGGAAGTGTTGCAAGAGGTAAAGACTTGACACACTGAATAAAAGTTAAAAGGATGTTCCAACAACAGGAATGTTAAAGATATGATTTGATTACATCAATTGAAGAAATATCATAGCAAATATTTCTCATCATTAATTATTGATTTTGTTCCTTATGGTTGTATTTCTTCTTCATTACAAATAAAAATACTCGTGTACACACAACATATAATTATAAGCAATCTTTTAAATAAGAGAAAACAACAACTAACAGCAAAGAAATAATAGCACGACAGAGATTGATTTTTCTTGCACTTCAAAATGAACAAGCATTATTCTTGCCCATATTTAGTTCAGAAACTCCTCAATTTGATTAAATATAGTTTATAGCTATTCCAACATCGAATAAATTCAATTTTCAAGAAAATCGAATGGGAAACAACAACAAACCTAACTGCAAGTAATTTAACAGCAGATTCCTCAACATCACTAATAAATTTGTCAATTTGTATCAAATCCTGGTCACCCGAGTCTCCTCCCTGATGGATTGTCAACTCTCCAACCTCTTCCATTTGATCGAAAGAACCTAAAATCCACAAATTACAATGCTCAGAACAACTTCACTTCACTTCTTATGTATTTAAGTTGTAAGTTCTGTTTCATTTCTAATCATACTGTTTGATTCTGCAGCAGAATCCTCTACTGTAACCAATTGATATAAAAAAAGCCACAAGTAAAGAGTTAAAAGAGGTTAAAGCAAGATAGTTAATGCAATTTTTATAATAGCTGTTGAATATAGGGTTAATTTCCCTTATGTATTTACCACACATAGGGCAGTGTATTTATAATAAAGAAAGGTACTCCTCAAAAGAGTAACAGAATACAAATAGGGTAAATAAAAAGATATTATTTGATATTGTGATTAACAATATCTAACAATATCTCAACAATATCAAACAATATCAACTAATATCTAATCATATCTAACACTCCCCCTTAAGCTGGAGCATACAAATCATATGTGCCTAGCTTGGTACAAAGATAATCCATCCTAGGTCCCCGTAAAGACTTAGTGAAAATATCTGCTAATTGATCACATGAGTTAACGAACTCAATCTTGATGTCTCCAGACATAATCTTTTCCCGAATAAAATGGCAGTCAATCTCAATGTGTTTAGTCCTCTTATGAAAGACAGGATTAGAGCTTATATGGAGAGCAGACTGATTGTCACACACTAGTGTCATTTGAGTGACATCTCCAAATTGTAGCTCTTTAAGCAATTGCTTGAGCCAAATAAGTTCACAGGTAGCTGAGGCCATAGCTCTATACTCGCTTCTGCACCGGATCTTGCCACAACACTTTGTTTCTTACTTTTCCATGAGATCAAGTTACCACCAATGGAAACACAATACCCGATGTAGATCTTCTATCAAAGGGAGATCCCGCCCAATTAGCATCCGAATAGCAGACAACTCTTGTATGATTATGGGAGTCATACACCAAACCTTTTCCAGGAGACTTTTTGATGTACTTCAATATACGGATGACTCGCATTCCAATGATCTTGACAAGGAGAATTGAGGAATTGACTCACCACACCGACTCGCAAAGGAAATGTCGAGGCGAGTAATCGTAAGATAATTTAATTTTCCAACTAATCTTCTATACTGTTCAGGATCCGACATTGGCTCCCCCGATTTGGCAAGAGTTTGGTATTAGGATCCATGGGTGTGTCAACAGTGCTTTGAATTCATCAACCCAGCTTCCTCCAAAATATCCAATGCATACTTTCTTTGAGATATAACAATGTCATCGGTAGATTGTGCTACCTCAATACCCAAGAAATATCCGAGTTTGCCAAGATCTTTGGTTTGAAAATGGTGGCAAAGGTGTTGTTTCATCCGAGAGATGCCATGATGGTCACTACCTGTAAGAACAATGTCATCGACATACACTATCAAATAGATACATCCAAGATTCGAGTGACTCGTAAAAGACTCGAGTGGTCCGCCTCACTTCTAGTCATGCCAAATTGTTGAACAACGCCGCTAAATTTTCCAAACCAGGCCCTAGGAGACTGTTTTAGGCCATATAAAGATTTGCGAAGACGACATACCAATCCAGTAAGACTCCCCCGAGCAACAAATCCGGAGGTTGCTCCATATAAATCTCTTCTTGCAAATCGCCATTCAAGAAAGCATTTTTGACATCCAGCTTGATAAAGAGGCCATTGTTGAATAGCAACCATGGCAATGAATAAACGAACGTAAGCCATCTTTGCCATCGGAGAGAAAGTATCACCATAATCCAACCCAAAAATTTGGGTATAGCCTTTGGCTACAAGGCGAGCTTTGAGGCGATCAATAGTACCATCAGGACCAACCTTGATAGCGAAGACCCACCCGCAACCAACAACAGATTTTCCGGATGGTAATGGGACAAGCGTCCAGTGTTCCACTAGTCCGAAGAGCACCGAGTTCATCTAGCATGGCCTCGACGCCAACCAGGGTGGGCTAAGGCTTCGAGACGGATTTAGGAATAGACACGTAAGAAATAGACGAGAGACAGGTATAAAATGGTGAAGAAATTCGATGATAACTTAAAGCAATATAATGTGGAGAAGGATTACGAGTAGAACGCGTACCTTTACGAAGGGCAATAGGAAGGTCGACTCGTGGACTGAACCGGAGGAGGCAGAGTATTTGGCACCGGGAGTGAGTCATGTGGCGTCTGTTGTGGGCGAGGTCTCGCGACTATAAACCCGAAGGGGTGGTGGAGGAGGAGGGGCTAATGGTGGATGGTCCTCAACATAAGGATCAATGAGAATAGGAATGGGAACTCGTAGCAGATGGAGACTCAGCAGGTAGGGAAGGGTCCTTAAAGTAAAAGGAACACTCATTGAAGGTGACATCGACAGACACAAAATAGCGATTAAGAGAAGGAGAAAAACACTTGTATCCTTTTTGGGATCGAGTAAATCCTAAGAAAACACATTTGTGTGATCGAGGAGATAACTTATCATGACCAGGATCAAAATTGTGGACAAAACAGGTAGACCCAAAACCTTCGGAGGTAAAGGATGGAGAGTGTCATGAGGAAATAAAATAGAATGGGGAATTTTGTTATCTAAAACCGAAGAGGGCATACGATTAATAAGATAACGAGCAAGTAAGAACAAGCATCACCCCAAAAATGTTGAGGAACCTCACCATGAATTAAAAGAGTACGGGTTGTTTCAATAAGGTGTCTATTCTTGCGCTCACCACCCCATTTTGTTGAGGGGTATAAGCACAGGAAGTTTGATGAAGAATGCCATGAGAAACCATAAATTGTTTAAACGAGTTTGAAAGATATTCACGGCCATTATCACTTCGAAAAGTTTGAATAGAGACACCAAATTGATTTTTAATTTCATGATAAAAGTTTTGGAATATAGAAAACAACTCGTAACGATTTTTCATTAAAAATAACCAAGTACAACGAGAGAAATCATCAATAAAAGTAACAAAATATTGAAAACCTAAATTAGACTTAACACGACTCGGGTCCCCAAATGTCGAGTGAACTAAGGCAAAGGGGGATGAAGCACGACTGGGAAACACTACGAGAAAAGGAAGTACGACTATGTTTGCCTAACCGACGGGACTCACACACCAAATTGGACAACTGGGATAAGCCGGGAACAAGTTGATGTAATTTGCGCAGACTGGGGTGACCAAGCCGAGCATGAAGGAGAGAAGGAGACTCCATAACCGTGCCAACATGTGGAGAAGGTTGAAGATAATAAAGTCCATGTGACTCACATCCGGTGCCAATCACTCTTTGCGAGCTCCGGTCCCGTAGGGAAACGAAGTTTTGGTAAAAGAGATAACACAATCAAGAGATCGAGTTAGACGGCTAATGGATAATAAGTTAAAGGGGGACCCGGGTACATACAAAACATTATCAATGGACAACGAGGGAAAAAGAGTAACCGTTCCAACACCATGAGCTAAAGTTGTAGACCCATTAGCCATTGTAACAGAGGGTAAATTATGAGAAGAAGTGAAAGAGGAAAATAAGGATTTGTTACCGAGTGATGTGATCGGTGGCGCTCGAGTCAAGAACCCAAGGGCCAATAGAAGAAGAGTGAGTCGGACCAAGCAAAAGATGTACCTGTGTGGGCAATGAAGTAGTGGAACTGGAAGACTTTCGATCCTCATACCATTGAAGAAAATCATTGAAGATAGCAGATTTGTCCGAAGGTACAGACGAAGGAGGATCCACAGCAGAGGATTGTGCGGAAGAATCGGCCTGAGCAACCGCAGCAGATCGGCGAGGATAACCATGTAAAGCATAACATTTGTCAATTTTGTGGCCTAGTTTGCCACAATGGTCACACTTGACACGCCCTTTGCCCGGCTTGTGAGAGCGATTACGATCATCACGGTGAGAGGCCAAGGCGGATGAATCATTAGAAACTACAGGGGGAATATTGAGAGGTTTACATGGCACCCGCAAAAGGGAGGAACTGGTAGCGGTAAAGCCGGGTGTAACAGGGGAACCCAAAATCGGTCACGAACAGGGGCATATTTATCAGCAAGTCCGTGTAACATCAAAACCATGAAAAACTTTGATCGTTGCTCTAATTCTTGGGCAGGAGTCGAGGCGGGGGTAATAACTCATTAAATTCATGGAGAAGAGCATGGATCTTACCCACATAATCCGCCACAGGATCCTTATGTCGAGGAGCAATAACATCAAGAAGATTGTAACAAACACCATAAAGACGTTGAGTGTCATTGGTGTATAATAATTTGGCTTGTTCCCAAACGTCATAACATGTGCCATACGATCGAAAAATTTGTTTTAAAGAAGATTGAATGGTATTCTTGAGAACCATACATATATGAGCATCAACTTTCTTCCAACGGACACGATCATTGGAAGGAACATCATCTACCTTGGTAGTAAGATGATCAACATACCCCTGACTCTCAAGCCAAAGTCTAATATCAGATGCCCAAGTTGCATAATTCGTACCATCTAATTTATCAATGGGTAAATTCACATTGACATAATTAGTAAAAACAGATTGCTCAGACCCACCGGAGCTGACAGAGGTAACTTCAGAATTGGAAGTGGCAGCGGAAGATGCCATGGAGGAAGAGAGAGAAAAACCCTAAAACACCAAAGAGGTCCGATTGGAGCAGCGAGGACAGATCCAGAGAAAGGAGAAGGAGGCGACGCCGGCGCAAAGATCGGCGGCCTGAACGGCGGCGAGACGCGCCGCCACGCACGGCGGAACGGGAGAAGGTGGCACGGCTTCAGGAGGCGCGTGAGGGAGCGTGGCTGCTCCGATGACCGCGAAACTTCCACGGTGGAGGTCGCACGGAGGAGACGAGCAAAACCCTGTGCTCGGCGGTCCGAACTGCTACTCTGGCGACGGCGGCGGCGGCGGCGGTCGCGGACGGCGGTGGCGACGGCGGCGGCGATGGAGGATCAGTGGCAGAGCCGAAAAAAAATCCCAAGAGACCTTAAGCTCTTGATACCATGTTGAATATAGGGTTAATTTCCCTTATGTATTTACCACACATAGGACAGTGTATTTATAATAAAGAAAGGTACTCCTCAAAAGAGTAACAGAATACAAATAGGGTAAATAAAAAGATATTATTTGATATTGTGATTAACAATATCTAACAATATCTCAACAATATCAAACAATATCAACTAATATCTAATCATATCTAACAATAGCTATAAACAAACAAATTGTGAATCTAGAATCATGAACCTATAAACCATCCGCAATGTTAATGGTAGAAGGAGATCTTATTACACCCTGGAGAAAATGAACTTTAGCTAACCATGAGATCAACACTGCTTCTCCTTTTGTTTAAATTATGTTCTTAATAAGAATAATTTTTTGTAAGCAGCTTACTTTATTCAATTTATCAATTGCAAAGGCTATCATTCACAATGTAATCTCAAAAGTGTAAACAACCTCTATCGTTGCTTTCATGACAAGAAGAGTTTATCCAGTACCACAATATGAGAATATTATATCACCACACTTTAAACTATGTCACCAATCCCATCCCAGGCATTAAATTTAATTGGAAGGCATAAAATCACAAATCTTTTGTGTTTAGCTATAGTTATTGGTGTAGTTCCCCTGCATCCTGAATAGTGAAGCCCAACTACCTCCCAGACAATGAACTAAAACCATATCATATTCGATAAAAGTTTACCTTGTTCAGTGTCATCATAGAACAAGTCAGGGCAAATTTCATTTGAATCTTGAGAAATTTCATAATGGGCAATTGTTGCATGCACATCTTTTCCACCATTTACCTTGAGCACATTAACATCAGGAGAACTGCCATATCCCCGGCTTTTCACTGGCAGAGCAGTTTCAGGTAGTTGCACCCTGTAGAATGTGCTAGCAATGTACCTTACAGGAACAGATGAACTGAAATCTCTGCACTTCAGGCACGCAATCTGTGACTTCCAAATGGTCCTAATACCAAAACATAAAAAATTAGAACAATGGCCAACATATTTCAGAATCTACCTATCCCTGTTGAAAGCTGAGGCTTCTAACTTCTAAATGAGTGGATGAGGAGACAAAAAAAAAAATTGAAGACCTTACTTCAATCCAATAAAATTGCCACCAATTAGGCAGCTAAATTAGAACTCCATTACTCATTTACTCTCAAAAGGATTAAACTTTTTTGTCATTTTGATTCAGTACCAAATAGGGGTAGCAACATTTAATTTAGGAGCTGAAAACGAGAGAAGGAAGTTACCGGGAAATTGAAAAAATGCGAGAAGGAAGCTGGCACGAAATTTTGAAACCCACGTTTCCCGCGAAACCTGCCATGTTCATTCAATTGAAGTTTGTGCCTACCAAGTTCAAGGGTTTCTCATTTTTGGTTCGTTTTCAGTTTTCATCACTGCATGGTTTCTCCTTTGTTATTTTTTCGGTCGAAATTTAGTTTTCGGGTCAGACGGGCTCATATTTGGGTCGGTCCGGCTTAGCACCAATTCTTAATGTAAAAAATATTATGAAAATATGATTTCAAAAAAGAGGGAGGTGATGAAATTTTTTTGTAAGTATAATAATAATAAATACCCCCAACAAAATTAAGATATCTGAATTTGAATATTTATTTGTAGATTTTACAAATTTTTAAGGTACCTCTCGTTCATTTTGGAACAGATTTTTCAAAATGTATTTTTACTTTTTTTTGAAATCTCATTTCTAAAATAAATGAGAGGTAGTAAAAGAATTTAAGATTTTCTTTTTTTAAGAATGGGTCTTACTCAGTAACTCTGCATGTAAACCATATTTTAAGAATATTATTTTAATGTGTGCTTGTGAACACGTGATAAAAAAATAAAATAAAACAGTTTCTAATGCAATTTTTAAAATAATCAGAAACACCAATAAGATGTATGTCGATGGTGATAAAGAGGCATTTCATTTTTGTATTTAATTTTTTTTTTTAATTATCTTAAGGCACTATTTTATGTAACATTTTAAAAATGTTCTTAAATGGTTCGTTTTGTGATGCTTTGGTATAAATAGGGAGTTGTGAGTTTGGGGACCTAAACAAATCAGAAGATCCATTTTATGATTAATTTTATTATAGGCCATACCCAAAAAAATTAAGCTAGTTGTTTATTTTTTTTTTCAAGTTATATATATCACGTAGCTCAAAGAAAGAAAAATAGGGAAGGGGAAAGAGATAGTGTTGTCAACAATTCTATGTCAAATGCTAATAAAGAAGTTGTATGAAAGCAACAGTTTTACTTGGCTACAAGAAGAAATGAAAATAGTTTTTGAAAACACAAGGAATCTCAAGCAGTTCTCCAAGCATACAGATAATGGCAAAATCCTGTGGTGGATGAATCCTCTAGAAGTTCACCTCTGCTGCTACCTCCTGTTCCTTCTTGGCATTCTTTGGCATTAGAATCGCTGGTAGTTTCCAAAACGCCTGGCTTGAAAACAAAGAAGGCAGGGCCTGGACCAAGTTCATTTGTAAAAAGCCAATCATGCACATCCCAGAAGATTTGCACAGGGAAATTATTCACCATCACTACTTCATTCCCTCTGAATCTCCAATGTAAGTTCATTATTCTGCTGGCCAACATACCATCTATGTTAATCCACATTTCTGGATCATCAGGACCCGACAGGGAAGTCTCAATCACAACATCATATTCTGTCTTACCATCTTCCAGAATGGCTCTGGTACAAAACATCTTCTTCGCATACACATTGTCTCTCTTGCATACCAAGGTAGCCTCTTCTAGGGATGGTTTTGATTTGGTTCTTATCAAAGCATCATTCTCTAAATCTCCCAACAACAAAAGCATCTCTTTCTTGTAAACCAAGGCAATGTAATAACCTGAGTTAGGTTGTGGACTTGTGGTGAATTCTGCGCGTCGAAGATCCCAGTAAATGTCTACTCTTGCACCTGCCATTTCAAAGGATCTGAGACCCTTTTTCCCCCAAGACTGCCCTGATTCCAAATCAATCCTGCAGGAGAACTTGTTTTCTTTCAATGTGTTATCCACAGTCATGGAAAGGAAATGGTCTGTGGGGTCCCTGCACCAGGAAACTGTTACACTTCGCAATGATTCTGCTACTCTGGTTTGATAAACAAAGGTGACAGAATTCTGAGGGGCATCTGCTTCCGTGATTTTATCATCCTTGCATGTTTCCTTCTTGTTTAACATCAGAGATTCTACCAGAGAATGAGCCATTGGCTATACAATTTGGACAAGTCTGGATTTTGCCTGCAAAATGTATATATGATTTTCTAATTTTCTTGTTGGACCAATAATTGATCCTCTTAGGCCTCCAATGGTCAGAGAGAATTATAAATGGTAAACCCATCATAGATGCTTCTAACAATGCAATAACAATGCATCATCATCGTCATCATTTGACCCTTTGTAATTTCAAAACCCAAACAGCTTCAACGGAGTTCTTAATCAAAGGGGTTTTCTTTATTGGTGAATTCTTAATCAGAGGTTGAACGCTAGAGGAATCGCAATGTTAGGAAATTATGTGCAATAGTTGTAACGTTCCGAAATACGTGAAAATTAAGACATGTTTTGAGGAACAAAATCTAGGCTAAGGTTGTCAATGAGAAGATCCTTAATTGCTTTTATCTATTAATAGACTAAGGTTGCACAAATTAAAAAATGAAAACGGAAACAAGTTGCACTTCTAACTTTAACCCCTACTAGAGCCGCTTTCTGCATTATTTTCAACCCAATTAATTATAGTAAATGTCACATTTGGAAAAAGCCAGTACAGGAAGGTGCTGGTCAACATGCAGGGGCTAATTTAAATATAGGGTGCTTTGAGAAAATCCTTCCATTATTATGTAGTTGAGTTAAAACATTTTAATATATATATATATATATATATATATATATATATATATATATATATATATAGTTGTAAATACTAACAAAATATTCAGATGAATGCACTTAATCTATTTTAAAAAATAAGAAACAAATCATTTTCAAATATCATATTGGAAATCATCTGGTTGCCACCACTTCCTAGTTATCCTTTTGACTAATGCTCCTCAAAATATTTAATGTAATTATTTAGTCAATTTATCACCATTAAGTACACAGGTAGGGTTCTATATAAATATAATTTGATTGATAATGTGCAACGAAAGACTAAGTAATAAAATTACAATAAAAAAAAATATACAACCAAGTACAATTGTAATAATTGTACAAGGTTTACAACAATTTTCTATTACTTCCCTCCATTACTTCTGTTGAATTTGTAATGGGGAGCTGAATTCATAAAATGCAGTAGTAAGTATGCCTTATCCATGTAGCAGCATATAACACCTTAAGACTTCAGAAATATGTTGACATCCAAAAATTTAGATTACAAAGGAGCTACATAACATGAAAACAGAGGACAGAGGAAAGTCGCACAAACTTAAGACCTCAGTCAACAAAATTATGTGGGCCGGCACTCTAACATGCACATCAATTGTTGTCACTGTACAAAAATAAATAATGTAAATAATGATCAAACTTTAACCAGAAATCCTCAAGATAAAACAAATAACTTTCCACGTGGCGTAGATCGGCTCCTTCTAAATTCAGGCAATGTACTATTGGTGCCTTCCTTAAGATTGCGTCCTGAACCTTGTTGTAATATTTTATTTTCAACTTTGCTCGACAATAATGGTTCAGCTGCTTGCTCTATTCCTCTGAAAGTGACAAAATGGCTCATCTATCAATCAGGCTATGATTCTATGAATAATGTTATTTTTAATAAGAAACAAGTAAACGAGAATACCTTGATCCAATGTTCTGAAAATTCCTAGAGATGTTCTGATGTATTTTTTTAAGATTAGCACCAAGGACTGCAGACTCCATGAGGCTTATATCATTTTCTGGCTCACGGTAATTGCTCTTTCGAGGTGCCTCCATGGTCATTTCACGGCCAATGTCCGTGTCAGAAATAGGTATCATATCAGGCTTTTGAATCCTGAAGGGCATTTGTTGATGAGGCTTAACCTTGGCCTTACTGTCAGGCCTGTTTTTCCTAGTTCCACCTTGTCTTACCACACCAAGAGCAGCTTGCTTGAGTTGTTCCTCTTCATGTTCGTCATTAACTTTCCTGGAGTTTACCTTCTGGAGGTTGAAGAGAGTTTCATTAGTACTATCTTGCTTCAGTGACTCCTGTGAATGCAGATTCACCCTTGAGTTATTGTCTATAGACGAGGGCATTGGCATTGAGACAAGAGATTTATTTACTAGTACTCTAGCTGAAAGTAGATGCTTTGATATTTGTTGATTTTCTACTGTGTCACTTCGGACCTTGCTTTTAATAACTGACCCTCTATCAGTTGATATTGATCTCCTCTTGACTGGAGGTGATGGTGATCTACCTTTCCCTGAGCTCACTATTTTTTCTTCAGCCAAAATAGACATTTTTGGTATGGACTCCTTTTCTATATTTGTTGAGGGAAATCTTGACCTTCTTAGCTTACCCGAAGAACAAGTTTTAGCCTGAAATTATAATTTCAGATTTAGAGACTACATTGCAGCGTGACACAATTTTTAACATAAAATTATAATAAAAGTTTATATCAGCATGCAATAACCTCGGAGCTTCTATCATCCATGTGTCTTAGATAGTTTTCAGGCTTCATGCTGTCACTGGTACCATTTTTGGGCAAACGGAAAGGTGAAACAGCTCTTGGTGCTTTCTGAGATTCCATAGGATTTCGTGCATTCCCAGCTTTCCACTGCTGTAGTTCAGTTTCTTTCTTCTCCAATGCTGATTTGATATTTGATATCTATAAATATTCAAACTATTAAAACATGCCAAGTAAAATTGAAATCGCTCTAGTTATGACAAAAAAGCAAACCTCATCCTTTAGCTCCCGAATTTCTCCAGTTTCTTTATTAGATTGAGCAGCCCCAAGCTCAATGGTCGCAACCCTCTCTGCAAACTTAAGTGTGCTAATTGTCTCTCCAAGAGCATTAAGCTCAGGATTTATATGAACAAACATCAAAGTTTTTGCATGACCACCTATGATATTGGAGAAAAAAAATAAAATAAAGCACAGGTTAAGTCGTTTTATACGGAAATTCAAAATAGAAAACCACTATGCCATTATTCAAAAGCACTATATTAATAATATCAATATTTAAATTGAAAATCGTTAATCAATCCATCTCAACCCGTTTCCCAACTCCACGACAACTAACCAAAGCAACTGAGTGAAAAAATCTGTAGTAGAAAAATATGGTGGTTGAAGCTCAAAACGAAAAAAAAAAAAAAAAATAAAAAAAAAAAACCTCCAAATGTTGTTCTAACTAATAATTATAATGAGAAACGTGTACAAATAAAAAGGGTAAATTACTATTTATTTAAGTCTGCTTGTTACCTAATGAATCTTGTAGAACTTGTGTGAGCTTGCTATTTCTATAAGGAATATGTTGACTCTTCTGTGCCAAAGCAGAGATAACATCCCCAAGTGCAGAAAGAGATTTATTTATATGCTGAGCCTCCTTTAGTCTCTCGCCAACAGCCTCGGATTTGTCCACTCTCTCACTTCCAGCCAAATCCACAAGATGAAGACAACCCTTAAGAATGGAGTTAGATACTAAGTCCCTCCCTCTGACATGAACTGTCAACACACTGCAATTGGATGGAAAAAAAAAATTAAGTAAACTATATTTTATGGTTAGAGTAGCCATCTATTTTCATGAAGAAATCTTACCTATGAGAACGGCTGCTTCGCTCATTTAGAGCTGTAGCACCAACAGCACGATTCCTCTGACCAATTTTCATTAAATCAAGAACATCTTGTGTGCAATTAACCGGAACTAAAGATGCATCAGGCACATTAAGCCCATTTAATTGAGAGTTGTTTCGTATATCTAATGTATGTCTTATCAAGGAAATAAACAAGAAAAAATAAATCATATTGCAAAAAACAAAACAAAAAGTACAGTATTTTTTTCTCTTTTTGGAGTTTGCAAAAGTTTGGATATACAGAGGTGAAAAATGATTACACATTAATATAAATACAGCAAGTACGGCTTGAAGGATATCTTCTGTTAGAGCCATCGCTGACTAATAAATCTCTCACTTGTTCATTGTATATTTCAATCATCTGGACGCCAACTTCATATTTTATGGCATCTGCTCTTTCCTTTGAAATATGAAATAAGTCGCGCAAAGCCCTGTAGTTTACACCCCAAGTCTCTTCAGTCATCAGATCAGGCCCACTCTATCCAAGCAGTAAAACACACGTGTATGAGAAACACGACAACACAAATGATTATATGACATTGCAGTATCGCACCATCAGCTTTCTTTGCGCTTTTATAACATACAGGTCATTTTAAAATCTTAATTGTCTCCTTTGTAAGAAGAAAATCTCCAAACCAAGATACTAACTGATAGAATTTTGAACAATGGCAAAACGCATGATAGATTCTTGTTTTTTAGCATTCATAATATACACCACAAAGAGTGGACGAAAATCTGTTTCGCAACTAGTACATGAAAAGAAAGTCACCAAATTCAGGGCAAAACTATAATAATCTTATTCGTTCTTATGAGGTGTGTAGTAAAAACAAAGAATTTAGGATGAGGACAGCACTCCAATTTGAGTGAATGCACAAAACTATATTGCTTAGTTTTTATGTATTACCATTGTGTAGGTCTTTCCTGACCCAGTCTGTCCATATGCAAAGATGCATACATTATATCCATCTAAGGCGGACCTAACCAATGGTTGAGTATCAGCGTATATTTGTTCTGCACATTACAAAGAAAATAATCATAAAAGCTTCCAATGAGAAGATATAAATTTCAAAAAATGCTATATATTTTCCTTGTAACAAGTGCATTAGAATATGATATCATGGTTATATTATCACATAACGATCCAGAATACAAATACTCATTTTTTATCATTCTTCATTACATAACCATGTCTCTATTATCTAAAAAGGTCCATTATTATTTTTCAAATCTTTACTACATTTTACAAAAGTCGTTTAGGAATAATCATGAAGAACAAAGTATTTGCTGGCCCAATACATTTTCGAATAGTATGTCAAAAAACTAAAATACCTTGGGTGGCACTTGTTGCAAACACCTTATTGAATGAAAACACCCTCCTGGCATCTTTTCCTTGCTTAAGGGGATTCATAATCATTATGTTTCCATTTTCTCCTATATAATCTACAGTAGATTGACCATTTGGTTGTCCTGGTAAGAAGGGCCTCACTCTACAGTAGACCCTAATGGCTCCTGAAAGTCAGCAAATCTATTAAAATATATAAATCATGTAAGTAGATCCTTGAAAAAGGTGTCATGGATTCCTGTGTACCTTTGAGGTCTTGTACTTGATTGTAAAGAAAACGATTCTCCTCCAAAACTTTGTGATAGGAAGAGGAGGCCTCTTCAAGGCTCTTTATATGACTCTCTAAGAAGCACATAGAACTAAACTCAGCATTATGAAAGAATCTTACATCAAATGATTTTACATTCATGAAAGGATATTTCTCATGAAAAAATAAATCTTCAGCAGATAATTACCGAACGTGCTCAATTGTTGGTCCCACTTTGATTGAATTTGTTTGAGGTCCAATTTTATCTCTTCATAGGAGTACTTCAGTCCCTAGACCAGTAAAAAGATTATCATTACAGAGAATGATGCTATATCGCATAATAAATCATCTAAAGCAGTACATTGGATTTTCCACTTTCATACCTCAAGCTCTTTTTGCTGGGCATCAATTATTTCAGCATGTTTGGCACAATATTTGACACTCTGCTGATTACTGTCTCGTTTCCCACCACAAGTGCATAGTTTTGAGATATCATTTGATGCCAAACTACGTCTTTGATTAAGATATAATGTGATAGCTTCTACGAAATCTCTCTTAGAGAGGCCACCAGTATCGCCTTTCAATATCTTTTTCAGGAAATGTCCAAGCTGCAGGCAATTGTTATATTTTAGGTACCCTTCCAAATAACACGAGGTGCTTTTACATTACAAACTCCATAGCAAGACAAAAAGATGCATGCATTAAATTCAGAAGTACCTGAGTGCCTTGAGAATCAAGCAATGCAGAAAAATCCCTGATAATCTTCCCGAGCAAAGAATCTATTACCTGCATAAAATTTAACCCTATCACAAATAAGATTGCTGATCGCAAGAATCAAATGAATCTTGAAGCATAGATTTAATTTCTCGCAATAAATTTAACCCAATCACAAATAAGATTGCTGATCACAAGAATCAAATGCATCTTCATACATAGACTTAATTTTTCACAATAAATTTCAAACAACAATCTGAATTCCCAGTCTTGAAAATTACAAAAATCACACACATAGGAAAGGATCTTACCTACCATTGCATTCAACGGCAGATCATCAACCCCATCAGCCTCTCTTAGGTAAGCCAGGAGAAGCTTGAGTCCAAACTGATCAAAAAGGGAAGTCAAAGCATTAGCAGCTTTTGTTTCTTCAACTGATACCTCTCCAGACAGATGAAGAAACTGTGATGACTCAGACTCATCAACACTTTCAATGCCGAGTATGTTAGAAGGAGACCATTTGGGGAAGGAAGTAATCCTAACAGTTCCACCATATCTCCACACCCCTACTCCACCCGACAACTTCCACTCATAATACCCTTTCAAACAGAGAATGCAGTCCACAACTTTGCTCGACGAACCCCCCTACAAAGTCACACACAACCCTTATCATGCACATGCTTTTATAAAACACAATAAATAAATAATTTGTAATTCTACAAATCCAAATTAGTATGGGCACTACTAAAATCATAATAAAAGTTATAAATCATTGTAATGATAAATCAATTTCTATTGCCTACGAATTAAAATAGGATCAATTTCATTCATTTCTTGAAATCATCCATAAAAGTAATGACCCTAGTGCCAAAAGGCACCTCGCCGTGCAAAGGGACAGTCAAGGGTCATTGTACACAGCCTAATTCTTACATATGCAAAGAGGTGGTTTTCGAATTCAAACCCATCAACCAGTCACCTTTATCACTGCACCATGCTCTTGAAATCACCTATAAAGAGGACAAGTTCCATTTTTGTTCATCAAAGAATAATGTTATGTCAATCATATATGGTCTGTTTAAAGGAACTTCTTCATAAATATTTGGAGAGAAAAATAAGAAGAAAAAATGAAATTTATTAATTTTTTTAGAAGTTAATAAGAAAATCTTCAACATATTAGCTAATGGAAATGTTAATTTCAACATATAGAGAAACTAATTTAAATTTTCCTTTTTATTTTTATCTTAAAAGTGCCTGTGGAAGTTGCAATGAGTTTTGATAACTTAACTTAATACTTCACAAATACTCATAGATGAAGTATCCAAGACTATCAGATATGGATAGCTGAAGCAAATTGAAGTAAAAATTTATTGTGACTGAACCCCATAGAAAAAATAGAACAAAGGTAGCATCTTGAAACGTGAAAGGGGAGGAGAGTCATGGTCACCTTTTCCAAATCGGAAGCTTCGAATGTCAAAAGCTTCATGTCGTTGACGGCCTCAAGAAAGTTTCGCATGTTCTCGAAATACTGAATTGCGGACTGTGCGGGTCCCTCGGCAGACTGAAGGGCGAGGTTGTCGACCACCGCATTGTCGACAACCTTGACGACAGCGCCGGGGTTGACTCTGTTGAGGACGTTGCAGAGAATGAGGCCGTTGCGAAGTGCGAGGCAGAATTCTTCTTCGGAAGGTTCTTTGGAGAGCGATGAAGATGCGCCATTGTCCATTTGGCGAAGCCATTCTGCTGCTTCGTATCTCCTTGAAGCTGTTCCCACCCACCATGTCAAAAACATAAACAACCGACGAGAGAAAAAGAGATGGCGGGAAATATCAATACGACAACGTTTCCGGTTTCATGTCATGCATAATTTACTTTTTAAGTTTGATTCCTGTAAGGTTAGCGAATTAGCAGATACTTATTTAGAACTATTATTAGTTTAAACTGAATAGAATCATTTTGAGATAAATGAAAATGATTTTTGTCTCATTAAAAATATTTTTAAAATAAAAAAAATAAGGGTATATTTAGACAAGTTTCTATATAAATATTAAAAAAAAAACAATATATTTTTCCATAAATTAGAATTAACTCATTATAATTCATTAAAATTATATTTCTTTTTTATGGAGAAATTTGTCCAAACAAATTCAAAGTGTATTAAGAAAAAAAAATTGAATGAATTTGTATGTAAAATTTATAGAAAAATAAAATAATTGTCGTATAAATTAATTTATAAAAGATCTCTCAATATAACTTTTTCAAGACTAAATTTTTAAGTAATACTTAACTTGGTTTTCAACATTAAAATAGCTTAATTCTTCTTAATTAAGAGCAGACATTCACATAAAAAGTTTCCCTTTCTTACATTTCCTTTGTTTTTCTTAATTAATTTATTTGCTTCTTACTTTTTATTTTTTTCTTCCATCCACTACATTGTTACTTCAACTTGTTGATTTGATTTAGAAAAGGGGAATAAAAGGTATGGTAAAAGAACAAAGAGAAAAGGTTAAATTGTTAGTATTATATATTTAACATGTCTACTCTTGTGATTAAAAAAAAATGCTGTTTTATACTCCCTAAATGGCGTTTACTGTAATGCTTTTTTGACTGAGTTCTGTTTACTTCAATTACAGGAGATTGATTAAACAGAGGTTAAAGTTGAAGTAGTGCAATCATGATTATTACAGCATTGTTGCATTAAATGGCACCAAAATCATAGTGTTTCCGGTTTGAAATTAGGCTTTATTACTGATTTAAGTCAAAGAGTAATTAACTTTAACTGTAAAGTCATTAATTACTTTGACTGAAGATTATTTTTTTGAATAGTATAAAATTACTTTAATAACACCCTTCATTAAAAGTTGTACATAAATAATTGCAGAAAAGTTAAAAGAAAATCATAAATCTGCATAAAATGTGATTGATAAAACCTCACAAACTGATAAATATAACCAGGGAAACAAACAAAAAAAATTATCCCACCAATAGAACAGATTTTGGTGAGTTCTTAAATCTTAACCAGTAGTATCATGTTCCTTAAATTATAGTACTACACTAGTTGAGATATCTTTAGAAGAACATGCATGAAATCACACAATTTGAATGGCAGTGTTAAAGGCCCACGCCACCAGTGAATGCTAGTGAGATGGGGGTGAGATGATCCCATTTTAGAGCAACACATACCCACGCCATTCATAATGCGATTTATAATTTTGTGCTCCACCATCTCTTCATGTGTACTCTGTCCCTTTTTTTTCTTCTTTTTTTCTTTTCCAGCCTCACTTTGTTTAATTTGTCTGATCTAATTATAGTTATTACTTTTTTTTTCACACACCTTTTTTTCCATTTTCTTAAACAAGTAAAACAAGGTTGAACTGATAATTTAGTAGATATAATAGGAAAGAAAATGTAAGAAACAAATCGAATACGTCAAAGAACCCAAGGAAATGGAGTTAAGAAAAGCAAAACTTTTTCTATGACTATAAAGAAACATTATTCTGAGACAACAAAACTTTGTTCTTTTTTATTATAAGGGATATTTTTCAAATGCATGCATATGAATAATATTAAGAAAAAGTAAGGAGAAGAGATAATTATTTAAGCTCAAATAATGAAACTTTTCCAAGAAATGTGCCTGAACTCAAGCAACAAACATGTCTTATCTATGGTGCGCGAAATCATCACTCCAAAGAAAAGAATAGTATTAGTATAATGAGTTGTATCAGTCAATCACCATTCCTAAATGGATCTTTGGATTTATTTTTAAAAAAAGGTATTATTCACAACTTCACAAAACAAAGATAGTATCAGTGCACTGTTCCAAGTTTGAATCAGCTTTTAAATCATAGGTTAAGCAGCAGACCGAAATTAAGTTCCCAATTCATAGGTTTACTTTACCCCTGCATTTATTCATAGTAATTGTGTGATTAAACATTTTGTGTGACAATTACGACCCATTGTGACTGTAACAAGAGAAGTGCTAATGTGCAGTGACATAACCATAGTAATAGTAATAACAAAAGTTAAAACCTGCTTCCTCTGCTTTCCTCTGAGCCAATTCATGATCGTTGATGCTCTCCTCCGACATCACAGTGTATGAAGAAGCCTCATTGTTGTTACAAGCTGAAGCTGAACCTTTGAAAGTCAATCCTCTCTTATGAGGAGATGCGAAAATTGAGTTGGGTAAGGTTTCCTGTGGCATGTTTCTCTGCAACACCAACAATTGCAAAAAGGCTTCAATGCAATTCCTAATATAGAAGTATCCAACCACCAAAAGTATGGTTAAAACTTGAGTCCCGCTATGAATAGAAATGGTGCTTGAATAATATACATTGTTTATAAATTAGTTTTTGTGATTAATCTAACCAAAACTCATATTTAAGAACAAAAAAAATGCAATTGTTAGAGTCTGAAAGCTATCATCATATATATAAAATAACTACCTGCAGAGTGAAGCTTTGATCTGGATAAGTTCCGATCTGACCCTGAAGCGCGTTGTTAAGGGGAAACAGAGTTCTCGTGGATTTGATGAATGAGAAATGAGCGTTCAAAGATAAAAAATTGGAAGAGACATATATTAAATGTTTGGTTTCAATGCAGAGGGAGAGTTTGAAGTGAGTTGAGAGAGACAGAATCAGAGAGAACTTTAAAATACAAACCACCCTGAATTTTGAACGTTGGTGTTTCCGTCACTCCCGTGTCCTTCGGCGTCACAGCGTTTTAACGTCGTCCAACGTGGCAACTGTGGGACCCACTGAACAGTAGGTCTCTCCCTCTTCCTACCATTAAAAAAATTATTTTCTTCTCCATGTTTTCTTTGTTCAAGCTTTTTCATCAATTAGGTTTTTTTAATTAATTGAATTTTAAATAATTTTAAAAAATATGTATTTTTATACTTTTAAAATTTAAATATTTATAACCATTTTTATTATATGGATATATATATTCGTATTATGAATTTTAAATTCTAAATTAAGTGATTAATAAATTGTATTCTCATCAACACTTTTTTAATATTCTTACTTTCAAATTACAATATGTTGAGAAAGTTCAAATGATGTTTTACCTGTGTTAGTGAAATCAATAAAAATTATTATTAATATGATTTAGTTCTTACAAAAATTAACAAAATTATTATATATGATTAATTGTAATTACACAAATAATCAAAACTATTTATAGTTTCCTGGTACATTAACTAGTTATCTTTTTTCATTAAAGAGTGAACTAACATACACAACTTATTGGTGTAAAACTTTTAAAGTGTTAATAAATGAAAAATATTTTTATTAGAATTTACTATAATCATTATAATATATATGTATATATATAATTTTATAATTATATAAAAATTTGAACGAGATATTATATTATTTAGAATTCTATTTTATTATAAATTTATCTAAACAAAATATGTATATATATATATATAAACTATTATTTACATCTATTTTTACACTATGTAAATTTAAAAATGTACGGGGAAAATATATAACATTTTTATAATTTTATTTAAAACATTTTAAAATATTATCATTATAAACATTCTGACAAAACATTTATAGAAAAAAAACTTTTTATAAATGTACAAAACATTACTTTCCATATGTCTTTAAAATATTACTATTTATTAACATGTACACTTTTTTATACTTCAAAATCTGATACTACAAATGCTTCTAATATTACAAAATAAACACCTGCAAGTCACTCCTAATTTAACATGAGGATGATGAAAGCTTGTTCCATACATGAAGGTTGAATAAGATTGAAAAATTCATCATCTTTCACCTGGTCAAGACCATAGAAAATTGCAATTGATTGAGCACTATATAAGATGAACATTCAGACAACAACATAAGACTCTACAATAAAATAGTTTAATTTGTCTTTATGTCTTGTTTTTATTATTAACACTACAATACTGATAGTTATTAAAAACAAGTGAATATATATAGATTGTGGTACCTCAAAATAGTAAAATAAAGAGATGATGTGTGGGACCCACTGACACTGTTTGATAGGAGGAGTAAAGTGGTGGCTTAAATTTTGAAATACTAAGGTGAGAGCCAAAATCTTCCAAAATTCAAACCACTCTCCCAACGTTCACTGCCCAATTTAAGTTCTACATGCTTCTCTTCTTTGTCTTAGTTTTAATTCAATTTTATTTTATTATTATCAAATAATATTTTAATCTATTTTCTTATTTCTAAAATAGGTCTAATTTAGTCTCTTCCATCTAAATTCACCAAATTTTAAATATAAATTTGAAGTAACGTTGTAACACATTTACGTGTAAAAACTTAGATGGTGGATGTTATTTATATTTTTTTTAGTATAATTTTTAAATCAAATTTATTTGTTTCTACCATATATTCACATTTAGTTTCCAGTTTTGGACAAAAAAATTCAAATGATCATTCTTTTTATTGTTATTATTATTTAAAAAACAAAGATTTGTTTCATTTAGTTTTCTCATTTTTTAAATAAATTTGAAGATTAATTTTGGAAAACTATTTTTTAAAAATAAGGTGAGAAAAAAATTGTTTGATAATATAATATTTTAAATTGTTAAAAAATATGGCAACAACATTTTTTAAAAAAATTGAAAATAATTTCATAATAATAAAAAAAGACAATATAATACCTTATCAGTAACCATATAAATACTATTAGTAAAATAGAAACCATATTTTGTATTTTTCTATTTTTTTAACTCTGAAAACTAATAATTTTTAAACTGTTTTAATAAAAAAATGCACTTTTTCTATTTTCAAAAGTTTTTAAAATTCAAATAATAAACAAATAATCCGTAACTTTCCTATAGTAATTTTTTATGTTTTTGTTTTTAGATTTCAATAAATAACTATTCTATTTTGGTTTTGCGCCAAGATTTTTATTTTTACTGAGGCATTTGATGGGAGATGCTTATAAAAGTTTCAGCCTTTTAAGTCCAATAACAGATTCCTGCTGTAAAATATCTGGGCCTATGCTATTCACACCCTCTATTTAAACTTATTTAACAAATAGTTATACTTTGAAGGAAAAAAAAAAAGTCACACAATGAAAGCATATTTATAATGCACTTTTCTATATGCAAAAATCATATCATTTCATACTATATTACACTTTTTATTATATAGTTGAAACAAGTTTTCAACACAAACAAAAAAACCATTATAACTATATCCGAAATGAATGATCTTGGTTATAAGGTGATGCTTAAATGATGATATAAATTTGTTTTTAACATGCTTTTAAAAAATACTAAATAATTTTAAGTTAAAATTTGTTAATATATATATATATATATAATTAAAAAATAAATAATATTCGACCATTTCAGATAAAATTTTACCTTAAACAGAAAACACATATTTTATATATATTTTTTTATGTCTAACAAAAAATACTTGATTTTATCCAATTCTAAATAACACAAAGTATCAAGAGGATTATAAACATTTTATATATATCCCCTATCCTTTTGATTATAAGGTGTTGTTTTGTCTAGAGTTCTATCAAAATGTTTCGATAAACAGAAAACATATTTTTTCACAAAATATTGAGTGGGTATCAACATTTTATATATATTTATTATTATTCATTTATTTTAAGGCATAATTTAATTTAATAATTTTAATTTATCATAATTTTATTATAATTTTATTTTTAAAAGATATCTTAATAAGTTAAGAAAATAAAAAATATATAAATTATTATTTGACTTGACTCTTAAAAAAAATATGAGATTCATAACACATCTAAAATATAAATTTCAATAAAATACTAAATAATATATTTGAATCAAGTAAGATTTTACTTTCAATCATATAATAAACGTAAATATTTCATCTAAAAATTAGAATTTACCAATATCATATATATTATAATAATATTTTTAGATTAATTTAATCTAAAAAATATTTTCAATTTTAGAACTCTAATTCTCTTGAAACAAGTTTGAGTTAAAAAAAATAGATATAAATCATTATTTATCGACTCTAAATAACTTATTCAGCTACCATTTCCTAATATAAAAATATAGCAATTATCTTGAAATGAAAAAGATAAAAATCTAACAATACAATAAAAAAAAAATTCGTACGTAAATATTTACCAGCAAAAAATAAAAATTATATAATAATAATAATAATAATAATAATGTATTTGCATTATTTTGTTAATATCAATTAATATAATTGGATCAGCAGGCCTTCACAGTTTCAGAAAATAGGGTATTATGTCTTCAATTATTGGTCTTATCCAATAATTGATTAATTTTTACTTAAATTAGAGCAGAAGAGAAGAACTTTCTCGATTTCAACAATTTGGATTTTGAAATGATGAATGAATGCATTGTGAATGGGGCCAGACACGTGGATGACCTCTAGTGGGACCCAACTGGAGGCTCAAACAGGGATCCACGTGACCTACACAATTTACACAGTAAATAACTAAATTTTCTGATAAAATATAATTTTTAAATAATCAATACAAAAATTAATTAACCCTTAGAAAATAATATAATTTTTTATGTTATGATTGTGTATTAGTGGTTCGTGAAAAATAAAGTAAATTGTTTAAAACGATAAATATAGTGCAAATATTTCTACAAATAATAAGATATATTATATTATTTTTAGTTTTAATTAAATATTTATACTCATAATTTATATTTTCCTGTACTCTATTTACAATAACTATATAAATAATTTTTATAATTATAATTTTTATCACTTAATATTTTATCATTTTTATAATCATATATTTCTTTCACTTTATTTAATATAATTGATAAATTAATTAAAAATATATTGTTTATCTATTTTTTAAAACACTTTTAATTATAATTTTTTCTATCTTAAATATATTTTATTAAAAATTATAAACAAAAATACTATCTTACACAAATAATAATAATAATAATAATAATAATAATAATAAATATGAATGCATAAATGCTCAAAGTAATATTTCAAACACATATTTTTTTTATTGATTTTTTTATAGTTTTACTGTGGTTAAATATGATGTATGTCAATATATATATATATATATATATATATATATATATATATATATATATATATATATATAAGGGAAAATATATTAAACTTAGATTAAAATATCCTTAATAAATACCTTTATTTTTCTTTCAACTCCTATACTAGTCGAATATAAATAATTTTGTAAATTTTTTATTAATTGAGAGTATCTAAGGATTATTTATATTGCCAAATAAGTATTTTATAATATATATATATATATATATATATATATATATATATATATATAATTGCTCCTTTTGTTTGATTGCATGAATGAGAAATTAAATAGTTTTTTTCTTAAATAATTTTATTAAAATTAATGTTAGAATTCAATCAAATAAATACATTATCACAAATTTTATAAATTTTGTTGTTTAAAATCTTTTGTGACCTGTTTATATAAGAAGATACCTCCATTTGTAGCAATAAACAATTAGAGAAATGTTTATATAGAGTAAACAAGTAATTACATTGTTCTAAATTAAATGAGTTGTTTATATGGAAATGATTAAAAAAAAATATTTAATATAATTTCATTATACTAATCATATTTAAAGTAATTTTTTTTCTTAAAAGTGTCGTTCATTGAATATTCATATTCAATAATAAAAAGCTATTAAAGATAAAATTAATTTATTACAAAAATATTAATTATGGCTAGTAATTTTTAATGGAATATATATTTTAAATTATTTATATTTTATCTATAAAATTAAAATTCGACACATTATTTAAGGATAGCGTGCGAAATACTACCTAAACTAACAACTTGGTGAAAATATTAAATAAGAGTATATATATTCTACAAAAATAAGTATAATGTAAAATTTTAAAACAAAATTTATTTTAGAAAGGGTTAAAAAACTAAATATATAAGAGGTATTATCTTAAAGAAGAAAAATGAGTGTTCCATCACTTTTCTCGATTCAATCAAATCAAACGTATTGTGAAAGATAAAATTGATACTAAAAAAATGTGAAATGAAATTGTGAAAAAGAGGAGAGAGAGGTTGGGTGAGACATGAGAGTCAGTGCCAAGGGAAAGTGGATGCTAAAATTTTGATGACAGCACATCAAGTGAGGGTGGTCTTGTGGGGCCCTCAGATAAGAGACATTTCTCCACACTCAACAGGACGCAGACCCACTAACCAACCACACTCCCTGTCTCTTACGCCATCTTCACTTCTCTATCTCTCTTCCCACACATTCTTTCAAAATTAATCAAACCATGAATATTTATTAATATGTTTAAATTTGCACAACCAAAATGATAGATAAGAAGACGACAAAATGCAATGACTTCAAGATATTTAATATTTTTTCAATTGCATTTATGAATACATTTAATGTTTTAAAATTTCACAGTTCAACAATGTTTTTGCCAATTTTTTTTTTTTACACATTATTAAAAATAGAAGCGTTGTTGAATTTGTTTTTGGGGGAAAGGGTGTATTTTGAAATATTTTTTAATTTAGTTTAGGACTAGAGAAGGTGGTAATTTGAAGTTGAGGCGAAAATCAAGGTCTTTTTATCTCTTTCTGTTTATGGCTTCAATCGACGTCACTATATATACCAACACAATAAAAAAAGGTGAAAAAGGCAGCGCCTGAGATTGCTCCACCGTATCTGTCACTGCTATATATTTATTTCCCCTTTTTCTTTTTCGTTTTCCTCTCCGCTCCTCTTTCTTCTTCCTACAATTCTTTCTCAGTTCCCAGGTACGTTTCACTATTTCGATCCTCCCCTTTTATCTGGATCTGGATTTCTTAACCCACAAAAACTGCATTCACCCATTCATCCATCCATCCATCCATCAATTCATCGCTTCTCTCTGTCTTCACAGTACAATGGCTGCGCCCACCTTTTTTCCGACTGAACCGCTTTTAATTTATCTGTTTGTTTCTTTGGTTGCTTGCTTGTTTGCACGCAAATGTATAAACCTTAAAACCTCTCTCTCTGGTTGGACTGATTGTTACGTGCACCGCATGGTGATGGTATCATGCTCCTTTTCTCCATCGGATCGGAAGGAAGCGTCGCATGTCGATGATGTCCTGAATGCTTATTATTTATTTGATAGATCATGCCATGGACAAAACGAAATTTCAAAATATTTATTTTGTCCTTTAGCTTAGAAGTATATATTAACACTTTGCCCATTATTTATATGTATGTGGCTTTAGGAAGTTAGTGGCAATTGTTAAGGTCTTGTATGGTATACTGAAATCATCCTTCAGAAGGTTTAAATGAACTTCATCCTGAAGGGTGTATCCAGCTTAAGCACTATTGTTCAAGTGAAATGGTTGGCTTTATTGATCCAATCAGCCACTTACATTTGGAAGCTGTTAAAACTATTATTATTCATATTCTCTTGCGTTTTATTTAGTATTTGTTTGACATTGATTTCTCTATATTTGTGATTTTCAACTACCGTTGTTTTTCCAGGTCTTTTCATATGGGGACTAAGTCAGCTGTGGATTTAATGGAGTCTTCATCTGAGGTTCACTTTTCTGGAATTTACATGGATGGCTTAGAGCAAAGAAACGCTCGCACGGAGCAACCAACTACTTCCGCCACCGACATGAATAAACAACCTTTTGTGATAGGTGTGTTTTTCATACCAAGCTGCCTATGCTGTTATAAAATTATAATTTTTGTCTATTTGTGATGGAAGTCAATGTTGGTACTTGAGACGTTAACTTCGCATTGTTTGTTGGGTCTCACATACTGTTCAATAGGTTAATAAGTACGTGAAAGATTTGGTTGCTATAAACTGTGGTTCCAGACCACATATGTGGATTGTGCTGTTCTGTTATGGCAGAGGAATATAACCAGTGTTCTTTTTCCTCCCCGCATTAGCATATGATTTCAAAAACCAATTAGCTTTTGTGATTAAGTGAAGAAAAACAACATTACCTTTCAAGACATCATAGTTCAATGCAATTTTGTTTTATAGGTTAGGGCGATGGACTTTCTTAAAACAAAGTTTGTTTGATTCCGAAAGATATACTACCAAGCCCGAATTCATATTGCCTATGAGAAGAAGAAATCATAGTCATCATACTCTAGTATACTTAAAATTTCACATGAAATGAAAATACTTCACATTTTACGTTAACCACTAAAAATAATTAATGTTAATTTACTCATAAACTAATTTAAATCCTGTTTATTATTTCTCTTACAGTATTTACGGAAAAGTTTATCTAAAATGTACGTAGTCCAGGTTCTTGCATCATTTCACCTCTGTTACCTGGTCATTCTAGAGTTTGGAAATTCGGGTTAACTCACACATCTAACTCATAATCATATAAAGTAGAGCTTCCGCAAACTGGCCAGTGAACATTGAATTTTTCTTTGTTTCAAAGTTAGAAGCGGGAGCTTTGAAAATAAGATCTCAACAACTATGGATGTCTTATTTTCATATCTTAGTAGTTTTTATTTGGTATTTATGATTCTAATTCATTTTCTATTTACTTTTTCATTTGTGTATGTGACAGGTGTTGCTGGTGGAGCAGCATCCGGTAAGACATCGGTTTGTGATAGGATTATTCAGCAGCTTCATGACCAACGAGTTGTACTTGTTAATCAGGTATTTATATCTTACAAAGTACTAATTGTCCATTTCATTTGGAGTGAATTCGAGCAGAAGGAAGAAATAAGTAGAAAAAAGAAATAGATATGATAAATAATAGAGAGATATAGAAAAGACACAAAATAAAAGATAGGGAAAAAATGGAGTGAAATTGTTTTCTATAGATACTTTACTGGTGATTAAATTGAGAATTTATAAATTTTCGATGACTTAAACATATTTACGGAAAACACAACAAATAGTTTGCAGTTTATGCTTCAAGCCTTGTAAGATAATGATCCTGTATCCTCCTCCTTTATATGAATCCCTTGGTATTTTGTTAGGCCATGTTTTCCGTGATATCCCAAAAATCTATTAGAGTGATTTTTTTTAACGTCTTTGTTTTGTACTATTTTCAGTTGAATATTGACACTCTGTTGGCTACCACCATTCACCTAAATTCCTCCACCTCTATTGCTTTTTTCAATCATATTCAGTATTTTGTTGTTCTCGTCACCTCAATTATCATGAAAATGTATGTTTTTCTCCCTCAAAATCACTGTAACAATATCAAGGATTTTATCACCTACGGAAGTCATACATTTGAATTCACAATTGTCTAGTTGACATAAGTAAGGAATTCTTCGGATGTGTTTCTAACATTTTACAGTTACGGCATCTCTAATATTGTAGGTGATCTTCTGGCATTATAAATGTCTAGTAATTCAAGTCTTATTTTTTGGGTGGTGCAAAGCATTTTTCATACTTTACAAAGAAAACATCGTTGCTATAGAAAGCAACAGTGCTTTCTACATTTTAGTGTAGTCTAATTAATTTCATATCTTAAATACTAGTATATATTTATTTATAAAAAGTATTTAATTTTAAAATGAGTTATATTTATTTATCATTTAAAATAATCTATATTTTCATAATATATTCCTTCCAAAATTTTAAAAAAATACTATTAGTTGAGTATCATTTTTAATTATTCAAATTATCATTGCACTATTTTTCCATTATTGTATAGATTAATTAATAAAATTTAGTGCATATATATATATATATATATATTTCAGCTTTTTTTTTCTCTCTCTCTCTCTCTATTTTAAATTTTGAAATAAAAATTTATGCAAGTAAATATCATTATCTGTTTATTTTTTATTTAAAAATGGCATAAAAATATTTTAAATTAAAACAATATAAATATATAAAAACAAATAAAAAAAAAATGTAAAGAGTGGGGTCTTTTCAAGAATATTTTGTAGACTTGGTGGATTGGAAAAAATGATTGACTTTTGCTTGAAGTATTGGAGAATAATCTGTCCTTCATTAGAAGGAAGGAAAATTAGAAAATATTGATTTATTTTTTATGTAACATGCTACCTCTACTCAAGTATAAATAAAATAATTAATTATAAAATAATAAAGAAAGTCAGTTAACGTCGTTCAGTTTTATCACTCTCAATTCAAAAATATATTTTTTCAAATACCCCATTGGAACTTGACATCATAAATAAAAATGACTCAATGAAAATAGGATAACCATATGATGAATGTTATTTTAGGAATGATGATCTAAACCAGTTTCTGTAATATTGATTTATTCACATATTTTACTTTTCTTTTGTATTTCGGTCTTCTTTTACGTTTTTGAGGTTATGTGTATCAGAATTAGGCTTGATGTTTTCTATTGTACTCATGATGATACATTGAGTGGAATAGATGAATTACTTATTTTACAACAGGATTCTTTTTACCATAATTTGACTGAGGAGGAACTTACAAGAGTACAAGATTACAACTTTGACCATCCTGGTAAGTTCAATCGTAAAAGTCACTTTCTTAACAATCAATAGTGAATTTCTCGTTACATTAAGATATTTTATAGAATCTTAGGTCTTAATAATTCTCTACATATACTTAAATTTCTATCAGAACAAATCCGTTACATTCAGTAAGAGTACCATTTGCATCTTTCTTACTCTCAAAAATGCTACAGGATATTAGTATGTGAAAGATTTACATCATAATCTACCTCAAGATTAGGTGATTTGAACATATAACTGTTAACGAAGTTTCAGAACAAGAATATTCTCGCATTTAGCCAATAGATGAGTATGGTTGGCGAAACCACTGCAAATTTTACATGTAAAAGTGTTACAAAATATGTGTTATATGCATCATGAGCACTCTAAAGGTTGAACAAAAGTTGATATGATACAATACAAAGCTCAGGCCACTTCGTATTAGTAATTATAATACACGTAAAAACTGATAAGGTAGCATCCTTAAAAATGGTTATTTTTTAATATATGTGAACGATCGTTCTCAGCCTTGCTGTATGTACTTTCTTTCTAACTCGTGTTGTTGATGTGATCAGAAGCTTTTAATACTGAGCAATTGCTCCGTGTAATGGACAAGTTGAAGCGTGGCCAAGCAGTAGATATTCCAAAGTATGACTTTAAGGGCTACAAAAGTGATGTTTTTCCGGCAAGACGGGTATCTCATACTTCCCACCTTTTATCAATTACTGTAGTCTTGAAATGCCTAACAAAACTGGCCAAGATTGATATCTACTTTTGAGATTTATATAATGCTAAAGAATAGTTTTTATTATTTGTACAGATAAAGTAAAAAATATATTTGTATGACATGACGATGATTTTATATTTGAATTTGAATACTCGGTTACTAATGATTGCCAAATCACAATATATATATGTTTCTTGTATTTCATTGTCCCTGGCTGCGGAAAAATTTATACGGTATACATTTTTTTGCCATACTTCAATTTTATGTTCGTTTAATTTGTTTTGCAGGTAAACATGGCGGATGTTATTATTTTGGAAGGTATCCTTGTTTTCCATGATCCACGAGTGCGGGCAATGATGAATATGAAGATATTTGTCGACACAGGTCCCTTATTATTTTATTTCCATTATAATGTTTATAGTATTGTATTCTATTATGTTTCCTGTGGCGTTGTTAGTTCTTACTTTATGTAGGATCTGCTACTATATTCATTCCTTTGGTTCGGTGGACCTAAATTTTCCCCCTCCTAATCCACACTATGATATAGGAGAGTGGATATTCTTCACATCATAAAAAATTGTTCGTGTTCTTGTCACGTGGTTACACTATCCTCTTCTCCCCCTCCCCATTTTTTAAGCTTGTTTCTATTTTTATAAATAAACGCCCATGTCTTCGTTCTGGCTATTTTACAAGCATGCACACTTTTATGTTTTATGCCTTTGATTAAGTTATGCTGCCATTTTACATTATGATAATGTTCAGTGCAGATGCTGATGTTCGTTTGGCTAGAAGAATTAAGCGTGATATTGCTGAAAATGCTCGTGATGTTGGAGCGGTGCTCGATCAGGTAGCTACTGTCCAACCACGCCATTTGCAATTCCATTTTCATTCTTTAATTATCTTTTAGTCTTTTGCCTTTTTGTTTCTTAAATGCGCTGCATTTCAAGACTTAGATGTGTTATTTTAGTTCATGCTGCCAAGAGACTGATGAATTTTCATTGATTAGAAAACCTGTAATTACTTAGTTTTTCGAAATTAAATATTTACTGACATGTTTTGTGGTTTTGAGAGTAAATCTGGCTATTATATCCCCTTTTTAGTTTAGCATATATCATCAGTAACTGACTCTTATATACTTGTTGCAGTATTCTAAATTTGTGAAGCCGGCTTTTGATGACTTTATTCTTCCCACCAAGAAGTATGCTGATATCATTATTCCCCGTGGAGGAGATAATCATGTAGCTATTGATTTGATAGTACAACATATTCGCACGAAGCTTGGTCAGCATGACTTGTGTAAAATATACCCTAGCTTATATGTCATTCAGTCTACTTTTCAGGTGCCAATTATTTTTTGTTGAATTTTTCCAATCATCTCCATTCGGCTGGAGATCTAAATTTTGATTTTGTTATTAAAGACTGAATGAATTATGACGATTGTTGCTTCAATGCAGATACGGGGCATGCATACCCTGATTCGTGATTCTCAAACGACGAAACATGACTTTGTATTTTATTCGGACCGTTTGATTCGTTTGGTATGTTAATGGGGTTCATTTGTTGCTTTTAGTTTTCGTGATGACGTGTTATTTTCTTTTAGCATTAATGGTGAAATTTTGCACACTTGAACAGGTTGTAGAACATGGCCTAGGACACCTTCCATTTACAGAAAAGCAAGTAATCACTCCAACTGGTAAGCTGTTTTTTCAATGATGATTTCCTTGGCTCGTATTATATGGATCTCTAAGGATGCATTATCCTCTTCTCATTTTACTTGAAAGTGCTGTGGATGATGTGCTTGTTGTGTATATCTGGTTTTTAAAATATTGCCATGTCATTGTCATAAAATTAAGGAGGAACATGAACTACATGTTTTTAGTCTTGTTTTATAAATGTCTAGCTTTTCTTGGACTTTTGGAAGTACTATAAATCATTTCCGCAGCCTGAATTCCGAGTTCAACAGATGCTTCATAGAATAGGAACTAAATGCCATGTCGTGTTATTGTACAGTCCAGAGACATGTTCTGCTCATGATGTTAATTTCCGCAATCACCATACTAAAAACGATACACTTTCGTGGCTGCTTCATAGTTGAAATTCTCCTTCGAATATTTAAAGAGTAGAATTAGTTTGTTTCATGTCTTAATTTTTTTTTATGGTTACGATTACCACTTGTCTTTTAATGCAGGATCGGTTTACAGTGGCGTGGACTTCTGTAAGAGGTTGTGTGGTGTTTCCATCATCCGGAGGTATTGTTCTAGTGCAGATTTTTTTCTATGATTAGCTTTGTTATTCTTCCTATAAAATATTTCCTTTCCTATTACTTGGTTTGATGCGAACTATGATCAATGCAATTTTTTTATAGATAAAAAATAATTGCTTGGAAAAAACTTTGTCCTTAAATTTGATATACTATCTAATCTCAGTGGCGAGAGCATGGAAAATGCTTTACGAGCATGCTGCAAAGGCATCAAGATTGGGAAAATTCTTATTCACAGAGAAGGTGACAATGGTCAACAGGTTTGTCATCTGTGTGCTTGGGTATATATGCGTTTGTTTCATTTCACGATCACTATCTTATCCTTTGATTATTGAGCAGCTAATATACGAGAAGTTGCCTAATGATATCTCAAATAGACATGTATTGCTGTTGGATCCTGTCTTAGGCACAGGTTTGCATTATCGTCATCTTTACTTTTATGGTGGTTTTAATGTCACTCATTTAAATATTTTACATTGTGTAAATAAGAATAAGTACTTTAAACGGTCAACTGCGATTTATTAAGTCATTTAGTATAACAAGAATGTATAAAAAGTTAGACATTAAATTTATTGATTTTCCATTTTGAATAACATTCATTTTAAGGTAATTCGGCTGCTCAAGCAATTTCTTTACTTTTAAAGAAGGGTGTACCAGAGTCCAACATTATATTTCTCAATCTCATATCAGTAAGTTTCTAATGTCGGTGCTTTCTCTATATATCACTATATATTGCCATAAATTTTATTATATCTTGCTTTCTTCTTGTCTTGTGCATAATGGTTTAGATATATGCTCCCATGTTATCAGGCACCTCAAGGTGTTCATATGGTCTGCAAAAGTTTCCCCAGAATAAAGATAGTGACATCTGATATTGACATTGGTTTGAATGAAGATTTCCGGGTCATACCTGGCATGGGTGAGTTTGGCGATCGTTATTTTGGAACAGATGATGACCAGCAGGTGGTGCTCCATTCACAGTAGCTATACTCGGCCCCTTTTTTGGGTTTGATCATCATTAATGAGTCTTTCACTGAGAAAAAGGGCTAAGATTTTCTGATTAAGACTTTGCTGAGCTGAGTTCTAGTTCTAAATCAATTTTGACCATAATCCTTTTGTTTTGACACAGACACATAAATATTTCAATGCAATTTTTCTTTTTTACCTTTTAGTATTATTCCAGAATTTTGTTTATACTTATTCTTTGTAGCATACTGGCCATAAAGATTCATGTTTACGGAATTCAGAGATTTTTACTTTACATGCATAAATGAATATATAAGCTCTTAACTTAATCTTGATTTCCCTATTGGGAGTATATAGAGAGTGTAAATTGAATATGAAGATGTAGCAAGAGGAGGGTGGACAAACAAAATTGAAAAACAATAAGAAATGATGTGGCTAAAACATCGTAGACGTTGAAAATTTTTTGCAAGCGAATAGTTGGAATGTAAAGTCGGGATTTCACCCTAATGCTACTAGACATTTCTTCTCACATCATATTATCTGATTATTAAATAGATAAACTCTCAAAAGCTCAACCCTGATATTTATCTGTGTATTACATTCTTGAACATTTTACTACTTAAATAAGAAGCGTCATGATATTATATGATATTTTATTTTTTAGAATTTGGCATACTTTTTTAATACCACATAATAGTATTTACTATACCTAGGCAATTCTTTTAAGGATAAAATAATTGAAATTTTAAATTTATATTATATTCTTAAAATTGATATATTAAAACTAACCAATGATTAATCACGCACGACGAATATTACATTTATCCAAATTAAATAAAAATAATTTTTCTAACGCTAACTAAATCAAAATATAAGAGAACAAAATCTAATAATAAAATATTATTATTACTAGCGAAAATGTATATATTGTATTGTATTCTTTATTTGAATAATTAGTATTAATTTAATTATATATATTAACTAAAACCGTACGTTTGTAATTTTTTATCACAAATGTTAAAATTTAATATTTATATTAACTTTATTTTTAATTATAAATAAAATATATGTAATATTATTTTATTTTATTTTATTTATATAATAGAATCATATAATTATTTTTTAGTGAAAAAAATTGTGATTATTAATTTATATTTTATGAATCATTAAATTATTTTTATTTAAAGTAACAAATTTTATGAAAAGATTGGAAAATATCAGCAAAAAATAAAAATATTTGTTCTCATAATAATATAAATAAAAAATAAAAACATCTAAAAAATATATCAAAAACTATTTAAAAATCTTTTATATATAATGATATAGAATTCACACTTTCAACCTCTAAATTATAATCTTCATTTTTTTAAAAAATAATTTAGTTTACAAAACAATTTAATTTTTAAACATGAGAATAATAAGAATAATAAATTAAACAATATGCATTATTAATGTGATATTTTATATTATTAATCATATAAATAATATCTTAGACATGACTTTAGAATAGTTAGAATAACAAATTTAAGTAAAATTTGTATTTATTTATATATTATATGTTGAGGGAAATTTTTCAACCAAGAAAAAATCGAAATGCCTTAAAAAATTATGAAAAATCTTAGTTATATAATTTTAAAAAAATGCAACTATATATTTTGAGTGGGAAAAATATGAAGAGAAAAGAAAAGAAAAATACAATGTATAATGTGATAAGAAAAAAAAAGGAAAAGAAATTAGAAAAGACAAAAAAATATAAGTTCATTAAAAAATTTACAATTATTTTCTTTTATAATGACTTGTTAAATGAATATTTATGTGTGTATAATTCTTGGGAGGAGAGGCCGAAACCACCCTCCACCAATACATGTAGCTGTGTGTAATGTAGATTTATGAATGGATTGATATGATATGGGAAGTGAGGGAAATGAAAGAGGATGAGGGATGAGAGTTTTCCACAAAATTTCCATTTTATACATATTATTAAAAAGGATGAGTTGCCACTTGGCCAAGAGAAGGATCACTCGTTCCTTTATCCAAGAGTGATAACCTTCCTTAGGCTAATCAGAGGACACGTGGTTCTCTTGCATGGCTTCTGTAGCCAACACTTGGTATATTCCCTCCACATTTTTATCTATATAGCCTTGCTCTTCCTTAAATTCGGTTTTCGTGCTGTCGTCTGCTATCTGTTTCCCGCCATCCAATACCATTTCAAAGCTCAATTAACCATGTCTGCCTTTGTTGGGAAGTATGCAGGTAATATATATCTATCCACACTATACACACTTGAACAAAAACATGTAAACTAAAACCAAAACCAAAGTTAAGAAGTGTCTGGATAAGAACTAAAACTACTCTCTATGTGTATGGATTAAGATATACAAGTTATACATTCATAAGGTATCAAATGAGTTGTGCCAAATTATGAATTTCATGTCTAAGGAGCTCCACCAACTTCATGCATTATTTTACATGCTAACAGTGCTTAGAGTTTAGGTGAGGAGGCTAGCTCCTTCAACTTCATGCAATGTTTTGTATGGTAACAATTAACTCTTAGACTTTGGTTTCCAAATCCAGATGAGCTTATCAAGAATGCCAAGTACATAGCCACGCCCGGGAAGGGTATCTTGGCAGCAGATGAGAGCACTGGCACCATTGGGAAGCGTTTAGCCAGCATTAACGTTGAGAACATTGAGGCTAACAGGCAAGCACTTCGTGAGCTTCTCTTCACCTCTCCAAATGCCCTCCAATACCTCTCTGGTGTCATCCTCTTTGAGGAAACCCTTTACCAGAAAACCTCTGATGGGAAGCCTTTTGTTGAGGTCCTTGAAGAGAACAACGTCATCCCGGGTATCAAAGTGGACAAGGGTGTTGTTGAGTTGGCTGGCACAAACGGTGAAACCACCACACAGGGCTTTGACTCTCTTGGAACTCGGTGCCAGCAGTACTACAAGGCTGGGGCTCGCTTTGCCAAGTGGCGTGCAGTTCTCAAAATTGGCCCCAATGAACCCTCTGAGCTTTCCATCCAGCAAAATGCACAGGGCTTGGCACGCTATGCCATCATCTGCCAGGAGAATGGCCTTGTACCCATTGTTGAGCCTGAGATTCTGACTGATGGGGCTCATGACATAGCCAAATGTGCTGCTGTTACTGAGACTGTGCTTGCAGCTGTTTACAAAGCTCTGAATGATCAGCATGTCCTTCTTGAAGGAACTCTTCTCAAGCCCAACATGGTCACTCCAGGCTCTGATAGCCCAAAGGTAACTAGCATTTTCACAACGATACATCCATATGGGTACATTCAATGGTTTAATTGAAAATTTGATACAAGTACTTAGTAGTCCTTGAAATAGAATTATTAAGACTGAATGGAGTATGATGCAATTTTATTAACGCAGAAGCCAATACAAGTTTAAGAAACCTCACTGCTCTGGGAAAACCCCTTTCAGTGTTGAAGACTAGTTGAGTAGTTGTAACCCAGTAAAACTGTCTAAAATTTGGGCTTGTATATTAATATTTTACTTAGTTACTATGTATTGGTAGTTTTTCAATATGTCATTGATCTCCTGTCTGGTTGTATTGGAGTTTGTTCCTTTTCTATCACTCTTTTGCACCCAAAGAAATTATTAACTTTGAAAAAGAATTTCATTTGTGTGCATGCAGGTAGCACCTGAGGTGATTGCTGAGTACACAGTTCAAGCACTCCGCAGGACTGTCCCAGCTGCGGTTCCAGGGATTGTGTTTCTGTCTGGTGGACAAAGTGAAGAAGAAGCTACTCTCAACCTCAATGCAATGAACAAGTTGGAGGTGTTGAAGCCATGGACTCTCTCATTCTCATTTGGGCGGGCGCTGCAGCAAAGCACACTCAAGACATGGGGTGGAAAGAAAGAGAATGTTGCCAAAGCTCAAGAGGCATTCCTGGCAAGATGCAAGGCCAATTCCGAGGCTACTCTGGGGAAGTATGTTGGTGGAAGCGAATCTGGGTTGGCTTCTGAGAGTTTGCATGTCAAGAACTATAAGTATTAGGCTTCCAAGAGTGTGTTTGTTTCTCTGCTAAAATTCCGTTTAAATGTCGATCCATGGTTTTGATTCTGTCACGTTGAGGTACATAGGAAAACGTGAGAATGGAGAAACAAACACATAGTAAATGGACCTGGGGACTGATTTGGGGTGGGTGCATTCTAGCAGATGTATGATACAGTCTAAGCATTTGCTTCTGATTAACATGTTTATTTTATTTTTGGGTTACATATTTTACAAATATCACTTTACCTTATAGGAGCTAAATTTATCAATTATCATTGTACCGCCTACACCTGTTATAAATAAATGATTACTTAGCTTCACACAATTCAGATAATAGCTCAGAATTGTATTTTGATAGCTCAAAATCCGCAGTGGTGTTAACGAGAAATAATACTAATCTCTTAGTTGGTCACTAACAATTCAAGGATATTCCGTTTTGTGTCAAATATCTTGGAACAAAAAATAAGAATATTCCGCTTTATGCTTTAGATCCCTTACAGACATTATTTTGGGATGTGCTTAAACTACGGTAAATGTCTGCTACAAATATTCTGGATTAAGACATGATTTTGGTATGTAAATCTCACCACAATAATTAATGTATTATTATTTTAAAATCCTAGTTGATACCACGTCAATGATCAACCTCTGACAGGTTCTTTTCTGCTTTTTAACATTTTGGCTTTTAAGTATTTTACATAGTCAAAAGGCATTCCAATTAGTGCATCTGACACGACACTATTAAGGAAGCAAAAGAAAACAATATCAAAAAGTTCATTCAACGCTTGCTTCACCTTTGCATTTGAGTTGAACTCACTAGCCCGTTCTGGGAAAGAAAACTACTAAACTGATATTAAATAGATGAAGATAAATTAAAAATCCATCCACAACATATTTCTGGTGCAGAAGGGATTCAACACCCTCCACCCAAGTCTCTATCTACAAATAAAAACAATAAAATATCAATTAAAATCAAATAGTATCCTCTAATCTTCTTTTGTCATTCTCACAAAAATCATATCACTGTTTTGCACACTGGTATTTACCATTATAGCTACATCTCAAAATGAAGTAGAAACCATAAAGTAATGAGCAAGAAAAAAAAAACTCTACCACATTGCCTCGTCTTCATCGGTTTGTTATGCATTGTCTGGCCACTAGAATACCAGTTGGAGGACTAGTCATCTCTATCTGGCATATGGTATGCAGCCAATAAGATAAATGGATAAGGCCAATATTGAACCTCACCTTAAATGTTCCCCTTGCATTGTAATTGATCCTGTTATTTTCCACTTGCCTTTGAAGTTTTACACCAACATCTTGAGGCAAAAACACTAAGCTGGATATCAAGTTCACTGACTGCAACCTGGTTTCCCTTGGCCTTTGAGTAAAAGGCTTGACTGTTTGTGATGATACGAGTCTGTCTGAGTAGAAAAGCTCAATGTTCAAGGACTCAAACCTCACCCCAATTCTCCTGTTAGGATTGGAAAAATTTGCAAGGAGAGTGAACTCACCATTGAGGTACTGTGGTGAGTCAAAGTACACTACATTTAGGCTTGCATTGGGAATGTCAAACGTGGGATTTCGTGGTTTCATGGCCAGGTAGAGAATCAGTGTTGCAATCCCAAAGAAGATAAGTACTAGGCTGAATATTAAGCACAGTATTGCAGCACACCATATAATTGGTTTGGTCCTTTGAATTCGAGGTTGCCCAAGAATTGCTCTAGTGCTGGCAAGGGAATTTGATGACTCTGATCGCAAAGAGTGTTGATTCCTTGGTTGTTTTGGTATGCCAAGTTCTTCAACGGAGGCTAGCATGTTTGAGCAGGTGCACTACTAAAATAGGCCAATGGAAGTGAATGAGGGAAAGATGGAAGTGATATGTTTATTTATTGTAAATGGGGTGATGGATCAATGGAAGTGAAGAGGAAAAGAAGCTTTTGAAGTTTCTTATGGTGCAGTGGGGACAATGTGTTTTTTTGGTATTGGCAAAAAGTGACATAGATGAACTACAGCTGGACCACATTGGTGTTTTAATTTTTTAAATTTCATGCTTTTTTGTATGCGGCAAAGTTTGAGAAGGTCATAAAGAATGACTGCAACAGTTGCTGCACTTTGTTGGTTGCTTATTCTCTAAGGCTTCAAGTTTTGCATGGTTTAGACTTGGTCAAATGTGCACTTGTCAGTGGGTGAGAATAGCCAGGTTGATTAAGGGCTTAGATTATGCGTGCATAGCAGTTATATCATGGTTTTGTCCCTTTATCTCAAACTTGGTACTTATGCTGCGTTGGATGTTTAAGCACTAAGAAAGCATGGCAGGTAGAAAGTGAGGGTAGCCAGTAAAGTTTCATGTTTCATTAAAACCAATCATTCAATCTCAATCAATCATGTTGTCTGCACAGTCTCAATCACAATGCTTTGAATTACCCTTAACACCTGCACAATCATTCTTCTATTTGCCAAAAGATAAGAATAAGATCCTTTATAGCCGGTTGATGCTGCATCTTAAGTTTTTAAAAATAAAAAATCACTTTTTCCTGTCTTAATGGTAATTCTGTGACACATCAATTAAAATAAATACATAAAAAAATCACTTAAAATTATATCTAGTATAGTTTAACCTTAAATAATGGTAGTTTGCAAGAACAAGTTAAAAAAAGATAGTGCCATGAACAAAGGACACTTAAGACAATGTGTAAACTTAATCTTAGTTGGGCCTAGTCCGAATGTTATATAACTCTAAATGGGCTAAAGTTCAATGCTATATACACATGTCTGAAATTTAGGATGTCTTTAGTTTTGTTTTTTTTAAGGATTTGTTTTTAAAAAATAAAGAAATTAGATATTTACATATCGCACTAATTAGGCCCAAGTCTCAGAATATTTAGCATTACTAAAAATGACCAAAATAAATCAATAATTTTATGTGAGGAAAATTAGTTTTAAATAATATGAAATTATATATAATGTTTAAAAGCAAAAGGAGAAGAAAATAAAAATCTCTTCAATGTTTAATTTTTTTTCCCATTAAATGGTAGTTCTGTTGGTGACGAGTCTAGTTAGTAAAATGATTGTGCCTTAAAATATTGAGTGACAAATTGAATGTTGACAAGTCCAGTAAATTTGAACTGAAATTTAAGCAAGACACTTGGTCTGTTTATTTCAACATATGTACTATTCAATGTAGATGGAAAAGCACGGATTCATCGTGTTTATATCCATCAATTTGAGGAGAAAAATGTAGACGGATTTGAGGGAAAATAAGAAAGAATGAATCTCGTTTACATGTGAGGAGAAAAATGATGAAAGAAAGGGGAAAGAGAGTGAAGTTACACTCTTATCCTCTTCTAAGAATCCATAAATAGTGGAATAGTGCAACCTTCATGTAGCTCAGTGTGCATGCATGCAAGAGATTAGGGAATAGTTGTCTTGTGTGAGGTGAGTTTGTGTGGTTCATTTGCGAGAGGTGAATTGGTTGGGATTGTTGGGTATTTCTAAGGAGGCTAACAGTGGGGACTAGGGAGATTCTCACAAATGGGACATGAGCCAACTATATAAGAGAATATGACACCACCTTCAATTCAAAACATTAAGGCATTAGGTCATGGGTCTTTCTCACTTATAAGTTACTCAACTTTTTCATTTATATCCAATGTGGAACTTCAAACTCACACTTGAATTCTCAATAGGGATTGGTTTGGTGTGTGTTGATGGTGGTGCTTGACCAAGAAGCTGGTTGAGAGAGGTGCCAAGAATCACAGAGAATTGATTCTCACATCTTTGAATTGATGGAATGTGAGAATCAATTCTCCCTTATTTTAAAAACATGAGAATCCATTCTCCCTGAGAGTAGAATCGATTTTCGCTTCTTTCATGGGTGAAGAATAGACTCTCCCTATGACCATAATCGATTCTCGACCTCTTTTACGTGATGCATGTGATCATTGATGTATATTTGCTTGGTTTGTAGATGTATTTTCATCCTTTGATTTGTTCAAAGAAGATGTTCATCCCTAGTGGAATTCTAGGGAGGTGTTCATCCTTAGTGGGTTTCTAAGGAGGTGATTGTCTTTTTAATTAGTTTACTTTTTACTGGTTCTTCTGTTGAGTTGATTGTAATTTGTAAACTGAATTTGAAAGATAGTGAATGGAGAGTCACTCTTGTGTTAAGAGCTAACTGGGAACTGGATGTAGGGTTGACTATACCCGAACCAATATAAATCTCTGTGTGCTATTCTCTTTCCCTTATCTCTTTCTCTTTTCCTGATTATATTATTGCTTCCGCTTTATCCGTGTTCAAACAAATTATTGACTCACAAATAAATTTTTAATTTGACATCTATTTTAATTTATGTATCTATTCACCCCCTCTAGATGCCATTTGTCTAACAAGTGGTATCAGAGCTTGGTTAGATAAGATATTTCTAAACGATCTGTCAAGATGTCTATGCAGAATCAGGTTTGCAGGGAAGGAGCTTCAATAAATAGACCACCACTATTTGAAGGAGAAGACTATCAGTTTTGGAAAGCGAGAATGGAAATATTTTTATAAACACTAGATTATGGTGTTTGGGATGTTGTACTCAATGGTCCCTACATTCCGATGAGAACAACGGAGTCTGGAGTTGTTCCAAAGACTTTTGACCAATGGACGTTGGATGAAAATAAGCGTGCCCATTATGATGTAAGAGCCCGAAATGCTATTGTTTCTGCCTTAACTCGTAATGAATTTTTCAGGGTCTCACAATGCAAGACGGCAAAAGAAATATGGGACACTCTTGAAGTAACACATGAAGGAACAAATGAAGTAAAATGAGCACGTAAGAACACACTCATCCAGGAGTATGAATTATTTCAAATGCAGCAAAATGAAAGCATCACGAATTTCCAGACACGCTTCACACATATAATAAATCACTTGAAAGCATTAGAAAAAAGTTTTGACAATGAGGAGTTGAGCACAAAGATCTTAAAATCCTTAGATAACTGCTATTACAGAATCAAAAGATCTCACAAAAATGAATATTGCTACTCTATTTGGAAAGTTGCGAGAACATGAGATGGAGCTACAAAGGTTAAAGAATGGTGAACAGAATCAAGTCAAGACGATAGCTCTAAAAGTAGAAAAATCTTCACAAGACGAAAGCAAAAATGAAGGTAAGTTTTCGTATTCCAATATGTTTCTTTTTGTTAAACAATTTTCTCGCTTTATGAAAAACAGGAAAAAGAGACAGCAAAGAAAGGAGAAAACAAATAAATTTCATTGCTATGAATGTGGAAAATTTGGTCATATCAAACCAGACTGTCCAGAACTTAAGAAAGAGAAGAAAGATATGAAAGAGAAGAAGAAAGAAAATAACGATACCTATAAGAGCAAACACAAAGCTTATATTGCTTGGGAGGATAATGATTCTTCCACAATACAAGAGAGTTCTTCCGAAAGCAGTGATAGAGAAGAAGAAGCAAATCTTTGCTTGATGACAAAAAGTGATGATGAAGCCTCATCACAGGTAAGTAATACAAATTCCTTAAATGAATATGATGAGTTATTTAAAGAATATCAATATATGTATGAAGGTTTTACCAAATTATCTAAGAAATACAATGCACTTAGGAAAAAGTTTAATGCATTAGAAAATACTATTGGTATTCTTGAAAAAGAAAATGAGTGCTTAAAGAAAGATGTTGAGAAATCTAAAATTTTGTCTAAAAATAAAGAAGTTGTTAAACCTTGTGAAAATTGTAATCTTTTGGAAAATGAGATTTTCAAGTTAGAGAAAATAATAAGCAATTTTTCAAAATCTTTTGAAAATCTTGATTCGATATTAGGTTATCAAAGAGGAAATTCTAGCAAAGCTGGACTTGGTTACAAACACAAAGAAAGTCTAGAACCTCATAAAACTATTTTTGTGAAAGAGTCAAGGAAAACAGATGTGAAACCAGTTTCAAAAAACTTTAAGAAACGCATTTAGACCTTTTCAAAGAAAACCAACATGTTTTTATTGCATGAAATTAGATCATATATCAAATAGATGTTACATAAAACATTTTGGCATATCTAATGACAAATATGAATGGGTGCCTAAAGGAATAAAGCATTTATACATGTTTATATGATAATTTGAGCATCTAATTGATTATCAGAATCAGAATTTTTTCTTGTTATCATAATCAATTATGTTGAAAGTTTGAATTTATGAAAATTTGAAATTATTAAAATTTGAAATTTTGTAGTTTGAGATTTTTGAAATTTGAAATTTTGTAGTTTGAGATTTTGAAATTTGAAATTTTTGCAGTTTTAGATTTTTGAAATTGAATTTGAATTGGAATTTGAAATTTGAAATTTGTTGCAATTTGAAATTGAAATTTGAAATCTGGAATATGAGTGCATTTGAATTTGAAATGTCTAAATAAGAAAACTGCAATTGGGGGAAACTACTGCATTTCATTCAATTATCTCTATAATCATTTTATTCCCCTATTTTTCTCTCTCTTTATTTGTCTTGGGTATCCTAGATATTGTCTCCTTAATATGATATTTTTCTCTATGACACTTTGTAATGCATTATCTTCTCTACCTTGATTTATGTACTAACATGTGCAAATTTGTTCTCAATTTCTATTGCAATATTTTTCATAATTATTAATGAAACAGTGAGATATTTTGATGATATTAATCTGTGTGAAACAGGGGGAGATTTTTTTCTCTTATAATATTTTTCATAAATATTAATGAAACAGGGAGATATTTTGATGATATTAATCTGTGTGAAACAGGGGGAAATTTTTTTTTCTCTTATAATATTTTTTTTATAATT